TATGGAACGCCAAAAATACATAAACAAAACACCCCACTTAGACCAATAGTAGACAGCATAGGTACACCAACATACAACATGGCAAAAGATATCAGCAGAATCATCAGCCCGTTATTAGGAAATACAGACCAACACTGCAAAAATAGTATAGAATTGGCAAAAGAACTAAAGGAAATTACAATAGAAGACAACGACATACTCATCTCACATGACGTCACATCTCTGTTCACAAAAACACCAACCCAAAAAACCATAGACATAGTAGTTAACAGAATCAGACAAGACAAAACTTTACATAAAAGGACAAACCTCACAGCAGATGACATAGCACAACTGATAGGACTGGTAGCTAACTCCACTTACTTCACATACGAAAACACAATATACAAACAACTGGAAGGCTTCGCCATGGGTAACCCGTTATCAGCCACCCTGTGCAAATTTTTCATGGAAAACCTAGAGCAAAAAGCCATAGCCACCGCCCCCCCAAACTGCAAAATAAAACTATGGAAACGCTACGTAGACGACATACTGGAAATCATACCAAAAGGTCAAACAGAAACACTAACACAACACTTAAACAATATTGACGACACGGGCAACATAAAATTCACTTATGAGTTAAAAACAGAAGGCAGCATAGCATTTATGGACATGAAAATCACCAGGCAGACCAACGGGACCCTAAACATAAACACATACAGGAAACCAACACACACAGACCAATATTTATTATGGACATCAGAACACCCCACCATACACAAAATGTCAGTAATCAGAACATTATATCACCGAGCAAACATAATAACAGAAGAGAGAGACCGTAAACAAGAGGACAAACACATACAACACGCTTTAAAGACCTGCGCATACCCGACATGGGCAATAAACAAAGGAAAACAACAAACAAAAACAGAAAGCAAAGAACAACCCAAAAAAAGAACCAGAAACCCAGAAAGACAAGAACCAAAACCAGTGATAACCCTACCATACATCAGAGGCATAACGGAAAAAATAAGAGCAACAATGAAAAAACACAACATAAACACACCAACAAAGCCATACACAACAGTTAGAAACAGACTAGTACACCCAAAAGACAAAATATCAGCTGGACAAAAATGTGGAGTCATCTACGAAATTCCATGCAAAATATGCAATAAAACATACATAGGAGAAACCGGACGCCAACTCAATACACGGACAATAGAGCACAGAAAGGAGTGCGAGAAAGAGGCAAATCGTAAACACACAAGAGCAGCAAAAGAAGAAGCAGAAAGTACAATAAAAAAGTCAGCCGTAACAGATCGTTGCTTAAGAGAAAACCATATAATGGACTGGGACAACACACGGATCATAACCACCGAACAACAAAAATACAAAAGATGGATCAAGGAAGCAATCGAGATAAGGAGACGTGGATGTGGGACCATGAACAGGGACGACGGAGTTTACACGCTGGACCACGCATGGGACTGCATCGTCGGAGAGGGGAGAGCGGGCAGTAGAGGGCGACAACGTCCTCTGCTGCCCGCAGATAAACGGAGAAGGAAGTGACGCGCCACCATCAGCGTCAGCCTGAAGAAGCCGGCAGCTGTCGGCGAAACTGTAGCTACAAACAGGTAAACAAAACTGTTTCTGTGTTTAAAAAAGAACGAAAGCATGGATTTACAAAGACACAGCAAGAACACACCTAAGATTGGAATGATACTGATATGGTAACGGTAAAGAGAGTTATTGATGCTATCATAAAACCTTTAAGATATATATTTTACCCGTCCTTTCAAAAAGGGGTTTTCCACAAAAAATGAAAGTTGCTAAAGTCATTCCAATCTACAAAACAGGTGAAAAGCCTTATTTCACAAATCACAGACCAGTGTCAATGCTCTCCCAGTTTTCTAAGTTATTGGAAAAGCTTTTTATAAAAAGATTTGACAGTTTTGTGGAAAAACATCAATTACTGACCGAAAGTCAGTATGGGCTCAGGAAAAATAGATCAACTACATTGGCATTAATAGATTTAATGGAAGTGATAACAGAATGTATGGCTAAGAAGAGGTATGCACTTGGAGTTTTCCTAGATCTAAAGAAGAACTTTGATACGGTCAACCATGACATTTTAACTAAAAAATTGGAAAGGTATGGGTTCGGGAGAGTGGTTTTAGACTGGATAAAAAGCTACTTAGAGAATAGACAACAATATGTACAAAGAAGTGAATTCAAATCTAATTTGATGGAAATTGAGTGTGGAGTACCCCAAAGTTCAGTACCGGGTTCAAAAATGTTTATCATGTATATAAATGACATCTGCTGCATATCAACGACTCTAAAGTCTGTAATATTTGCAGATGACACAAATATTATTTGTTCAGGTGTGGAACTGACAGAGGTTGTGGAAATGATCACACAGGAATTAACAACATTAAAGAAGTAGTTTGGCATAAATGAATTATCATTGAATCTACATAAAACTAAATTTATGTTATTTGGAAATCAAAAGAAACATCTCAGTGTAGAAATATGTGTTGACAATGTATATTTAGAAAGAGTAAATGATATAAAATTTTTTGGTGTGATCATTGACCACAAGGTCAGTTGGAAATCACATGTTGCTTATGTTTGGGCAAATTGGCAAGAAGCATAGCTTTTCTGGTGAAGGCTAAGCAACACTTGTATAAGAGAGCACCAAACATTTTATACTGTGCTTTATTATTGCCATATATAAGATAAGATAAGATAAGATAAGAACAACTTTATTTATCCCGAGGGAAATTCTTGTGTCATGTACATGCTCAAAGCAGTCGGAGAGACAAAGGAACAGGTGAAATAGAAATATGATATACAATATATTCATTAAAAAAAAGATCTACAGTAGTACCATGTAGGATAGTGCAAAACAAACAATCGCATATCTCAATAATTAAATACATGACTGCATCCTTGTGAATAGGTAATTAAGCCGTCAGTGCAGGCGACTCACAAAAGTGATTAAAGTATTGTGTAAAAGAACGTGGGTTTGTAGCAGCATATGATATGATGGGGGGATAAAAACATATTTACAATCAGAACTCTTGGGTAATATTGCACAGTCGGTGAGGGCACAGAATAACTAAGGTAATAGTATTTGGAGAATCACCTACAGCGTGAGGAAGAGTTAAACAGTCCTATTGCCACCGGTACGAAGGATTTCCTGTGGCGGTCAGTTCTGCATTTCGGGGCAATGAGTCTTTTGCTGCGTGTGCTTCGGTGGTCCATCATGTGGGCATGCATGGGGTGGGAGAGGTTGTTCATGATAGAGAGAAGCTTTTTTAGCATTCTCCTCTCAGACACCTCCTCCAGGTTCTCCAGTCTAACACCCAGGACAGACCCAGCCCTTCTAATCAGCTTGTTCAGCCGGTTGGCATCAGCTATCTTCACCCCACTGCCCCAGAACACAACTGCAAAGAACACAATGCTCTCCAACACCGAGTGATAGAACATGGTCAGTATTTTCCTACCAACATTGAAGGACCTGAGCCGCCTCAGTAGGAAAAGCCGACTCTGCCCTTTTTTGAAGATAGCATTGGTGTTCTTGGTCCAGTCCAGTTTACAGTCCAAGTGTACACCCAGGTACCGGTAGTCCTCAACGATCTCAACGTCAGCCCCTCTTATGGTGACAGGAGTAGGAGGTGGGGCCTGCTTCCTAAAGTCCATAATCAGTTCTTTAGTCTTTGTGATGTTAAGTTGTATATGAGCTACGGTGTAGAAGTCTGGGGAAACTCATACAAAGGTAATATCCGACCAATAACCATAACGCAGAAAAAGGACACGAGATTAATAAATAATGCAGAGTGTCCCTAACCCTAACTCCATATGACCAGTAACTAGGGCTGCATGGTGGCGCAGTTGTTAGCACTGCTGCTTCGCAGCACGAAGGTTGCAGGTTCGAAACTCGGCTGCAGCCTTTCTGCGTGGAGTTGCGTGTTCTCCCCATGCATGCGTGGGTTTCCTCCGGGTACTCCGGTTTCCCCCACAGATCACAACATGCCCTACAGGTTATAAATTGTAAGTCGCTTTGGATAAAAGTGTCTGACAAATAATAAACATAAACATAAACTATAACGCAGAAAAAGGCCACGAGATTAATAAATAATGCAGGGTACAGGGACCATACAAATGCAGATTTTATCAAAATGTAAGCTATCAAATTCCAAGACTTGATGAAGTTCAAAACAGCAAAAATAACTTATAAAGTAAGAAATAAAATGCTTCCAAAAGAAATGAGTAAAACGTTTATAGACAGAGAAGGTGGTACAACCGAAGAGGGAATTGGAATTTCAAAATACAAAGTACCAGAACTACTTAAAAAAGTATATTTATTACAACAGCAGGAGTAAAATTATTGAACCGCCCAACCGAAGAAATAAAAGAAAGTAATAACTTAAACCAGTTTAAAAGTAAGTATAAACAAGACATTTTAAACAGATATAAGAATGAAGCAACTGGGGTTAAACCAGGTCAGTAATATTGAGGGCGACAGGGTTGGTTGGTTACGTATTTAGTGAATTAGAAATGTACTCATGTATGCTGTGAAAGTAAATATGATGTGGTGGGGTTTGTTTATGGGTTATTTGATGTATTGGTATGTTTGGTTTGTTGTTTGTTTGATATTTTGTCCAAGTAAGTTAAGACTAAAAGAGAGTGAATGAGAGTAAAATCTAAGGGGGTGGGGCTTAATGAGTGTTTACTTCTGCCTACTCCTATTCAGACAAACTGTTGGAAGGATAAGTTGTAAGGACTGTGAACGTATGTTTGAAATAAAAAAGAACTGAACTGTAAATGGCATGAACATTATTCCTATCGCCAGCAGAGTGTGTGTAGGCATGATCTATGATGGTCCAGAGAGGGAACTGGGGACATTCAGAGCATCCAGACACAAAAACATTACATCTGGACGATAGAAGAGGTGTCTCTGACCTCACTTGTTACCTGCATGTCTGACTCCGCCCTCCTTCCCTCAGTCCCCGCAGCAGTCACTGATGTCCGGGTCAGCAACAACGGTCGAACGGACTTTCTCACCGTCTCTTGGAATCAGGCTGCCGGCGACATAGACAGTTACCTGGTGACCCTTAGAGACGGTGAAAAGACGCTTCACACCCTGGCTGTCTCTAAGTCCAATCCTGGCTGTGTCTTCAACTCACTGGTGTCTGGACGCCTCTACAATATCTCCATCACCTCCTGCAGCGGCCATGACCAGAATCACACCTTCATCCAGGAGAGAACACGTAAGAGCTGCTTGTTTGTGTCTGTTTGGGTTTTTGTCCTTTCTGTTAATGATGAGTGAAGAGTCACCTTGGAGGTGCTGGTTTGGGTTGTTTTCAGACTTTAGAACGTTCTGTTTATTTAAACCTTTGATACTTTTAAATTCTTCTTCTTCTAAATGTTTTCCTCTCTAAACACCTTTTCAAATCTTTCAAGGACTTGGTGCTTTTTAAAAGGAACAACTTAGGAAAGTCTGAAGCCAACTTAAAACTGGACAGACAGTCTCACCATAGAACCTGGAAGCTGGCTCCACCAGAGAAGAAGCTGCAAAGCAGGAACATGTGGAACAAGATCTCTGGCAGAATAGGGAGCTTAATTTTTAGAGCACAGGCGCCAAACTCTGGTCCGTGAAGACCACTATCCTTCACGTTTTAGTGTTTTCCCTGTTTCAGCACACCTGATTCCAATCAGCAGGTGATTAACTGGCTTCCGCAGAGCCTGATGAGCTGCTGCACAGGTGAATCAGCTGTGTTGGAACAGGTAAAAACAAAAAGATGCAGGACACTGGCACTCAAGGACTGGAGTTGACACCCCTGCTGCAGAGCGTTAGAAGTTAGAAGGAAAGTTTTAAATTCAGTTCTGGATATTGAGGGAGCCAGAGAAGTAATACTCCAGTGTAGAGACCAGTCCCCAGTCTGGGACCAGTATACACACCAGTCTCCAGTCTGGGACCAGTATAGACACCGGTCTCCTGTCTGGGACCAGTATAGACACCGGTCTCCTGTCTGGGACCAGTATAGACACCGGTCTCCTGTCTGGGACCAGTATAGACACCAGTCTGGTTGGGAGGGTGTGTTAGTGGTCACACATCCTGATGCTTGCTTGGCTACACTTTGCTTCTCTCTGCATTGATGTTTAATCAGAACCGTCGAAGGTCCAGAACCCTACGGCGACCCACGGTGCCCGGGATGACTACTTGAAGGTGTACTGGCGTCATGCTGTCGGAGACTTTGACCGGTACCAGGTGTTCATCAAACACAACAACACCTTCTTGCAGAATAAGACGGTGCCGAAGACACAGAGCGAGTGTGTCTTCATCGGTCTGGTACCAGGCCGGCTCTACACGGTGCTGGTGAACACCTGGAGTGGACTGTATGAGGCCAGCACCTCTACCCATGGCAGAACCTGTAAGTGTCCACAGATCTCCACCATTCTGTCACTGCACTGAAATTATGAGTCAACAAATGATTTTAAAAATGGTTAAAATGAGAAAAACATTGTGATTAAAAGATGTGTGGAATGGGAGGTGAGGTAACCAGTGGATCCTGGGAAAGGTGGAGAGGGTGGTAACCCTAATCCACCAAAGCCAGCCTGAACAGGTGACCCCACTGATCTCAGGCTCAGGGGGAGAGAGTTCCAGAGTCTGGGGGCCACATATGGACACCTTTATGTTGGAACATGATGTTCATCATGACAAGCACAGAAGTCCACTTGGGGGGCAGTTCCTCCCAACCACACCTCTCCAGGTCTCACTGTCGTTGCCCACGTGAGCGTTAAAGTCCTCCAGCAGAATGAAGGAGTCACTGAAAGGAGCGCTCTGCAGCACCCCCTCCAAGGTCTCCAAAAGGGGTGGGTAGTCCTGACTGCAGTTTGGTGTAGTTTGGTCAGAACCCGTCTCCCCAGACGAAGGGAGGCTACCCTCTTGTTCACCGGGGTAAACCCCAACGTAGGCACCGAGATGGGGGGCAACTAGTATGCCCACCCCTACTCGGCACATCTCAGTGGGAGCAACTCCAGAGTGGTAGAAAGTCCAACATCTCTCAAGGAAACTGGTTCCGGAGCCAGAGTCATGTGTTGAGGTTCTCTGGTGGGGAAGGAGCCGGAGTTGGTGTGTGAGGTTGAGAGGTTCTGACTAGATATGGATGGTGGCATTCCACCTGCCAAGAGCCAGCTTCTGTAGCCGAAGATCAGACCGCCAAGGTCCCCGCCCTCAACTACCACCCGTCACACACTGCACCTGACCCCGTTGGCCCCTCCCACGAATGGTGAGCTCATGGGAAGGGGGACCCACGTTTCCTCTTCAGGCTGTGCCCAACTGGGCTCCATGGGTGGAAGCCCGGCCGCCAGGCGCTCGCTGACGTGCTCCACCTCCTGACCTGGCTCCAGAGGGGGGCCCTGGTGACCGGGAGAGGGAACACTGTTTCCTTTTATGTTGATCATCATAACCCCCAAATTCCACTACCTCCGCTCCGCTCTGCTCCGGCACGAACTCCGGAGCAAAATCGGTCCCGTTGTAGTCAATCAGAGCAATTCCACTACTGCGGCGCAGTGCTCCGGCAGTGCGGCGCAGTGCGCCGCCGTCTGTTCCGGCGTCCGGCAAAAATAGAATCGATCCTATTTTTGCCGGACGTCGGAGCACCTCCGCAGTCAATGGACAGGAATCACAACCGCCCAACAGGAAAAGGAGCAAGCACACTTTCCGTTTAATAGATAAACAAAAAGCATTTTTTGTTTCATATGCACAGGTTTAACAACCTTTAACAACTATCAATGGCGGCTGAACTTTAAATGCACAAAAGTAAGCCATAAATACAGTTTCCACTATCAAAGTAGACACACTTTGTTGATCCAAACACTGCTGATCTCTCAACACAAATGATGGGCAGATTAAACAGTTCATTTCGATGCTTCTCCCACACGACGGGTGTTTGGATCTAACTTCCGTGTTTATTGCTCGGACTGTATCGCAAGATCTCGAAAATCCCGCGCATGCCTGTTTGCGCACCTCAGGTCTCCGCACCGGAGCGGAGCCGTTGTAGAGCGGGTACCAGTAAAAATTGAGTTCGGAAGCGAGCGGCTGCGGAAGGCGGGGGCGGACCGGAGCGGAGTGGAGGTAGTGGAATTTGGGGGTAAGGGCTCTTGGTCTGATCCATCACCTATATTTAGCACAGCTTACAAAAAAAAAAAGCAACTACAGGAACATCTATGGATTCAGTGTCACTCTGGTCTCATCTTTTCTTCAGTCCCTGCAGCAGTCCAATCCTTGGTTCTGGCTGGACAGGGGACAGAGGAGCTCCGGGTGGTGTGGACGGCAGCTCCAGGTGATGTGGATCACTATGAGGTGCAGCTGCTCTTCAGCGACATGAAAGTGTTTCCTCCCATCACCCTGGGTAGCTGGGTAGAGGAGTGCATCCTGTCATCACTCACACCTGGACGGCTCTACAAAATCCTGGTGTCCACCTTCAGCGGTCCAAACCAGAAGGCTCAGTACATTGAGGGCCGCACAGGTCAGATGCAAACTAGACTTCAGATTATGTTTAGTGTTTGAGGATTTGGTTAAATCTGGTGTTTAGAGCTAAAAACGGCTCCACAGAGTGCAGTAGCTTCTACTGCAGGCTTCAGGACTGTGACCGTTTTTTCTTTCTATCTGTGAAGTCAATTTCTTGATAATGTTTGGATCCTGAAGAGTCAGCTGCTGTCCCTCAGACTCAGATATCCAGTTACATGTTGTGTCTGATGAAAGCTTCTGCTCCTCCAACAGTTCCCAGTAGAGTGAAGAACATCCATGTGAGTGGAGACAGCAGCAGCCTGAAGGTGAGCTGGACTCCCGGACCAGGGGACTTGGACGGATACTCTGTTTTTTTGTACCGAGAGAGCCAAGAGCCAGCTATCCGACACGTTCTAAAGCACCAGAACGAGGTGTCATTTGACTGGCTGCAGCCAGGTCAGCTGTACGCTGTGATGGTTCAGACGGTGAGCGGAGAGCTGCTGAACAACAACACAGCCACAGGACGCACAGGTCAGCGCACACCACTCCACTCCAGACATCAGCTTCACCGTCATGAGATGTGACTCCAAGGTTCTTCCCTGCAGTTCCATCAGCAGTCACGGGCCTGCAGGTGGAGAATATCGTCAGCACCTGCAGCATCCAGGTGAGCTGGCAGGAAGTGCTGGGTGTGGCAGATGGCTACATTCTGCAGGTTCTGGATGAACGAGGCGGCACGGTGGCCAGTGCCTGGAAGCCATTTGGACTCACCCGCTACAGGTTTGATGGGCTTACTCCAGGCAAGAGGTACCGGGTCCTGATCCAGACCACCAGTGGGGATGTCCACAGTCTGGTGGTCAGTGCTGAGGCACGAACAGGTAAGACAACACAACCATTTCTAATTTTCATCTGTCAGGAAGTCAAAATAATTTCAGAGTCAACAAAAAATAAATAAAAAGCTGAATTATGAGTTTGATCTGAAATAAAATTTTACGAATAAAAAAAACAACTTCTGACATTATTCTGAAGTGACAAAACTCATCAGCCTGAAACTGGACCGTCTCCTCTTGACACTGTCCTTTAGGCCCCGCCTCCATTACAGACCTGTCTATCAAAACCACCACCACCACCAGCCTGTCCTTCCGCTGGTCTCCACCAGAGGGAGACTTCCAGCATTATGAGGTATTTCTGTATAAAAGTGATGAGTCGCTACAAGAAAGTCAGCACATCCAGCCCAGCAGCCAGGAATGCTCCTTCCAGGGTCTCAGACCTGGAGCTCCATACAGGATGGTGATCCAGACCCACAGCGGAGACCAAACGAACCAGACCTCCATGTGGGCCAGGACAGGTGAGACCAGTTACGCAGTCTAGTAAACCAGGAGGTTGTAACACCGAACGTTTCCCCTTTTCAGTACCAACAGCTGTGGTGTCTCTGACGGCTCGGAGCATCAACCAGTCTGATGCTCTGTGGGTGAACTGGAATCGTGGTGCTGGCGATGTGAGTGGGTACCTGCTGTCTCTCTACAACCTTGATGGTTCCCGGCAGGCTGAGCAGCAGCTGGGCTCAGAAGCTACAGATGGTGTCTTCTCAGGGCTTGTTCCAGGGAGGCAGTACCAAGCAGAAGTTCTGAGTTTAAGCGGAGAGCTCCAGAACCGAGCCAGCACCATGGGCAGGACTAGTGAGTACAACTGCTATGCATCATTACACTCAGTGAGTCAGACTGAAAGCACAGAAGCTTTGTACCAAACATCAGATTTTCATCTGCAGCTCCCAAACCTCCTGTCTCCTTCCTGTTTGGGGGAGTCACCAACACCTCCCTGGAGATCACCTGGAGTGGTCCTGCGGACTGTGACTATGATGACTTTGACCTTCAGTGGTCTCCTCCAGACCAACTCTCCATCATCAACCCTTACCAAAGCCGATTGTCCTGTAGCCGAATTCTGAAAGGGATGTTCCCGGGAAGACGCTACACCCTCAGCCTTCGCACCATCAGTGGGGCTATACAGCCAGGAGACACGCCTACCTACAGCATTCCCATCCAAAACAGCATCCGGACCAGTAGGTGGCAGCACTTCCGTTCTATTGAAATGCTAGAACTTGTTGGATTTTTCAGTAGGTTCTGTTCAGAAATCCTTCTGCTTGCAGAGGTTCTCTGTTGTGGGTTCTCTATATGTTCTATTGAAGAATGGTAAATGAGCTGCACTTGTATAGGGTTAGGGTTAGTGATGGCACTGGTGATGATGAGCTACAATGTAGCTACAGCTGCCCTGAGGCGCACTGACAAAGGCGCCACCGATCCCTCCAACTGCCACCAGCAGGCAAGGGGGCTTAAGTGTCTTGCCCAAGGACACAACGACAGCATTCTCTGGTCAGAGTCGGGATCGAACCTGCAACCTTCCGATTACCGGACAACCCGCTCTACCTCCTGAGCTACTGCTATCAAGGACCAGAACCAGGAGTTGATTGATACTGAACAGAATCAGAACCAAGCGACAGACAGAACTTGTTTAGAGGAACTGTGGGGCCAACTGGTTCCAGCGGTGAAAAGACGTTTATGCTGACTGATTACCTGGATAGACCTCTAACCCAATCAGGGATGGAAAGTAGAGGACAATGTTAACTACCTACCTGATCTCTCTGCAGAGCCAAAGCGAGTACACAGCCTTCACTGTCGTCCTCAGAGCGCCACCTCCATCTCCTGTTCTTGGGGACCTCCAGAGGCCGACTTTGACTCCTACTCCATTGAGTGTCTCCACCAGGAGTCCCACACTCTGGTCTATTCACGACGCGTTGGACAAGACTCCAGCAGCTACACCATCACCCAGCTGGAGCCCCATAAACACTACACCATCTCTGTGAAAGTCATCTCTGATAGGACCACCAGTGAAGAGGCGGTGGACAGCGTAGTCACCATGATTGACCGTAGGGGACGTTGGAGGTTAACATCCATCTGCTGTGATGAGGAACAAAGTCAGTAAAATCAATCTCTTGCTGTTGTGGTCCTTGCAGGTCCTCCTCAGCCTCCAGTCAGTGTCCGGGTCAGTGTAAAGACTGCTATGGTCACCAAGTCCTCCATCTCATTCCAGTTCAACTGCAGCTGGTTCAGTGACATCAATGGAGCAATCAGGTTCTTCACTGTGGTGGTGATGGAGTCTGAAGGTGAGCTGAATCACACCTCATTTTAATCTCTTATCTTCACTAACATCTGAATCTACCTTCAGTCATCTGACCCTTCTTTGCAGGTGTCTCTGAAATGCAGCCAGACCAGCGGCACCCCCTTCCCTCCTACCTGGATTACAGATCCAACAGCTCCATCAAGTCCTACCAGACCAGCTACTTCACAAGCCACTGCTCTGAGGGCCCTGACAGCAGCACCTTTACCTATAACATCAGTCTGGGGACAGGGATGGACTTGCTGGGGGGGTCCTGTGAGTCCAGCAGAGACCTGGGCCACCTCTGTGATGGACCACTGAAAACCAAGACTTCCTACAGGTTAAAGAAACAAGCCTGTTATTGTGTGATGCCCACATCTTCCATACCTCCCAGTATTCCCAGTTTGTAGATTCAGACCTGAAATTAGTTTATAAAAAGATGTCAATCCTGTTGGACACTAAGGATCAGAATCAGCTTTATTGTCAATGAACCAGCATCCTGGTACAATGAAATTAAACTTCACAGTACAACCCAACCAAGAGGCACACGCAAACTCAATTGGTTGGGATTGGATCTAAAATGCAAGTTGAAGGTTTAGATGAAGCTAATATTTTTGATAACTCTGAAAGCTCAACTGGATCAAAATGGTTCAAACACAGATGAGGTTCTACAGTCACCTCTGATGCTGCCTCACTTACTGAGGAAGAAGAAACTGCATTAGGGAGGATGCTAATTATTTAGTTTCTAATAGAATTAATTTTACTCGTGAAAAATCCCATAAAGTCGTTGCTGCTGAGGGCTAAGGGAATAGATGGTTCAGAGCTATGATTCTGTGTAAGTTTGGCAACTGTACTGAGAAGAAATTTAGGATTATTCTTATTCTCCTCAATTAGTGATGAAAAATAAGCAGTTCTAGCTTGTCGAAACTTATTTTTATAAAGCACAAGACTACTGTTCCAGGATAAGTAGGACTCCTCCTGGTGTGTAGAGTGCCATGTTCTCTCCAATTTTCTAGAGTTTTGTTTTAAAGTTTGTAAATGAGAATTAAACCAGGGAGCCAACTTCCTGTGCCTAATTACCTTCTTTTTTAACGGGGCAACATCATCTAATGCCACACGTAAAGAGGAAGTAACATTATGAACTAAATCATCAATTTGTGAAGGGCTAGAAATGAAAATATTGCCCTCTGCTACGTTCCTCTGAGATGCTGAAGACAGTAAAGATGGAACAGTTGATTTAAAAGATGCAACAGCGTTACCAGATAGAGACCGACTATGGTGAAATTTACTTTCATGTCTCGAGAACTCAGTTATAAAAAACTCAAAGGTTATCAAAAAGTGGTCAGAGAGGACTGGATTATGTGGAAATATTGTTTTTTTCCTCACACTCTATGTCATAAACCAGCACAAGGTCCAATGTATGATGGCAGGAGTGGGTGGTGCCATGTATTCTTTGGGTAAAACCAATTGAGTCTAAGATATTACTAAAGGCTACATTGAGGCTATCATTTTCAATGTCCAAATGAATGTTAAAATCCCCCACTATAATGACCGTATCAGTATTTAGCACCAAATCAGATTTAAAAAAATCAGAGATCTGATCCAAAAACTCAGAGTAAGGGCCTGGTGGACGATATAAAACTACAAACAAGCGTGGTTTTACAGGTTTGCTATCTGGATTAGGAAAACTAAGAATAAGATGTTCAAAAGAACTGTTACTATTGATTGGTAAGGGATTGATTAATAGGTCTGAATGAAAAATGGTTGCTACTTGTCCTCCTCGCCCTCTACTTGGAGCAATATGATGATTTAAATAATTAGAAGGAGTCGACTCGTTTAAACTAACATAGTCCTCTTGCTGCAGCCAGGATTCTGTGAGAGAGAGCAAAGACATCTGATTATCACAAATCAAGTCATTAACTAAGAGTGTTAGGAGTAACGCAGTACAAAAGTAATTAATTACTGTAATACATTGCTTCATGCTGTAATGTGGTAATGTAAGGCATTACAGGGAAAGAAAATGGTAATATCTACACCGTACAATTGCATTTTTAAACCAAAAATCATGTGGACTTCTTAAAAATTCAAACTGAGGGAAGCCCGAAAAAAGATCCAGTGTCCACATATATGATGTCATTTATGGACTCAGCTTTGCGGGCATTCCATGAGCAGAGCGGACGCAGCAGTAACGGTTCAAATACTCCAGCTGCTTCCTGCGAGTGGCCGCTGCAACATTCACAAAATCGCTCCACTAAAACAAAATAATTCACCTGCGATCGCTTTTATCAGGCCATATTTTTTTTATACTTTCTGCACTTTTCTCTCATGCTTTGCCTCAGCTGTATTCATAAGCTGTGCCCCAGTGATTTCATCTCATTGCTGCTGGAGCGCAGCGCATATTAAGCTTTTGTTGCGTTCGGTGCATCCCTTTGGCTGATGCAGAGTTGATGAACTTTTCATGGACAAGAAAGTCTCTAAAATATAAATATATGAAAAAACAACATGACATGAGAATAGTACTCGTAAAACAACGTGTTTTAGCTCAGTTTGTCGGCTACAGAAGCACATTTATAAACAGAAACGTGAGGTCGCCAAAACAAAGGAACAGCGTTTTTGTGTGATACGCTTGTCAGCCACTAGATGGTGCCATTAGATAAGAGAAATACTCCGGAAAGAAGTTTTAATTACTTTAAAATGATGTTAACAAGTAATAAATAATGCATTACAGTTTTGAAGTAACTTGTCCAACACTGTTAATAACAAAGTCTTAGAAAAAATAGACCTAACATTCAATAACCCACATTTAAGTTTTCTAGTTTTCTGCTCAGTTGAATGTGTTCTAATATTTATGAGATTTCCATGATTTGTTTTATTAAGCCTGATATTTAATCTGTGTGGTTTTGGCCGTGGGCAGGACACTGTCTCTATGGGGTAGTGGGTGGGAAACAGTACTGAAGCTGCAGAGTGGGGTGTTAAACTACGACTCTGCTTCCTGGTCTGGACCCTGGGTTGTCATGGAGGACTAATAAATGTTCCTAGAAAGAAGAGCTGCTCCATCCAAAGAGGGATGGAGTCCGTCTCTTCGCATCAGACCAGGTTTTCCCCAGACGTTTTCCAACTATAACAGTGAAAATCATACATAAACAAAACCAGCTGAGTCAGCGATGCAGAGATGTGGAGCTTCTGGTCTTTCCGTCACCTAGCAGTTCACGAGGGATTGTGAAGAACAAACACATTTTGGAGCAGTTTATGAAAAACTTAAGAAGTGTTTTGACATAAAAATAAGTTACATCCACGCTAAAGGGAAGTCTGAGACTGTGCGGAGCCTTTATACCCCCATCAGGCTGTCGTTGTTAAAACACACAACTGTGCCACATTACCACCACAGACTCACCACGTCTAACCGACCGAAGGCTCCACGCTGTTGCTTCTGCTTTGCAGCAAAGAACAGCGTCGTTTGATGAAAGAGGCTAAAGTTGGGGCGAGTTGTTAATCTTTCCTCGATTGTTGGTTGGTTAGCAGGAACACCCCTCAGCTTCTTCTCATTACCTAACCCGGGATGGACGTGTTAGGTGCTGTAGCATTTTGGTAGTGTTGCTGTTGCTAGTCCACGCTCAGTGGCTAAAGCTAATAAACAGCCTGTGAAGCTGGGTCAGATGACACCTTCTGATTTTTGTGTTTCAGGCTCAGCATCAGAGCGTTTACTCAGATGTTCGAGAAAGAAACAACAGACTCACAAGCGTGGTCTCCTCTGTTTACTGACACCTTCCTTTCAACACCTGTCATCACAAAGACCGGTGAGACCCAATCCACTAAACTTCCAGAGCTCAGGTAAAAATAATAATCACCTGAAGACAGACAGGTGAGACAACAGGTGCAGGGGAGGATGAAGATAGTTATCAGAACATTAGCAGCAACTGTTCCTACCTTTAGAGCCGCTAAGTGGTGTCATAGAAGGGATCAGCGCTGGACTCTTCCTCATCATCATGATCATAGGAATCACTGCTCTCCTCATCTGCAGACACAGAGCTCACAAACTGTAAGTACCTCCCAGAATCACATGCAGCCTTTATTCTGACCTCACTCTCTGGTTGGGTCTAAGATGAACTTTCCCTCCAAGCATCGCTGGTTCAGTCCAGCTCAGTCTTCATCCAGCCTGGTCCAGAGTTGGGGTCAGGGTTGTTACTGAGGGGTTTGAAACAGGTGATGTTTCCTGGGGTGGTGGTGGGGTGTGTGTGACACAACATAATTGAGAAGCAGTGCCCTAAGGGGTGTGTGTTCCCATCAGGGTGGTGGAGAGATCAGTGGCCAGACTGAGTGTGAGGAGAGAGGGATCATCAGCAGGAGTACAGTTGGGCATCAGAGGGTAAGAAACCATTCAGATCACTTCTCCTGGTCACATCTTCTCACTCTGTTTCAAGCCCCGCCCACACCAGGCATCTTTTAACACATCTTCACTATGTTCAGGTCCTGTTTCTGTAGAGGGCGATGTCAGCCTCTACTGCCCATGTCGTTCTCGCTGATCACCACATCCCATGTACACCCCTTCGTCCCTAATGTAATGCTGCAGGTTATGTTTGAGGACAACGCAGCCACACCGTCACTGATTCCACGGTGTTGTTAGGGTTAGGGATACCATCTCGGCGTATACAAAACAAGGCCGCACAAGAATAGCTTCCACTGGTATCTGATGCATCCAGTCCACATGAGGGGAGGAGAGAGAAGGCAAGGAGATGTTGCTGGTTTGTGACATCCTCCTTCCATGTCTGTTACATGATTCGTGTCCACGGCCTGTGTTGCTTCTTTGATCCGTCTTCATGGCCCAGTCCGTTCTATGTCTGTTATAGATTATTCCTTAATTGTATTTTCTGCTTCTTGTTTTGTGGCTCTTGTGTGCTTTTTGTTGGTTTCTTTTTCCACACTTTTACACAAAAACGAGTCATAAAAAGAGTCTAAATGTACTTGTGATGGAGGACGTCCACACCGATGCTGTGCTTTAGTGAAGGGGCCGATGATGCATGTATGTGTGGAATCTCAGAAGACGAATATTTATCTTCTCGTGTCTCTTCTTATTCATCAGCAGCAGAAGAGTCTCCAGGTGAGACGCTGACTTTCGTTGAGGTTTTAAGCATTCAGGTGTACTTTGCTGACTCTTCTGTTTGCTTTCAGTCCCATCAAGGTCACAAACTTTGAGTCTTACTACAACAAACTACTCGCTGATTCCAACTACCTGCTGTCGGAGCAGTACGAGGTCAGTTACTGTTTATTCACAGGTCAGTGACTGGTGTCCTGGTTTCTAACCTTTAATCACATAGAAAGCCATGGTTTGTCCTCTGAATCCAAAATAAAGGCTAAACAAGGTGCCGCCCTCCCAGAAGCAGAGTGTCCTAATGGTCACAGAGAATGATGTCACTGAGCTTTGGCAGTAGGTGAACCTTATAAACACCTCAGTCAGGTATAAAAGAGCCAGGGGCTACCCTAACCCCAGACGTTTGATGTCTCCCTCTCCAGGGTAACCTAAAGTGTCTTGGATTCACACCCTTGTAACCCTTACACATCGTGACATTAAAGGGTTTGTGATAGAGCAACACAATGTAGCACATAGTTGTGAAGTGGAATGAAACTGAAAATCTCAAGCAAATGAAGATCTGAAGGTGTGGTGTGCATTTGTATTCCACCCCCTGCATCAATACTCTGTTGAGCCACCTTTTGCTGTAATGAAGCTGTTGGAGTTTGTCTCTGCAAGCTTTGGATGTCTGGACACTGAAACTGTCCCCATTATTTGCCTCAGAGCAGCTCCAGCCCACCCAGATTGAACGGAGAGCATCTTCCACAGATGCTCTATGGGATTTAGGTCTGGACTGTCACCGAGCCGTTCTAACGTGAACAGTCTCTGATCTGAACCATTCCGTTGTAGCTGCTGCTGTGTTTAGAGTCGTTGTCCTTCCCAGACTCAAGTCCTGTCCTGTATTCAATTCCACCCATCTTCCATCAATCCTGACCAGTGTCCCTGTCCCGGCTGAAGAGAAGCATCCCACTGGACGATGATCTTAAACGCTTCTCTGACCAGTCCGGGTCTTGCCCCGGTAGGTTGGCAGGTGTAACTGCTTTAAACCTTATCTTTCACCTGTCTGGTGAGTTAGGGTTAGGCCTTCACACAACAGGTGTGTTCATAATGAGACAGGTGAACTCTATATTTTATTTACAGGTGTAAGAGCACAAGGAGGGTGAACACAAATACACGCCGCACGTGGTTATTTGATAGAATTTTTGAACGTTTGCTTCCACTTCACCGTCTTGTTTTCCACTAGTATGAATACTTTAGGCTGTGAGTTTTGGCACGTTTGGTTGTGACCCATTTTCCTAACAGGATCTGAAGGATGTTGGTCGTAATCAGCCTCTGGACTCAGCTCTACTGCCAGAGAACCGTGGGAAGAACCGATACAACAACATTTTACCCTGTGAGTGTCTCCACCTGACTCACCTGTCCATTGTGTCTTCATTTCATTGTATCTCTAGTGAATGATGCCACCGAGTCACTCTGCTCCACACTCTGCTCTTGTCTTAACAACTTGTGCCCTTTAGCCACTAGACCTGCTAAATCCTCTCAGTCGCACCCTTGGCTAAATGATACCCTCCGGTCTCTACGCACCAATCTTAGAACTGCGGAACAGAAATGGCGCAAAACAAAAGATTGTCGTGATCAATTGAAATTTCATGAATTACTGTCCTCATTCTCTGCCAGCATCACTGATGCAAAGAAAGCTTTCTACACTGACAAAATTCTCAGCTCTACTGACTCTCAGAAACTATTTTCAACATTCAAAACTCTGCTCAACCCTCCGTCTCCACCTACAACCAACATTCTATCAGCTGACACCTTTGCCTCATTCTTCACTGATAAAGTGTCAGCTATAAGCAAACAGTTTACTCAACTGGCCACTCCTGAACATTCACTACCACAAACTCCTTCTAGCCCACCCATCTCAAGCCCTACTGCTTCATTTTCCTCTTTTTCCCCTCTCACTGAGAACTGTGTGTCCAAGCTTCTCACGTGCAGCCGCCCTACTACATGCCCACTTGACCCCATTCCGACTAAGCTGCTCCAAGCTATTGCTCCTACAGTAGCCGCAGCAGTCACACATGTGATCAACGCTTCACTGACATCCAGTACATTTCCGTCCTCTCTCAAGCATGCTCAGGTTAAACCGCTGCTAAAAAAACCCATCTCTTCCTCCAATGAGAACTCATGTGGAGAACTACCGACCTATCTCTCTCCTCCCTTTTCTGTCCAAAATCATTGAAAGGGTGGCTTTCAAGCAGATCACAGAATACCTCTCACAAAACTGTCTGCTTGACCCGTACCAATCTGGGTTCAAAAAGGGCCGCTCCATTGAAACTGCTCTGTTAGCAGTGACGGAATCCTTAAAAGAAGCTAGAGCGACTGCCAAATCCTCAGTGCTTATCCTGCTCGACTTATTGGCTGCATTTTACACTGTCAACCATGGCTTCCTTTTGTCCACACTCTCTAGCATGGGCACTACAGAGAAAGCACACGCCTCGTTTGAATCGTACCTCACAGGACAATCATTCAGTGTATCTTGGCTTGGACAATCCTCTACCGTGCACCATCTTGCCACAGGAGTCCCCCAGGGCTCTGTACTAGGACCTCTTCTCTTTGCCATATACACCACCTCACTGGGTGAGATCATTCGATCACATGGCTTCTCCTACCACTGCTATGCAGACGACATCCAGCTCTATCTGTCATTTCCACCGGACGACCGTACTATCTCTGGCTCCTTCAAAGGCAGTTCGAAATCTGGGTGTTGTGATTGATGAACACCTGACCTTTAAAGATCATGTTGCCTCTGTTGCTCGTTCATGCCGCTTTGCGCTGTATAACATACGAAAGATTAGACCATACCTAACACAACATGCCACCCAGCTCCTGGTGCAATCTACTGTCATCTCCCGCCTCGATTACTGCAATGCCCTTCTAACTGGTCTTCTAGGCTGTACTAAGAGACCTCTTCAAATGGTCCAGAACGCAGCGGCGCATCTGGTCTTCAATCAGCCGAAATGAGCACACGTCACCCCTCTGTTCATTGAGCTCCACTGGCTACCGCTAGCAGCACGCATCAAATTCAAATTGCTAACACTAGCATACAAAGTCCGAGATGGTACGGCTCCCATCTACCTGAATCCTCTTGCAAAGGCTTGCGTCTCGGCCCTGCCGCTCCGGTCATCACAGGATCGTCGGCTAGCAGTGCCTACACCATGCTCAGGACAATCCAGACTCCTCTCATGCATCGTTCCACAAATGTGGAATGACCTTCCAAGCACTACCAGAACAGGGGCTTCCTTTTCAATTGTCAAGAAACTCCTGAAGACCCTGCTCTTCAGAGAGCATCTTCTAAACTAGCACCCTCCCTGCACCCGTCCCCCCTCTCTACTGTCCACTCCTTGTTCCCTCCTCTCCATGACTGATGTCAATGTTGTTGTTATTATTGTTGTTATTAGCCTCAAGGGCAACATGCTGATTATCACATGTAAGTCGCTTTGGACAAAAGCATCTGCTAAATACATAAACATAAAGACAACCATCTCTATTATTTCTGTGTCCAGACGACTCAACAAGGGTGAAGCTGTCCTATGTAGATGATGATCCCTGTTCAGACTACATCAATGCCAGCTACATTCCAGTAAGACACTCAAACCCTCTGGTTCTTCCCACCACACCTACAGAGTTTGTCTCAAACAACCTGGTCCTTGAGGCCCGGTTTCCAGCATGTTTTAGTTTTAACTCTGTTTCAACACACCTGAATTCAGTCAGCAGATGATTAACAGTTGATTCAACCACTAAATCGTGCGTTCAACCACTAAATCGTGCGTTGAAGCAAAGAAACAACTAAAACATGCAGGACAGGGTTCAGGACTACTGGAATTGGGTAGCCTGATCAGCCAGCCCCATGCCTCCTCATGGGAAGCATTGGGTCTGGGAACTCTTCTATCCAAATAGCCCCACCTCCTGAGCCTTCTACCTGAGCCAATCAGCGTTGAGCAGCGTACGCCACACACTGTGGCGCTCAGTTTCTCATAAACATGGCATCTGAAGTGAAGTTCTAGATGACGTGGACGTGTTTTTAAAACCGCAAGAAGATAAAAGCCTTTCTTCTAAAGAAAGACGTTTGCGCCGTCTCCAGATGCCAACTTGGACTACAGTTAAAAAACTACAGCGTCGCACGGTACAGTCAGCATTCCCCCTTTTTTCTGGTAGGTTATTTTTTATATGGCTAGTCCCGCCCCTCATGTGCCTCTCTGCCTGTGAGGAACCAGACTCGTTCTCTGTGTAGAGGATGAGTCTGGCAGGCCAGGCTTCTGATTGGGTGCTGACTTGGTTCTGGACTGAGTAAACAAGATTGGTTTGGGACTTTTGGTTTGTGCTGTTTAGGCTGAATTAAAACAGGTTTGACTGAATGTTCTGGTCTGATTGTAAAGTTATCTCAGGTTTGGGTTTGGATTCAACCTGAAAGGATCAGACTTTCATACCACATTTATTTCTATGGCACATTTGAAAACAGCATGGGAGCTGACCAAAGCGCCTCCCAGCATAAAAACAGAAATATACAAATGCCGAAATAGCAGACAGAATACAGCAAACAGATAAAAACAGATAAAGGCAAATAAAACCAGCAAAAAGGAAAAATAAAACATCACAATCTAAAAGCCTTATTATAGAGGCGAATCTTCACCAATGGACAGTGAGTGGCGGTGCATTCCAGAGTATGGGAGCTACATACGTGAATGCTCGCTACCCCCTTGACTTGTAGCACATTGTCGGGGTCAGAGCAGCAGTTGGTCAGCTGAACGCAGCGAACGCAGTGGCACATAGGGCGTGAGTAAGTCAAAGCTTTATGAACAGGATCTTAAACTCTAACTGCTACTGGTAGCCAATGACGGTGCAGCTAAACTGGGGTCATATGGCTCCATCAGGTCAGTGCCGGTCAAACATCGTACTGCAGCATTTTGCACAATCTGCAGACCATTTAGGACTGGTTGCCCATCACTTTCAGGGTCCAATATAAAATGCTACTTTTTGTTTTCAAATCCCTCCATGGTCTTGCCCCTGTGTACTTATCTGATCTTCTTTCAATTTATACTCCTGGTCGCACACTCAGGTCCTCCAGCCTGTTGCTCCTCGAGGTCCCGAAAGCGCGTTACAAATCATGCAGACAAAGAGCTTTCTCTGTCGCGGGTCCTAAACTGTGGAATGAACTTCCAGTCACAGTTCGACTGGCATCCACCTTGGCAGATTTTAAGTCTAGACTAAAGACACACTACTTTATCCTTGCTTTTAATAGTTAGCTGTTAGTTTGGTTTTTACTACTCTTATTTTATCATCCATTGTAAGGTTTTTATTGGTAATTTTTTATCGGCTTGTCTTTTTTATTGTTGGTTGTATTTCATAGTACTGTTTTATGTTTTCTATCTCTGTTATTGTGCGACTGTTCAGCACTTTGGTCAGCCGTATGGCTGTGTTTTTAAAGTGCTATATAAATAAAGGTGGTATGGTATGGTATGGTATGGTATGGTATGGTATGGTATGGTATGGTATGGAAGCTGAAGTCCCGACCTGTAGTGCATTTGCATAGTCCAGTCGTGAGGTGGTGTATGCGTGCACCGCCATTTCTAAATGTGCCGTTTTCAAAATCGGCTTTTGAACTTCTCAAACGTTAAAAGCAGAAAATATTTTAAATCAAATGTTAATGAAACACAGAACATGTACAGAACCAGAGTGGAAATGTGATATTTGGTGGTTAGGGTTGGGTCCAGGTTTCTTGTCCTCTCACAGGTCTGTCTCTCTTTCTTATTCTCAGGGGAATCATTTCCGTCGGGAGTACATTGCCACACAGGGTCCTCTGCCAGGAACAAAGGATGATTTTTGGAAGATGGTTTGGGAGCAGAATGTCCACAACATGGTGATGGTCACTCAGTGTGTGGAGAAGGGCCGGGTAGGTAGCAGACTGATGAAACCCGCCTTCGTGTGATTGTCAGGCTTGGTGTTTAGAGCTGGAAAGATGATGTCTTCTCCTTTGTCCTGCACACAGGTGAAGTGTGATCACTACTGGCCCTTTGATCAGGATCCTCTGTACTACGGAGATCTGATAGTCCAGATGTTGTCTGAGTCAGTTCTGCCAGAGTGGACAATCCGAGAGTTCAGAATCTGCAGCGTATGTTGTCTGAGTGCTGAAAAGTCTGAAAGTAGAGCCCTGCATGGGATTATTTACTTAATCCCAACCCCACCTGCTCTTGCTGACTCTCTGACCAGTACCACAAAATCTGCATCCAATCCCACCTACTCCCATGTCTCCATACACAGGCCAAAGAAAAATGAGGTTAACACTGGTTCTTGATGAGCCCACGATTCAACCCGAACCTGAACCGACCCTAACCCTAACCCTAACCCTAATCCGTCATCACATGCAACTCTTAGCTGAGTTTTTATAAACGGGCCAGACGACAGTCTTGTCGGTGTCAGGACAGGATCATGGGCTGCATCCCACAGTCCCCTGTGCTGCTGTCACATAAAAGAAACAATGATTACATTTTTACACCAGAACACTGCAATAGTCATCCTGTCACTCATTAGATTAGAAAATAGAATCAAATAGGAAAAGCTGAGGGAGCATTGAGCAGGCAGCGCTGCTTTAGGTAGGTGACGGTTTGCGATACACCTGTTGCACAGATGCACCCTACGCCAGGGTACCTCACTCTCCATGTTTCTGTTCAGTTAGTCTAACCAACCCTGACACAGCTTTGTTGTTTCTGTTTCATTTTCTCCAGCCTTCACTACATTAGCGACCTCAGGTCAAGTCTCTGTCTTTTTGCGGAATAACTCGGGAGCCATGATTTTTTCTTATCCGCTCGCTCCGTCCCATTGAAAACTCCAAACCTCCTGTTCTCACAAGATATGGTTCCCGAGGGACCTGAGGCATCGCAGTCCCATTGCAGGGCTCTAGCTGAAGGATTCACTTTACGTTTACTCATAGACTGAACGTGTGAACAAGGTAAACTGTTTGTTCAGGAGGAGCAGCTGAGCTTCAGCCGTCTCGTTCGACAGTTTCACTACACAGTGTGGCCTGATCATGGAGTTCCAGAGAGCACGCAGTCACTTGTCCAGTTTGTCCGAACCGTCCGGGACTACATCAACAGGAGCCCCGGTTCTGGTCCCACTGTGGTTCACTGCAGGTAAACAACAGCAGCTTTACTACACACACTCCAACACTAATGAAGTTGCTGATAAAAGGGACAGAAGCTGTGGGTAAACAGGTTCAGGGTATGAAAGCAAGGACCACATCAAACAAAGAAAAGATCTGACTGAGTGGCACTTCCGGCCCGTTTCCACTCTTGGAACTTCTGGGTAATTATAAAGGACCTTCACGGCATCTGAGTGTCCATTTTACCAGGTCGTCTCAAAAGGAACATTTTCAGGGTGATTTCAGGGAAAACCCAAATACCTGAACTGGGCGAGGTACTCAGAATGGCCCAGTAGAGTCACTGAGCAGGACTTGGAGTTAACCCGTGCTAATTGGTTGTAACTCAGTAGGAAATGATATGGGCAGATATCAAAACGACTGGCATTAGTAAAGTTGGAGGGGTTGTTGGCGTTGCAGAATAGAAGGAAGGGAAAATAAGCTGCGTTGATGCTACTTTAAATTAAATGTTCTTAAACTTCTAACAATAAAATATGTGGTGGAAATCCCCCAATCCGTTAATTTGTGCTAGTTTCTGTTCTTCTACAGATTACTATAAACCTCATTTTTTACGTCGCACGGCCACTCTTCCCGTCCTCTGAAAGGCTGGCTGTACGGCATCCTTTAAGTGTCTTAGATTTTATTCATGTCTGTTGACACATTTTGGCGTTATGCTGATGTCTTAAAGTCCACAAAGTCTCCATTTTTTCTGGACACAATGGCTGCGAGGACCAAACCATGGTGGTTTTCCCAGAAATTTCCCAGAATGTCTATAATGGAAATGCAGCTTTCGTTAGAGGGGCTGTCTGTACGAAAACATTTAATCAAACCATTTGAGGTGCAGTTGATTCAAACTGTAAAGGCTTTGCAGCTCAGAGCTTTGTCTGATGCTGCTCACGGTTTCTGACTGGAGGTCGGTGTGTGTTTCAGTGCTGGTGTGGGTCGTACAGGAACCTTCATTGTGCTGGACCGATTGCTGCAGTTGCTAAACACCAGAGACACGCTGGACATCTATGGTGCTGTTTTTGACCTGCGACTCCACCGATCCCACATGGTGCAGACAGAGGTAGGACTAATGCATCGTGGGAGCACATATGTCAACAGCAAACAGTATTCCACTTAAGTCTGGAAATGACTTTCGTCTTTAGTTTGTTGTTAATTGCTGTTGCAGTTGTTACAGCAGACAGCTGCTACAGTAGAGTGGCCTCTACACCATAGACATGAATACGTAGACATCCCATTGGGCGCTGGAGAGTGTAACAGCATCGCCGCCATGTTGAGCAGCTGTGCCTGTTTTGTGCAGCCTACGGCTACAAAAACCGCCGTATGATTGAAAACAGGGCACGTGGGATTACTAGTGACTTTCTAGCCTAGCTGAAAGGATTTATTTTTAAAATGTTTTTATTTATTTAGTTTAATTATATTTATATTTTAACTATGATGCCATAGCTTGTGTCTGATTTTGTGAAAAAGCTTGATAAAATGTGTTTTTTAGTTGTGTAAACCCCTTCCTCTGTAGAAATGAATGCACTGGGAGCGAATGGAGACCCATCTGAAATGATGGCTGGCCACTACAGCAGCTCCAGTAGGCAGCGCCAGTCCACTGGGCGTCTACGTATATATACGTCTGTGTTCTACACTGCCTGGCCAAATAAAAAGTCGCCACCAAATGATTTCATTGGACCACCTTTGGTTACTCATAAATGTTTCCAGGACAAATGTGGACCTAATGAAATGTTAGTTTTTCTTATCCCTGTAATAATATCTACAAGACGGAAAAGTGTCTGTTCACTCACATAATCCTAGAAACATCCTTATCAGGCCCAGTGTTCCCCTTCCATCTGGATGAATGGTTTGAAACCATTGACCATGACATTCTGCTGTCTCGTTTGGAGCACTGTCTCCAGAGCACTGTCCTACAACACTGTTTCATTGTATATGTTGCCCTTGGGAATGATTTTCCAAAATGTTTACATCACCTTTTACTGTTTTGCAGATGACCATACCATATGATACCATACCACACCAATTTATTTCTACAGCGCATTTAAAAACAGCATGGTAGCTGACCAAAAGGCCTCCCTAACAACAGCATAAAAAAACGTTAAAAAAACCCAGTTAAAGCAGATTAAAAACGGTAATCAAAAAACAATAGAAAAGTGAAAAAGAACTTCAAATAGAGTCACAACCTTTTTTGTGTATTCCTACTGTGTTTTTTCTGATAGCATTATTTGGGTTTTTTAACACAGGAAAGGTTGTTTTACCTTTTTGGCTGACAGTTTCAACCACTCCTGCGGTCTTCTTTAGAGCTAGCCGCTAATGGCAGCGCCACTTCCTTCTCCATTTATCCTGGGCAGCAGAGGATGGTGTCGCCCTCTGCTGTCTGCACCCTGCTCACCAATGTCCCATGTGTGATCCAATGTGCAGACCCCATCGTCTCTGTTCATGGTTCTGAAGACCCTGTGCTGAGGCATTCATTTACAAAAGGTCTCCATAACCAAGAATAGAAAGAAATGTTGCAGTAACTAGTCTTTTTTTTTTGCCTCAAAATAAGAACACAGTTTAATTTGAAAAAAGAAACCTAATCTGATATTGAGTTTCTTCACAAGATCATCTATATGGGTCTTGAAGGAAAGGGAGTCATCTAGCCAGACACCAAGGTATTTGTATGTGTGGACCACCTCTATGATATTTACCTTGCTCATCATTTTTACATTTGTGTGTTAAAATCTTGGGAGTCTCCCTTGTTAGATCCTTTAGATCAGGGGTCCCCAATCCTGGTCCTCAAGGGCCGGTATCCAGCAGGTTTTGTGGTTTTTCTGCTCCAACAGACTTGATTCAGTGGTTGAAACACCTGTGCAGCAGCTCATCAGGCTCTGCAGAAGCCTGTTAATTAGCTGCTGATTGAAATCAGGTGTGTTGAAACAGAGTTCAAACTAAAACATGCAGGATACCGGCCCTCCAGGACCAGCACTGGGGACCCCTGCTTTAAATCTAGATCTGACTAGACAGGTGAGCACAACAGTCCAGTCAGGTTTCTACCACCTTTGACAGTTGGCTATGGTTAAGCTGTACCTTCTAGCTGAAGTATATAATCATGTTGTCCATTTATTTGTTTACAGTCGCCCTCTACTCCTGTAAAACCCTATATTTAGGTATAGCGCATTCGTCTTTGAATAGCTTTCAACTTGTTCAAATTGTAGCGGCACACTTGCTGACAAGCACTAGGAAGTGGGACCAAATTACCCCTAGGAGATATGTCATCAGGAACCGCCAAGGCGTATTCCAATGTTAACGTTCTACCGAGGTGTCTGTTCTCCATTTGTTAGCCGTTTAGCTAGCTGAGCAAGGATATACGCGAGGTTCTTTGCTAAACTCTGCAGTAAAACATACATCGGAGAAACAGGACGCCAACTTAACACACGAAAAACAGAAAATCAAAAAGAGTGAGAAAGAAACTAAACAAAGGCCCACAAGAGCAGCAAAACAGGAAGCAGAAAGTTCTATGAAAAGGTCAGTGGTAACGGACCATTGTACATGGGAAAATCACATAATGGGTTGGGACAGCACACAGATCATGAACCCGGAACAACAAAAATACAGAAGATGGATTAAGAAAGCGATAGAGATAAGGAGATGCAGACACATCACCATGAACACGTTGGATCACAAACGGGATGCTGTTATCAGCATGAAGGATGCAGCCAGCAGAGGGTGACATTGTCCTCTGCCGCCCGCACACAAACGGAAGTGACGCCACCTAAAGCTGGCGGCTCTGACGAAGGCGGAAATTCCAGCTGAAACATGTCACGTGTAGCCTCAAGGGCAACATGCTGATTATCACTTGTAAGTCGCTTTGGACAAAAGCGTCTGCTAAATACATAAACATAAACATAAGTGTCCACTAGGTGGGGAGGTAGGGTTTGGACTCTCCTCACTTCAGTGCGTGCAGCCGCATGTAGCAGCGCTCATCACCTCCGTTTGGACAGGGGAGGGAGACAATGGGTTAGAAGGCACATTGACTCCTAGATACGGTTCGACAGCCTTCGGTCGCAGTTCCGCCCAGGCTGGGATAGGGAGAAAGAGTTTCCATAGCGACGGCAGTATTCCACATTTCATCTGAGGGGGGGAGTTATCACTTGAGCCTCACAGGCTCCAAGGGCACCAGATTCAGATAAGAATTGTTTGGGGACAGAAAGAGATAATTTCCTCTCTGTGTTAGTGTTCTGTTGGTCTTCAACCCCTCTGGATCCAATAATGGCGTAATCAATCTATCCCAATCCATGCTGATCCGTCAACTCGCTCCTTGATGGAATACACCTTCTGTGCCAGAGCCTGAATCTCAGCCAACGTTCCAAGCTTACGACTCATCTCGACAATTATATGAGTTTGTGCATTCACAGCATGATGCATTCCATCCCTGAGCTCTGGGATTGAGCCAATATTCCTTGAAAGCTCATTAATTTTCCGGTAAGCCAGGTAACCGCTCAGGCCAAACAGCAGGAATCCCGACACCAAAACATCTTCAGAATCCACTACAGGCAGTTGAGAGAGGCATATCAGTATCCACTGTTTTCAGGAGTCCATGATATACCCAGCTGGCTCTGTCCCAGAGGGGCATCCGGGAGCCCATCCTCCCGTTCTCATCATTGAAAAGATTTTTGTCAGTCGCTTTGAGAGACCAACTGACCAGATCCATTTTTAATAATTTCCAGTTTCCAGAAAAAATGCAGAAAGTGCAGTGCACACAAAGACAGGACAAAGAGCCTTGGGATGAGGAGGGAGGGAGAGGAGAAAAAAAGCATCTGTACTCTCCAAGAGCCAGAAGAAAAGAGATCAAAGCTGATCACCATGACATGTGGGGTCCCCCAAGGTTCTAGCAGAGAACGCAGCACGAAGGACCTGCAGGCATAGACCCTGCAGGCGTGGACCAGGAAGTGGGACCAAACAGCAGGAGCGACACGAGGAAACCAGGAGCGGTAGCAGGTACTCGGCGATAGTCCTGAGCAGGTGCACACCATAACTCGACTGGATCCAACAGGCGGAGGCTTGGGTGAAGAGAAGCAGACACGGAGCAGGAAGCCCTACCACCCCGGAGACTGTTGGCGTGCGTAGGGGGTTTTACCTCCATCAAAAACTCCAGGAACAGCAGCTTCCGTGAAGAACAGGACGGGGCAGAACAGCAGGAGCGGAGAAATGACCCCGACCACCCTGAAAACAGAAAGGATGCGCCAGGATCTCCCAGAGGGCTTCGACCACCCCGAGAACAGGTAGGATGCGCCGAAAAACAAAACTCCAGGCCGGAATCTCCCTCCGCTGAAAGGGAAAAAAAGAAAAAACAATCCTTCAGAAACGGATGTCAGGGCTCACCACAGGTCCAGGTTGGTCAGATCATTCTGTCATGTTGAGTGGATTGGAGGTGATGAAGGACCATGTGTGGTGGAGAGTTCAGGAGGCAGGAGAGCAGGCACAGATGAAAAATAAAAATGGTTTTAATGGTGGAATGGGAACAACAGGAACAAAACAACGATGACTACAAACACACATCTGACAAAGGACATAACGAGACGGGAGGTATAAATACACTGAGGAAAATAAGGAACATATGGGCAGGTTAACAAGGGGCAGGTGAAACCAATAGGGACTAATCAGGCATGAGAGGGACACAGTCAGGAAGGCAGGGGCAGATCGTGACACCTAGTTACTTTAATGTTCGTGCTATTTTCCCTAATGGAAAGCACCTTGAATTATCTCTGTGAATGAAATGTGCTATACAAAAAAAGCTGCCTAACCACTGGACGTAGCTGACCTCTGCTCCTCTTGCAAGAACGACTCACCTCTCACTGTCTTCATTGCTGGCAGCCATAAACCGTTGTGATCCGCACCCACCCCGTCACCAGGTCGCCACGACCACAAACGGACTGCTCTCCCAACAGCGAGCATCCCTCTTACCTTCCTTTCAGTCCTTTCTGTGTCCTCATCAGTGCAGTTATCATCCACACCTGTCACCTGAGATCGGCACTGTCTTCTTTACACCACAGTACCTACACACACACACACACACACACACACACACACACACACACACACACACACACACACACACACACACAAATCCTCTTCCATCTGCATTCCTACACACTTTAATCTATCTAAATTTGCCAGTATGCTTGCCTAACTACTTTACTGACGGACTAGTAGAGTACACCAGTTGTTTAAAACACCAGGGGTTTTCCTGGACAACAGACATGAATATTAAATCCCTGAGAAACATGATCTGTTCATGTTGGAATACACAGAGAGAAAACTCAGATAAGAAGTCTTTGCTGTATATTGCTGGCCGATAGATGACTGCACGAAGCAATGAAAACGTCCCAGCTCAAGTAATGAAAGTTTAAAGCTATTATAGCAAGATGCAGGGGAGAGCTGCTTGATAAAGGGTTGGCTCTGCAGATGGACAGATGGACCATTAATAACAACACAATAAACTGGTACCAGTTCAGAGAGTGGAGCCAGTTCATTGGCTAAAATCCAGGATTCCATAAACATTCAGTGCACGAGAAATCAAAGTCTGTTAGCACAGATCTCACATTTACCAAACACCAGTTAACAGAGGGTGAGACAAGAAGATGAATGGATGAATAGGCAAAACTATATTTAGAAAGCATGATGTGCTGTGAATACTTTCTGGAAGTAACTCCTCCTGTAAGACAGTGGTTCCTAACCTGGGGGTCCCGACCCCCACAAGGGGGCGCCAAAGCCTCTCAGTGGGTCGCCAGGACCTCTCCACTTTAAGGGGTTAAAACTTCATTTATTACTTGTTTATAGCCTATATTAATGTCGATGTTTATAGCCTACATTTTGCTCACATTTTTTTTCATGAGTGAAAAGTTTACTGATATTAAGACAGGAAATAATTAGTACAGAAAAAGTAACACACTTTTAAGAACATTTTGCTCAGCTCATTGTTTTATTTTCAAGTGTCAAAAGTTCATTAAAGATAGGACTGGTTGATTAATCACAGCCTTTACAGTAAATAATCTAGTATAAACAGTAATATACACATTTAAGTACATTTTGCTCAGTGTACTTTTTATGTGTCAAACGTTTATTGAAAGGAATGATTGATTTATCAGTGTTTACAAGAAACAATGTGTTCAGAAAAGTAATACAAACTGTCAAGCACATTATGCTCTGTTTGGTTTTGTTAATGACTTTGTTCTGTACTGGAGCCTACTATTACTGTTATCCAGTGGCGGCTGGTGAAAAATATTTTTGGTGATGCTGTGCTATTTTTTTTAAAATAAACTTGTGCTTTCTGAGCTTTGTGCACAACTTCACTATTTCCTGAATTAAGCACAGCTCTTTTATTTCCTGTCTTACATCATTGGACAAACTGATTAATCCAGGTGTGTCTGACTATTGGCACGCTGCCTTGCGGACCAAGGTTGAAAAATACTGCATTAAATTGCACATAAAATAACATGACCATAAATGGTAAATAAGCAATGCAAGAGGCAAGTAACAAAAACATTTTGTTTAATTTCAACATTTGAGTGAACACGAAAAATTATGAGCAGGTCACTGTTACAGTAATGGTAGTAAACACTACTTAGACAAAATGCCAGAAATTTACACTGTTAGGACTTATGGAAAGTGGAAACACTTTCATAGGAAATAATGTCATCAGTATCCTCTTACAAATGTCATATTTCCCACTTTTGGGGACAATAAAACATTTCTGGTTCTCAATGAGATGTTTTTACTTCAAATGTAAAATCATCTCATTGAGAATCAGAAATGTTTTATTGTCACAAAAGCTGGGAAATTAGTTTGCTGCAGCAGAAGTGTAACAAGTAAAATGGAATCAGATTGATGTATGTACAAATTTACATGAAATACACATTTACATGATTAAATATGTATAATAAGTATGTGTGTTGAAATTAGTTTTTACAGTTATTGCACATTAAACATGTTATTAAACAAATGTCCCGGTTTGTGGGACAACCAAGGATTTCTGATTCTGATTGTCTTGTTTACAGAAATGTAATGTACAGCTTACCTCTGCACCCAGCTGCTGTTGTTCTCCCTGGCCAAACGTCCTCCGTTTCTTTGTTGGCTGCTGCTGCATTCTAGCCTGGCAAGCCATACTAAATAAATGTATTATTTAGTCTGGCCACAATCCATTGACGGCTCTCGGTTGTGGGGCGGGTTCTACCGTTGTCTTTCAAATGATCTCCGCATTCCACTGGACAATGAATGTGACATACTCTTGTTTCACTCTGTTGCATCATCCCACCCACCAGGCATATAGAGTGCCCTGATTAGCCCACAAAGCGGATAAAGCTCTGTGATTTGTTCACTAAGCAGATAGAGCACTATGATTGGCCCACAATTATGGACCAATCACAGCTCTTTATGTGTTTGAAACCCCTCTAGACAGCTGTGATTGGCCAGCCAGAGTCCTGGTAGGAGCTGCTGAGGTTCCAATGGAGCATGCCTAGACCAAACTTTGCAAAGCAAGGATTTGGTCTAGTTCACTAGGCTAGCTGCATTCCTCATTCAGAGAATGAATGGAGTCCCTAATGAGACACACGTTCCACATCCACCTTCTGTGGATCCCAGCCGTTTTGAATAACAAACACAGAAAGCAAAATAACGCATTAGCGTGATTGCATCCAGCTAGCCACTGCTTCCTGGTGTACCAATTTTGGGAGAAGCGTCGTGTGTACAGTTTACCCTTCTCCTTGTCCTGCTGGCTTATCTTTACGTCGGGCTGATCTGGTCCAAGCTCTTTGACATTAAGTTTTTCCACCATAGTTCTCCTCTCGAACGGATACTGGAGAAGAGACCGAACTGAATTCAGTGGCTGCTGAGATCCGGTCTCCATGCTGCTGGTTGTAGGCGCACTGGCGTCCATGTCTACGTCTGCGTCACGACCGTCACGAGTCACGACTAAAAACGTGCTGGAGTCGAGACTCTCTGAGTTCTACCGAACACCAACGAAAGCCTTGGCGGTAGCTCTATCGCCCATCATGCTTCTGAAACAACGTTGACGCTGATTGGATACATTCCCATTCCTACCCTTTGATTTTCTTGTCAGCAATTGGACAACTGGTCCCGTCTTGTTTGGGCGATTGAAAAACAGCACACAGCCTCCACCCCTCGGCAGAGACCGGCAGAGATCGGCAGAGATCAATATATATATGATTTATTTTTGTTACAAAACACACAATTAACTTAGAATATGTGATTATTGTTAATTTTATTTATTTATTTTTTAAAATAAAAATTAAAAACACTGGGGAAACTGGGAGGGCGGCGCCCTATCGCCCTCTACTGGCCAGCCGCCACTGCTGTTATCTATTGAATCCAAGCATATTAAAATGTGCTTGAACAATTTTATCATTTCTTAATAATGTCTGTACTGGAAGAAAGAATGGGAGGGGGTCGTCAAAAATTTTACTGGTAAAAAACGGGATCTTTTGGGAAAAAGATTGGGAACCACTGCAGTAAGACATCTGGGGAAGGTGGCTTTGCTGGGCCTCACTGGAAGTCACTCAAAGCAGATTTTTTTTTATAACAGTCAGAAAAAAAAAGAGTTCAAAAGTTTTATTTATCCAAGAGGAAGAATGAGAAGATGGGTTGTACTTCTTTGATCCCAGATTTTGTAAATGATTGTACCAACCAGACTAGAATCAGTGCTAAAGATGTCTTTCATACTCACGTCAAATAACCTCAGTTTACTCTTCTCCCATCAGAGTCAGTACCTGTACCTGCATCAGTGTGTTCGGGATGTCCTGAGAGCTCGAAAGCTGCGCAGCGAGCAGGAGGACCTTGTCTACCCAATGTGAGCTCCAGCCACAGGAACGGAGAACCAGCAGGAAGTCACAGTGCAGCTCATCCATGACTATGGGAAGACCTGCCAACCACAAATATTGATTCTTTTCCATGGAGATGCTGTGACAGTGTTCATATTTGATCTGAAGCTTTAATCTAATTTATGTAACATGAGAACTGAATAGTGTCTGTTGTTGTACACAAAGTGTGTCGTGGTGACGCTGCTAGACGACACTGACCCAGCCTTTCCAATGGATAAGTAAGCGGCGCGTAACGTAGGAGACCCACTCCGATCCGATGCGTTTAGATGTGAAACGACGACAAAAGCCTTCCACGCTGCTGGTCCTGCAAGGTGATGAAATCATAGGTAAATTGCAACACCATGCATGATTTAGCAGTTGACAAGATAAGCAAAGAGAAAGATGACAACATGTATCCAAAAGGGTCTGTCTGTTGGCCTCGGCTACGGAGATGTCTCGGGTAATGACATACTTCTGTTACTAGTTAAGCAACTGGGAGTCTGTACGTGACTTTGTTTTTAAAGTTTCCAGGTTTTTTGACACTGCTTTTGTGTTAGACTTCCTGTCTGGCCTGATTTGAACTGTTAGATGTGTTCTGGAAGCGTAGCATGTAAAAAAAAAAAACAAAAGTAACATGTACCCAGGGGCGAAAATCCCTCATCATTGTTGGGGGGGGCGGGGGGGGGGGGGGGGCGGGGGGGACGTTAGACAGTAAAAATTTCACGAGTAATTCCTGAGGGGGACATTAGAAAAAGCTTTTTCTCATGTGCTGATGTGTCTTTAATGTCTCATATATTATTAAATATTAGCTTTTGTTCTTTGTTAGTCCATATATAGTCCAGACCTGTCTACAGGTTTTTGGATGCTCTACCAATAATACCAAGAGTAGTAATACTAAGAAAGGAAGGTGTCAGTTAGCTACACCATAGATGACCTAACAGAATATATTGGTCACCATGAACGTTGGTGTGATCTCTAGTACAGCAGCTCAACAAGAACTCAAAGCTCAAATCAGTTTTAAATTGGAAAAAGAAATTATTTAATGAATAACTAAATTACATAATTCTTCAAAAATATGTATTTATTGAAATGGTAACAAACAACAACAGCAACAATATCTTAACGTATCCCAAAACCTAAAAATACACAAACCTTTATATTACATTAAACTTCTGAAGTGCGACAAAGGGTGTATAAATAAAATAAATGTATCTTCATGGGAACTGAACAACCAACTCTCAACACACTAGACCTATAATGCACTGTGTTACACTAAAACACTTCTCCACAAAAGAGAAAAGAAATATTTTGCAAACAAAAGAACCAAATGTTGTTCTTCTGGTGTCACTGGATCCAACAAACTCATCGCAGATCATTTTAATGTCCAACGTATCCAGTCTGTCTGAAAGAAAACTATTTTTGCATGAATGTGCACGTAACAAGTCCAGAACACTGCGAACTTACTACACTGTGTAAAAAGATGTTTGACTTTAAAATTGATATGTTTATGTTTATAGCAAACAATTTTGTCCAAATATATATATATATATATATATATATATATATATATATATATATATATATATATATATATATATATATATATATATACTCTCAAACAGTGTGTTTTTAAGTAGCACTACTTGTATTGTGTGTTCAACAAAAGTTAATATATTGTTAAAACAAAAAAACATTTTGTGTTTTATGGAGTTTTGAGGGGAACACATTTATGTCAGAGGGGGACATGTCCCCTCTGTCCCCCCCAGGATGTTCGCCTATGCATGTACCCAAGCTTCTAGGACGGGATGCTTCAACTTCTGGTGGAAAGGCCCAGTTACCCAAATGATCGAACAGTTTTATCAGCTCGGATGAATAATTAGTTATTTTCCTGCTGACATGTTGGTTCAGAAAAAAGCCAGCTTCGATAAATCCATATGAAGGAATTACAACATCCCCTGCGTATCTCCTGTACGTCTGTCTGTATCTGAACATGCCTGGGTGTTTATCTACAGCTCATTAAACACAGCATGTGCAGAAAACCCTGATTACTGTAATCATTGATCCAAGCCTTCTGCAACACAGAAACACAGAATCCACAGTGATTAGTCTAAAGTACAGTATAAATATAAACTACAGTACCAGTCTAAAGTACAGTATAAATATAAACTACAGTATAAATATAAACTACAGTACCAGTCTAAAGTAAAGTATAAATACAAACTACAGTATGAATATAAACTACAGTACCAGTCTAAAGTACAGTATAAATATAAACAGTCTAAAGTACAGTATAAATATAAACTACAGTATAAATATAAACTACAGTACCAGTCTAAAGTAAAGTATAAATACAAACTAAAGTATGAATATAAACTACAGTACCAGTCTAAAGTACAGTATAAATATAAACAGTCTAAAGTACAGTATAAATATAAACTACAGTATAAATATAAACAGTCTAAAGTACAGTATAAATATAAACTACAGTACCAGTCTGAACTACAGAATAAATATAAAGTACAGTACCAGACTAAAGTACAGTATAAATATAAACAGTCTAAAGTACAGTATAAATATAAACTACAGTACCAGTCTAAAGTACAGTATAAATTTAAACTACAGTACCAGTCTAAAGTATAAATACAAACTACAGTATAAATTTAAACTACAGTACCAGTCTAAAGTACAGTATAAATATAAACAGTCTAAAGTATAGTATAAATTTAAACTACAGTACCAGTCTAAAGTATAAATACAAACTACAGTATAAATATAAACTACAGTACCAGTCTAAACTACAGTACCCACATCACCCCGCTTCTCCTCCAGCTTCACTGGCTGCCAGTCAACTTCAGGATTCATTTCAAGATCCTGGTTCTGGTCTATAGGACCTTACATGGACAAGCACCATCTTACATTGGTGATCTTCTTAGTCCCTTCACCCCCAGCAGGTCCCTGAGGTCCAGTGACCAAAGCCTACTAGTTGTGCAGCACCAGGCTAAAGGTCAAATGTGACAGATCATTTGCTGCTGTGGCCCCCAGACTCTGGAACTCTCTCCCCCTGAGCCTGAGATCAGTGGACTCAGTGGTCTCCTTTAAAAAGCAGCTGAAGACTCACTTGTTCAAGCTGACTTTTGTATGACCTTCTTCACCACTCTCTTTATTCTGCTCTCCCCACCTATTCCACCTTCCTCAGGATCCACTGATTTCTCTCTTACCTATTCACTCTCTCTTTCTTTAAATTTTTAAAATCACAATTGTCTACTTTTTTGCTCATTTAAAGGGGCATTATGGAAGTTTGACAGCCAAAACATGTATAGAAATAATAAAATTCTTCTTCATACATTCTCCTGCAATGCCCTGGTCCTGTAGAATGAGCCCTGGCATTTTTACTGTGATTGCCTGTTTTTCTGTAAAATCACAGAAAAAGAGAGTTGCTCGGGTCGAGCAGGCTGCTTCATGCGCATTCACGCTCAGGCATCGCCCTCCAAACCGTTCTTTGAACGTTGTTTCAGCTGTCATTAAGAATATAAATGTTACAGATACAGAAGACGTCACTGGTGGTTTATCTCGCCTAGTAAGACTTCGGGCTTTCGTGCAGACAACCTGGGTTTGATTCTGGGTGTGAACATAGTTTATTTAGAGTTTCTTTTTTACATTAATGGTATATTCTTTTTTACAGTAAGATGTCCAAATTTTTATTTGAGACTGGCCAAACGGCATTGAATTCACAGATAAAAAAGATGTGGGTTCAACTTTCATTTTGGAACAATTTTTCAAGCAAGGGAAGGGAATGATCTGAGCATGCAGGAGGACTGACCCATCTTAAACCTTTGTCGGCTGTGCTGAAGAGAAAGGTACAGAACCAAATTATTTATTTAATTAACTGCATGTTCTCATGTCCTCTGTCCCCCCCCCCCCCCCCCCCACCACACACACACACACCAAAGCTGGGGCTAGGCTCCTCTCACCCAATATGATGTAACACTGGATCACTCTGCAGCACGTAATGAGGTAATCTATGGTCTATGTAGTCTCTTCCACACTCTCGTTCCCCAGTTCCATGCTGCCATCCCACGGTGTGAGTGTGTAGTGCCGGTGATCCAACTATCCGTGTTACTCGTTGATGACCGACTACTACGTCACAGAATATTCGATGAGGACACACAGATAGATCACCAGTATCCAGCCTGTTTTAGTGGTTTCTCTGCTCCAACACATTTGATTCTATGGTTGAATCACCTGTGCAGCAGCAGCTCGTAAGGCTCTGCAAAATAAATCAGGTGTGTTGAAAGAGTCCAAACTCAAACCTGCCCTGAGGCCTGGAACTGAATACCTGGTTGTAGGGAGTGTGAACTTTGGCTCTGCTCCTGCATCAGCCCTTTGCTCGAAGCATGTGCGCTTCCTCAAAGTGCACTTCGCAGAGGATCGGAGTCAGCAGTGAGGTAAGGGCACTCTGGTCCTGACTCGAGGCCTGCCCCGACTACGTACGCGGCGCATGCGCAGTGCGGTGCGTAAGGTGTCGGAAGTTGCGGCAGCAGCTCGCTGTGATTTTTAGCTCGGGAGCAAACGAGCAAGAAAAGTTTGTTTTTAGCCGTAGAAAGAGTTTTGGGACGGACCTTTTCAGCCCGCAGTGAACCACTAAGGACCGCAGATGGATTCTGACTGGTTTAGATTGATGCTTGTTTGTAAAGAGAAACCTTAGGTGCGTTTTAAACGAGTTGTGATTGTTTTTTTTGGCGCTCCAGCGGCGCAGAGGAAACATGGAGGATCTCCTGTTGTAGCAGCCGCTAGCTTTAGCTGAACGCCTGGATTTACGGACAGACTTGAGGTGCTCCTCCATCTGGATGCCCCAAAGGTTTGGATGCTGGAAATCACCCCTCTAACCAAGCCTGGTGAGTATGGACCGATGTACGGACAGGTTAGGGCTTCTGCGAAGAAGGTAGCGGGCGTTAGCTGCTGCTAACTAGCTGCTGCTAGCTAGCTGCCATTACAGCAACTTCACATCGAGAAGTTTCACACTGCAGCGGCTGCGTGATTCACATTTCGCAAATGAACCGCTAAATGTGCGGCTCGCACACGGTTTTAACCGTGAGGTTAGTTAATCTGGTTAGTTATCAGCGATATAAACTGAATGCGCACGCGCTGAGGAAAGTGAAAACACTCAAGTGTCACCGAGAGGTCCTGAGATCTCGTTATTGATCATCCCGGTGCTGGAGTGACGTCAGAGCTAACAGATTAACTATCAGCAGATTCACACATTACAAATCTGATCAAGTGTTTTAAGGGTTTGGAAATGAAATGGTAAATGCCTCGTTATCTATACAACACCTTCTACAGTTCTGCAACCCCCCAAAGTGCTTAGACATGCACTACATCATAGCCACAGCTGTCCTGGGGCTCACTCAGATGCGCCACTGGTCCTGCCCAGGTACACAAGACAGAACCTGGGCTTGAACCTGCAACCCTCTGGTCACAGGGTTTGGGTTCTCACAGGACGGGTACTTAATGTCTCTGACACAATTGCCCCAAAGTCAAACATAAAGGTTAGTAATCGCTTCACTAGGAGAAAGTATTTCAGAATTAATTGATTTATTTAACATTTGGAGCAAGTTTCAACAGAAATTTGCTTTGAATCAAAATGTGATTAGAAACAAGTGTGTTACTGCTCAGATTCAGGATGGATCGTCATGGTAGTCGGGGCCGGTTTCAGGTCAGCTTAGGGTCGAAACACTAGGGCTGCAACTAACGATTATTTTCATAATCGATTAATCTGTCGATAATTTTTTCGATTAATTGATTAGTCGGTTTGTTATTGTTTAGCTATTTAACCTATACAAGTGATGAATACATTTCAGTTAAGAAAAAGAAAAACATAGGAGAATTGTGCAATTGACTGCAATCATTTTATTGCACATGAACACAGTCAGCGGTGTAAAATGAGCTAATCAGTCCAGAATAATTTTTTGGCATCAAAATATAAGAGGTAAATTCCATAAAAAAATAATGTAGAATCTAGAATAGAGTTTGTAAGTGGTATGCAGTGCACTGCTCGCCGATCACTGCTGGTCTAATCTGCACAGAACTGGCTCATCTCGAACACAGTCAATGGCTCGAGTACAGCAAAGCGGAGTTGGTGATGTACTGCGTTGTATGCCGGAAGTATGCGACGACAAAATCGTGTTTTGTTGACGGAACAAACAAATTCAAACTTGAATGCGTTATTATGTTTGTGAATGTGTACAAAATAAAGGTTTATTACATTTAAAACGGTTCAGTTGTTATTTTGACTCGTTTTGGCAGCTGACCAGCGGGGCCGGTAGATTCTTGGCAGGGCCGGTAAATATTCAGACTTACCGGCCCGGCTGGCCGGTTGGTTTTGAAGTTAATGTCCACCCCTGATTCTGAATATTTTCTGCAACTCTCACTTTGCATTCAGCGTACATGCGTGGAATGGCGGTGTTCGAAAAATACTTGCGGCTGGAAAACTTGTAGCGCGGATCCAATGTTTTTATCATTTTCTTAAATCCCACTCCTTCTACTGTTCGCACGGGACACAAATCTTTTACCAAGTGGTACGTCACTGCGTCGGTCACGCTGTTCCATCGTCTGCTGTCTCTGTCGTAGGGAGTGAGTTTTGTGAGTGTTTCTGTTAGCGTTTGCTGCCTGGAAGAAGCACTAGCCGCTGCAGACGCAGACTTTTTAGCTTTAGCTGCCAGCTGGCTCTCATTCTATTGTTTGGGATGCCTTCTTTTCAAGTGATTAAACAAGTTTGTGGTGTTGCCATCACTTGCCTTGACGCTCTCCTTGTAAATGACGTTTCGCTGCTCTTTGTCATCTGGTGAAAAACCAAACCAGTTCCATATAATGGACGTGGCGTTTCTCTTCGGAACGAAAACCTCGTTGTCGCTCTCAGCCGCGGCCGAAGCCATGTTTGTTCACACACAGGTGAAAACAAGCGGGGCACTAATATGTTACTATGACTCACTCTGATAGGTTAAGGGTCAAACAAAGGTGTGTCATTCGCCTGAGGTAAGTTCCCTTTTCATTCAGAGGCAGAATTTCAACAGCAGAGCTGTGAATCGTGATAAAAAAGGTCTCTCAAAAATGACAGACTGTCAGATGTGTAGATCGTAAAACGGTCTAAAATCGTCATATCGCCCAGCCCTACCCATGGGTAAGAGAGGTGGTGGAGGACCTAAACTTGGAGACAGCCACAGAAAAGGAGCGCTCAGAGAGATAAGAGGAGAACCACTCCAGAGCAGATCCTGATAGGCCTACCCAGTCTCTCAGCCTCTCCAGTAGCAGGTGATGGTCAACAGTGTCAAAGGCTGCAGTCAGGTCCAGCAGGACCAGAACAGAACAGTCTCCTGCATCACTGTGAGTCAGAAGGTCATTAGAGACCCTAAGAAGAGCTGTTTCAGTAGAATGAGCTCTACGAAAACCTGACTGGAAGCTATCATAGATGTTCTGTTCATCAAGAGCAGCTGTGAGTTGTTTAGCCACAACCTTTTCCAAGATCTTGGAGATGAACGGAAGTTTAGAGATGGGTCTGAAGCTGCTATGAAGAGAGGGGTCGAGACTCGGTTTTTTAAGAAGCGGGTGGATTACAGCATTCTTAAAATATTACCAACATCTGCCGATATTGATGCCGATATATTGTCCATCCCTATTATTTTTGTTAACGTCATAAACTCTTGAGCGATCATTTAGACTTTAATAAACATGGTTGCTGCTGCTCTGAGCATGTCAGCTCCTTCCTGTAACACTGGTGTGTGAGCACTACCCTAGTCACCATTTACTCCGCTTTTGCCGTCCTATACAGCGGACCCATGTGATCTGGCGATGTAGGTGCAAAGGGTCAATAGAAGAGATCTTGCATTTTAATCTGTGGGGGAGGGGTGGGAAATTGACAGTTTCGTAGTAATGTTTTAATCTTGTGCAGCACTTTGAGTTGCTCTCGCTGAAATAACACTGCTTCATAAATAAAGTTTAAGTTTGAATCAAAGCAGGGATGCCTAATCCTAGTCCTTGAGGGCTGCTGTCCAGCATGTCTTCGTTGTTTCATTGCTCCAACACACCTGATTCAATGGTTGAATCAGCTGTTTAGTAGCTTATGAAGCTCTGCAGAAGCCTCCTAATTACCTGCTGATTCAAACCAGATGTATTAAAGCAGAGAAACAACTGAAAGATGCTAGATTGAAGATCTCGAGGACCTGGGTTGGAGACAACTGGTTTAAACTAGGGCCCGACCGATATGCTTTTTTTGGGACTGATACCGATATAAAACTTTTAACAAAGGCCGATAGCCGATATAATGGCCGATAAATCTCCCTCACAAAAAAATAAATACAAATGTTCTTAAGATTAAACCCTTCATTCTCTGCCTTTTTTATGCTAACCTATTTCAATATTACACACCAAAGAACTGTCTCAATAACTCCCTAGGGTTTCCAAGTAATGCAAATAAGATTTATTTTGCAATCTCAAAAACAACAGAACACACAAACTACTACTGAAGATGAGCAGATGCTGCAGATGACATCACCGGATGGATCTTTAGTGAAGTAGGCCCACACCGTACTACGACCCTCTTTTTCCATCTGTAATAAAATAATCAGCATAAAAGTAAAGTTATATATCTGTTGATACCAAGACAAAGTAAAATACATTAAATGTGGCATTTTTATACTTAAAAGTTAAAAAATTATCATGTAAATAAATGATATCAGGCATTGTGGCTCAAAACCAATGGCTCTGTTTTTGTTTGGTTCCCCAGCTGTTAAGGTTTTCTCATTTAGTATTCAAGTCTTTTTTTTTTCCTTCCACTGAATTTTCTACTCCGTTTGTTGTCAGGTTTTTTTTTCTAGTTATTCTTCTTTCCCTTTTAGGATTCTTTCTTCTTTAAAAATATTTTCATTAATAGTTCCTCCTATGTTCCCCTGCTGTCCTCTGCTCCCACTCACAGCTCCTCCTCATAACTAGTCCTCTGTCATCTCTCACTCCTCAGTGCATACGGTTCAGTTTCAGTCATACTCTGCTGGTTTCAGCGTCCTAGCTACCTGATTTTTGGCATTAAAATAATTTTGAGTTTTACACTTTTGTGTTTTGATCCTTTCCAAAGCCAGCAGTATTAGGAAAATAAAAATAAGATACATAAATGACTAGTATGTGGCAATGTATAAGCCTTATGTAAAATATAAGGCTGAAAAACACAATAGATTTATTCTATTGTAGAGAGGGATGTTTATTTTCTCGTATTACTGCCCCTACTCCTCTCCCAGCTAGGGAGAGGAGGGGGGACTCCCAGTCCCTGCACAGCGTTTCATTGCTTTGTTGCCAACCCCCCCTCGCCCGTCCTCAGCTGCGACAACGGTCGTGTGCTGCAGAAGCGCCGCGAAACGGGGACCGCCTTCATTCGTCGCCCTTGTTATCCTATTCTGCAGCTCTTCGGCACTCCAGCCCGCGCCGTGCAGCGATCGTTTCGGCGTCTGCACTATTTTTTTCGCGAGCCGCGGGTGAACCGCGTGAGTTTGAAAAGACTGCTGAAGAGCGGAGGAAATTGTCTGAGAATATTCCAGAATGTCCACCAGAAAAAGGCCAGCAGAAAAAGGGGAAGCAGCGTGAGCTCTGCATAGAGCGTAATGCTGCAGCAGTTTTATTTTTTCAGGTTAACTTTTCAGTACGAGGCCACGAGGCACACAATAAACTTAGGTAGCATGTTGAGGGGAAACATACTTTTGTCATTATTTTACCGTTCAACTTACCACTGACACAACAAATATGCTTAAAACTGAAGACTTACCTCCTACTTCCTCATCACCGTCGTCTCTGCTTGACTGAATTGCTTCTGCTGCTCCACTGCATTGCATGTGTGCTGTGATGGTGCCCCCCCCCCCCCAGGAGTGGAGCCACACAACAGTTCTTAAAGCTGGCGCCATCTGCTGGATAGGTAGCGCAATATCGGCCATCTTTTTGGCCGATAGCCGATAGTGTTAATGACCCCTATATCGGCCGGCCGATATATCGGTCGGGCGATATATCGTAGGGCTGCTCAATTAATCGAATTTTAATCACGATTACGATCTGAGTTTTGAACGATTATAAAAAACATAACAAGCCGATTATTTGCTCCTCCCGCTTGCGCTGCCCTAAGTTGCAAATGAAGCGCTCCTCCACAGTGTTGCCAACTTAGCGACTTTGATGCTATTTCTAGCAGCTTTTCAGACCCCCTTCTTGACTTTTTAATCCTAAAAGTACCTAGCGAACATCTCAGAAACATCTCTGGTAACCCTTAGCTACTTTCTGGATAACTGTCGTCGACATTTCCTGCAGGTTAGCTAAACACTCCGCCTGCACTCCGGACCGTTCTTCACAACATTAGGAAAGGGAATGATGCAGTGATGTGTCGGTCGCTAAAGACAGCTCTCGGAGCCGGCTCCTTGTTGGATTAACCAGAGTGAGTGACACACACACCGCACCTGCGGTCTCCTGAGCAGCTAAAAACAGCTAAATGTGCGCGTGCGGCGTGCTAAACACACGTGCAGCTTGCCCGATTGCTGTGAGACCGGGGTGGGGGGGTGGGGGGTGCAGCTGTGGTCGGGACAATTATTACATTAACTGATGGGCCTGTAAATAAATAGTTTATAAATAAGGTAGAAATAAGTTCCTCACGCTGATAACTAATCTCTCTGAGGACACAGTGCTACAGCACCTTGACACGACTCAATAAATGTTATGTAACATTTTGTGAACATCAATTTATTTGCATTTATTTGTTATAAATGCCACTGTATAATTCTTGCTGTCAGTATTTGCAAGATATTGGTATTTGGGTCTGTACTGGTTAGACTTACATGAGTTAAACCAAGGTCTATAGCCCTTGGGTCATAGACTATGAGCTATAAGTATATTGGTCTTTTTATACTGAGAATCAGGAGTTCTTTTAGTGATCATCTTGTTTCTTATTTTTGTCCTGATTGTGCCCTGAGCAGTTTTATGACTGAATAAAAACAAATAAAATCAACATAAATTGAAAAATCGTCCTAAATAATCGTGATCTCAATTTCAGTCACCATAATCGTGATTATTATTTTTGCCATAATCGAGCAGCCCTAATATATCGGTCGGGCCCTAGTTTAAACTAATCAAAATCGATATTGAATTTTTTTTCTGATGCGTCATTAGTAACATTCAGATGTTATGTAGACTGATTATTGTGTTGGTTCCACCTACAGAGCTGCGATTCCTCCCTGCAGACCCACTGTAGCTCTGAGGATGGAAGCAGAGCTGCCGGAGGCTGGATCTAGGTGAGTCCACCTGTACAGTTGCCTACCTGAGTAACCTCATATGTTGCTCATTGTCTTCACTAAAGTTTTTGGATGTTCCAGACATCAGATGGTGCTCTGAAGAAGCCATGGGTAGCTGTTTAAGCTGTCCAGAGAAAGAGTCAGTTCCAGATAATCATCAGAGTAAATTCAAGGTGAGTTCCTGCCCCAATCTGAGCTCAGACTTTGAGGTCTGTTCCAGGCAAAACGGAAGAAAAGGTAAATGTTTTTAGCCAGTGCCCAGTGTTATTCTACATACAAATCACATCACTCTATGAAATATCTAATTGCCATTAGCCCACAGGGATCTATTTGTTCTATTTCTAATGGGTGGGGAGGCCGCACAAGTGACAAGTTCACCACAGAAAATAGTAACTTTTTATCACACTTAATTCCAGGAGATCTAGTTTAGGCAGACAGGGGCTTTAACGTGAGACAGTCTGTACAATCTTTCCAAGCTGACAAAGATCCCAGCTTTTACCCGTGGTAAAAAAACAGTTAGACCTGTCGACCTTGAAAGCACCCGATGCTTAGCATCACTCAGGATACACATTGAAAGGGTCATAGGAATTGTTCGTCAGAAATACACTTTATTGCAAAGCACCGTACCCATCACATTTACTGACATTGACAAAGAAAATGATGTGATGCATCTAGATAAAATTGTGAAGGTGTGTTGTGCTCTCACAAATGTATGTGAATCAGTTGTACCCACCCAGTAGGCTACAAGTAGTGTGATTACAATTTGATATGCATTTAAGATCAGTGTAAACACTACATTAATTTTTCAGTACAGAAGACTGAAAACTAATTTGTTAAAGAAATGTGATATTTGTACAGATTCAGGAACATTGAAGTTGTCCATCAAATAAACACTGTTGGACTAGCTGTTCTTTTGTGATTTGATTTTTCTACAGGTGGGACAAATCCACTGTTTAGTTACCCTTTTGATTCCCAGACAGGTTTGATGAAACCTCTTTACAGAGCAAACTCCAGACGCGCAAACCAACATGCTATCAGACTGACTCTCGACAATAGCACCACTGTGGACCACTAGCACACTCGAGTTTAGGTGCAGAGAAAACCTTGGCTACTAACTCAGGAAGGACACATGTTTTATGGAATTCTTTAGCAATCAGTAGTTCTTTTTTAAAAAAAAACTGTCATCTGGCAAGATCCGTTCAACAAAAGGTGACGTAGGATCCTTATCAGTCCAAACGATGAAGTCACAATATGATTTGCCAGTCATGAACATTTGCATCTGAACTTGATAAAAGTGACTATGGTCACGTTTCAGTCTCATGTTTCCACTTTGGTCTTTTTCAAGACAGAAACTTGTATTTTTTACCGCAACAGTTAAATCTTTGGCACAAAAGGGACACTTGATTTCTATGACACCAGCACCACAGCAGCTGCAAGACGCAAAGCCGTCCGGTGATGCTCCAATAAATGGATGAGTGGTTGAGATTGTGAACCCAGCCTTTTCGACCAGAACGTCAGCATGTGTGAGACGATGCTGGTTTTCATAGTGTGGTCGTGCTGCAGCTTCATGTTTCCAGCCTCATCTGCAGATAGGAAAAAAAAGAGATGTTAAATATCATATAAACATTAATAAAAAATAAAAATGCCTACACAAACCACAACCTTGTGTAAGACAGGAAATACCTTGTTGCTTCACTTAAGAAACTGTAAGACTGTGGATAACATATTTCTTTGATAAGAGACACTGAAGGCTTCCTGATGTCTGTTTTACTTGCTGCTCTCAATGTGGATGCAGTAATTCTGCCGGCTCTCTGTTCAAACCATATTTTGGACTTTTGCTGATCTCGCGTCTGCTTCTCCACCACTTCACTCTGAAAATGCAATAATAATTACTACATATATCAAATATGACTAACCTTATGAAGACAGGGAGGACAGTTGATACCTGTTCTTTACTCACTGACAACTGTTCAAACAAAGCTTCTGCTCTTTTCTGCAGCTCATCTTGACTCACTTCGCCTTGGTCTGCTTTTCGGATTTTTGTGTGTGGTTAAATACAATATCCTTCCCCTGCAGATATTCCACCCTCTTCATAGCAATGTCACTTGGTCTGTCCCATTTGCATTTTTTTATGTTGCTGTTGCCTCATCTTCCCTTTCTTGGTTATGCTGCCATAATCTAAACAGCATAGCAGACACATGAGAGCAACACACTCCCTGTCCAGCTGTGCAATTACAATGAGCTCCTAGCACAACACCATCTCTTCGAACCACTGCCCATGGTTTTGGAAGGGGTGTCATTTAATCTTTGAGTGGTTTACCTGTAAAAAAATTAAATAAATAAAAAATAAAACATAAAATTACGTTCTGCAATTAGCTTCCTGGCTAACGTATCATAGCATACGCTAGCATACTACCGGCATTATGTTTGGCTACATACCTTTGTAGTAACGACAAAACAATCCCTTTGTTGTGAACTCCACAGCTGAATCTCAGCCACAAATCCCGACTGAATCCGTTTATATCCCTCCAGACTTTTGTAGGCTTTCAGCGACTGTCCGGTGTAGTGTGAAGGAAAGTTGATGAGATAATTGTATATGTCGGGATACTGTAACTTTGGGAGTCCCGCGACGCGTGCCACCTGATCTACCGGTTTAAAAAGTACACCCGAAGGTAAAGAGGGATCACTAATCTGTAGTCTCTGAAGTTTAGTTGTGTATCGCTCTTCATCACTTTCCAAAAGTTGCCTGCAACCATCCGTTGTAGTCGCCGCCGTTCATCTATTTTCCCCGATCGCGTTCCTGCCAATATGGCGTCGTAAACAAACCTGGTCACGTGATGCCCGGAGCTCTATATAAGGAACCTAGCAGGTTGCATCGGGTCACTGACTAGTGTCAGAGTCTTTACAGCAATCCTCATACTAAGCAAGCATGCAGCGACAGTGGAGAGGAAAACTCCCTTTTAACAGGAAGAGACCTCCAGAGGATCCTGGCTCAGTATTGCCGAGTTTCACTCCCGTGACTCTGCAGTCACATGAAACTCAAATGGGGGGCAGGAAGTGTTTTACTCCACAACAAAAGACAGCGTGAAGCTGGACGAAAACGATTTTACTACGGCGTTAAATGAGCTGGCACATACGCAGTATCGTGGAAAGAATACATCTTCTTTTAGGTCATGACCCATATAGCTTTAAAAGTCGCACTTTTCATCCACTGTGGAGAAGTTACCCAGCGCTGAAGCGATCGCCATCAAACTACCTTGTGCTGCCTTCCTCACATTACCCTGCAAACCAAATGAAAGCCTTTTACAGGCCTGGAAGCCTGCAGCTGATTTATTTCAGGTTGGTTAAGCTTTCAGTGATCCGGAGACGCTTGAAATGATGATCGTCTTGTTTTTGCTCAGTAGGTAGTTGTGCGATTTTAATTATTTATTTAACCACTATTCATCCAGAGTAGTCGATTCACAACTCATTCTCATTTACAACAATGATCTGGCCAAGAGGCATTCATTATCTCATGACAATGATGCTATCACTAATGGTAGTGATCAGTATGTGCTAGGATCTATTTGTAACTAACATTTTATACCTTTTAAAGACAAATTTCTGGTTCGTCTGTTTGATTTTAATAAGGTATAAATGCCACGTTACAACACAAAGCTAAATGCTAAAAATATTAGCACTCTCAAAGCTATTTGCAGTATAAAACTGTTAACCTGAGGTTTTTATGGCTGTTTCTAAGCAGCTGTTTATAAAACATTTAGTAATCTCTTACCTGTTAAAAAGTGATCGCTGTAAACTAGCAGTGTCTGTTTTAAGCTGTAGATTATGGATCCACTTCTGCCATCTTTCTTCAGCATATTTTAGTTTTTAAGTGAAGTTCTTTGTGGCGCGCTACATTTAAATGTTTGTCTTTGTCCCGATAGGGAGCCTAAGTCACGCCCACCACGGGCCCCCGGAAGAACGAAAAAAATGAGCGCAAGTCAACGGGGCTAAAAACGCTAGTTTCTAAAGGGCCTTTCCCATCTGTACCGGGTCGGCCCGGGCCGGGTAGCGTAGGTTGTTTACATATCTGGGTGGCCTGGTATTTTTCCGGGCCAACCAAGGCTTATTCTCAGCCCTCTTCTCGAGGGGGTCTGCTTCAGGCCGACCAGGGCCAACGCACCCACTGCTGACAGCAAATTCACACCTTCCATTAGAGCAAGCCTCTGATTGGTGGGTAGAATCAGCCCACGTGGGCTTAAGGCAAGGATGTGTGGAATCATCCGGGCCAGGCTGGGGCCGACTGGGGCTACCCGGCCCGGGCCGACTCGGTACAGATGGGAATGGCCCATAATCCTGCTTGTTTTGTACCATGGATTTCACATGAGTGAATTTTAAAAACATTTTGATACCAAAAACATGCTTATTTTTGAACAGGGGGAAACGCTATTTTAGGTTTTGTGTGAAAATAAGTCAAGGACTGCAAATGCGTTTCACAAAAGTGACGTCATCAAACCAGACACAGAGAAAATGGCCGTAAGTTCAGCAAACTGTCCTTTGTAGGGATGGACAATATATCGGTATCAATATCGGCCGATGTTAGTCGGTTTTTTAACATATCGGTATCGGTTCGATAAATCAAACCGGGCCCATATTAACAACCGATATTTTTTCCATCTCGTCTCAATTTGTTTGCCTGTTTCAGAGGGTGGGGGTGGTGATGTGAATGAAATCATCTCAGAAGCGTGTGTGTGTGTGTGTGTGTGTGTGTGTGTGTGTGTGTGTGTGTGTGTGTGTGTGTGTGTGTGTGTGTGTGTGTGTGTGTGTGTGTGTGTGTGTGTGTGTGTGTGTGTGTGTGTGTGTGTGTGTGTGTGTGTGTGTGTGTGTGTGTGTGTGTGTGTGTGTGTGTGCGTGCGTGCGTGCGTGCGTGCGTGCGTGCGTGCGTGCGTGCGTGCGTACATAATAACATAAATTCAGCTTAAATTATTTCATTCTATACAAAATCTGCTTATTTTAGAAGCATTAATGTCAGAATATCTGTATCATGAGTATCGGTTATCGGCCACACCAGTGATCTTAATATCTTAATATATATTAATATCTTAATATATCCAAAAATGTAATATCGGTGCATCACTAATCGGTGCATCACTAATCGGTGCATCACTAGTCCTTTCTTCAGAAGGAAACAGCCACCATAAATCAGGTCATGTGGTAAGTAGCAGCTACGCTAGGGGGAGGAGATTCTGTGGTGACGTCATATATGCGACATACCGACATCTGGTGTGTAGTCATGCTAATTACAAACTTTTACCAGCTGATAAATCTCTCAGTACGTGACTGGCGTGGTCGAAACATCATCATTACTTTTCACTTAAATAGACGTACAACTTGTGTGATCCAGGGCGTAAGGCAGAGCGGGTTAGGAGATGGCTTTTATCCCCGTTGACTTGCATTCATTTTTTCGTTCCTCCGGGGACCCATGAGCCGACCGGAAGGGGAGGAGCCTTAGTGATTATATTAACCGTAGACCTCATAGGATTTGGGCATTTTAATGCCCAGTTATCAAAGTAAACAGCATTTTGTGCAGTGCCTGCCACTTCCGGACCCCCATCTGCATTTGGTGACATCTAGGTAACGTCATGTGAAACCTAGCAATAAGCAGCCATCCGCCACAACTCACTAGGGATGGAGAAGTTCGCAGGCACACACACACTAACAACTTATATCCCAAGTAGCGCTTCCATGGCTACATTGTGATTTCTTACTACATAAACGGCACCTTGGGGTTCCCTTTGCTCTGGGACACCAGGTTGGAGAAATAGGCAACCCTCACGTCTCTGACTGCAGAGTTAAAGGAGGTCAGAAGCTCCTTTAGATGCAGCAGATGGACGTGGAGACGGGTTTTCTTCCACAAGCGCTCAACTTTTCTGCACTGTTGCTTCAGGCTGAAGTTAAACCAGAAAGTAGGGTTCACTGCAGGAGCTGATCGGGCTCTGACAGGACAGATGTTGTCCAGGATGGAGAGACAGCGCTCGTTAAAGCGAGTAAAGAATCTGTGTCATTATTAAGAGGAAAAATGTGACTGTGTTTGCTTCCAGGTGATTAATGTTGACGATGATGGAAACGAGCTGGGCTCAGGTGTCATGGAGCTGACCGAATCAGAACTCGTCCTTCACACCCATCGCCGCGATGATGTCAGGTGGCCATACCTGTGTCTGCGACGTTACGGCTATGACTCCAACCTGTTCTCATTTGAGAGTGGCCGGCGCTGCCAGACAGGCCAAGGTACACATGCCTATCCGAGTAACCTGCTCCACACTGGCCATGCTAACCAATCAGCTCACGCCTGTCAGCGATGGGGCATTTTAATACTGAAAACGCCACGTAGCTGCTCAGCAAGGGTGTGGCTTAACGACGAGCTCTTAGAGAGTGACAGCCCTAACCCAGAAAGGTGCTTCTGGGCCACAATAACCTTTGTGGCCCTCTGCAGTCAGAGGTGGCACCCACCATTTTTTTCTGATCTCATTGAACTAAGTTGGATCAGTACTTGTAAGATATCTATAGTCAGAAAGCAGCCAGAACCTCTGGACTAGTTCATCAACTTCCTGTTCAGCCTCAGGTAAAACCAACAGGTAAGGTAGGAAATGTGGTGGCATTTGGCTAAAGTTGCTCTGTGTCTAATGTTTCTCATGCATGCTGTCTGGACCATGGTCTGCTCAGGGTTGGGGTGGTATTGGTAAGTCTCAGATGGGTAGGCTGATCAGCTGATCAGTATTGATTGTGCTGTGGATACACAGGGATCAATATGTGTGTTGGTTTTGTGCACCCTACAGTCTCAGTGACTCGTGTGTTTGCGGCCTTTGGATGTGTTTTCCCTCTTCCTCGTCTGTCAGGTGTTGAAGTCAACTCCACGTTGTCCCATTAGACCTCCTGGTTCAGCCCCAGACTGTCGTCTCTCCACAGGTGTCAAATGGGCCATTCCCATCTGTACCGGGTCGGCCCGGGCCGGGTAGCGTAGGTTGTTTACATATCTGGGTGGCCTGGTATTTTTCCGGGCCAACCAAGGCTCATTCTCAGCCCTCTTCTCGAGGGGGTCTGCTTCAGGCCGACCAGGGCCAACACACCCACTGCTGACAGCAAATTCACCCCTTCCATTAGAGCAAGCCTCTGATTGGTGGGTAGAATCAGCCCACATGGGCTTAAGACAAGGATGTGTGGAATCAACCGGGCCAGGCTGGGGCCGACTGGGGCTACCCGGCCCGGGTCGACCCGGTACAGATGGGAATGGCCCAAAACTCTGGTCCTCGAGGGCCGCTCTCCCACCTGTTGTAGTGTTTTCCTGTTTCAACACACCTGATTCCAACCAACAGGTGATTAGCAGGCTTCTGGAGAGCTTGATGAGCTGCTGCACAGGTGGATCGACTGTGTTGGAACAGGGAAACAACAAAAAGATGCAGGACACCGGCCCTGGACGGCTGGAGTTGACACCTGTGGCTTAGACCAACCAGGGGCACGTTAGCGCTGTGATGGAGTTAGTGGGCTGACCTGCTCTTGTGTTGATGGCCCCTGTGTCTGCTGAGCGTTTGTTGGACTTGGTATCTAAGCTAAGACCTGCTGGTTACCCACATTACCCCATGCTAATTAGATTTTTAGGATGTTTTTGAGTTGTTAACTCTAGGAATGGGCGATGTGGCCTAAAATCTCTATCGCCCTCATTTCTGAAGCTCATGTGGTGATGATACGTATTGCAATATGTTCTTTTCCTGTTTATACATGTCTGAATGACAATCTCACATACCAGATGAACTTCAGAACAGATGAATTCAAAAAGTATTTGATTACTTTTCATGTTCAAAACTTATTTAAATTAAAATCCTTATGTTAAGGTTCTTTTTCCAATAAATGCAACAACTCAAAATGATCCAAAATGGGTTTAATGAAGGCAACTGGATTTCTTTGGTTTCACTTCTCGTCCAAGGAGCTCTGTCAGTTCAGACGGGAATATGGGAGAGTCGAGCTTATAAGCTGTAGCTAAGGCTGATGGGGCCACTAGTGTACTGGGGAGTTGTACGGTGCCTGTCTGGTGACTTTAGGGTTTGGTTTCATCAAATATGTTGTGGTCAAACAGATCAGACCCTAAGAGGCTGAGTCCCTGACCATAGCCCTGACCACTTCCTGTCTGTAGACACTGGGGTTGCTCTGGATTTGGTCCAGATGTTTGGAAGAACTTTGTCTGCATTAGAGCTCAACTGACTGTCAGAATTTGCAACTTTTCTGGCTTGCAGCTGCTCTGAAGGCTTTGATGCATTTCTGAGAACAGTCGTGTTCAGCATTTAGATGGTGAAGGGAACTGTCTGACTGCCTTGTCTGAGTGTGTCAGAAGCTTACCTGTCGCAGGTAAATCAGGAGGAGGACAGGTGAAGGGAGACCTGGATGAGTTTATGGAAGGATGAATCCTTCTAATCAGCTGAGGAAACATCTTTAGCCACCTTGTTGCTGTTCAACTCTAAAACGTGTGTGTGTGTGTGTGTGTGTGTGTGTGTGTGTGTGTGTGTGTGTGTGTGTGTGTCTTGGTGGTTAATCATTTTCATTTTGTGTGTTTTCAGGTATTTTTGCCTTCAAATGTTCTCGAGCTGAAGAAATTTTCAACATGCTGCAGGAGGTGATGCACAATCACAGCATCAGTGTGGTGGAGGAGGCAGTGGTGGACCCCAATCAGCAGGGGGCGCTCACACCTGCAGGTACACACACACACACACACACACACACACACACACACACACACATCCACATACACACACACACACACACACACACTGATTTTAGCAATGGTGAATTTTTTACGTTAAACTGTATATCGATGGAACATAGTTGCTCTAGTAATCCTAATTTCAAGGTAATGTCTCAGAAATAAAACAAAGGGCAGATTAAATCTGACACAGCAGATTATTATAGAATCAAATAAAAAGTGGAGCAGATTAAGGAGTGGTTCAATAGTTTTTTCACAACAAACTGTCTGAATATCTTTCAGCTGAATTCTGATATACAATAAAAATTATGGTCCAGGTGGTTTTTCTTACCGAGTCTGCTGATATCGAGTCCCGACCTGATACTTCAGACGAGAACACATCCAAGTTGTCCTTTAAGTGTTTTTATTATAAATTATGTATTTATGCCATTTTCTTGGTTTATCTGAAAATAACATCACTTGTTTCGGAAGTACATGGGTAAGAATGAATATGCATTCACTGGCCACTTTACTGGGTACACCTTGCTGGTACCGGTGTCGGTACCAGGTCGGCTCGGGATCCTGCGTCTGCTAAATACGTCACAGTAGATGATTGGCTGAATGTAAGACTTACTGGAGTTACGACACCAAACTTGTAAAAGTTACGCTAACGTGTTGACGATGAAGATTTTGATCGGTCAGAACGAATTTACAGTTGTAGTCTTAGCGGTTGTAGTCCTGTAGTCCAAAAATCAACACTCTTCGGAGACAAACTGTTTGAATTTCCAAAGGAAATGTAAAATAAAACAACAACTGATAAACGCTGATTCTCAGGAGCTCTTGGTTTTGATGAAATGGGGCAAAATAAAATATAACCCTAACCCAGCACCGGGTTGGACCCTCTTTTGCCTTCAGAGCTGTCTTGAATCCTTCGTAGCATAAATTCAACAAACTACTGGAAACACTCCTCACAGATCTTGGTCCACATTGACATGATAGCCTGACGCCCGGAACACACCAGCTGCCAAGGGGATCGCTCACGAGCTTCACGCGCTCTTCGCTCCTCCTCTCTTCACATCAGGCGAGAATTTTCCATGAGCGCTTCGGCTCACGTCTGCTTTCCATACCCCCCACCCCCTTGCTGTGTGTGTGTGTGTGTGTGTGTGTGTGTGTGTGTGTGTGTGTGTGTGTGTGTGTGTGTGTGTGTGTGTGTGTGTGTGTGTGTGTGTGTGTGTGTGTGTATTTTCATCTCTGTAGTCTGTTTGCATACACAAAAATGATCGCATTTATCAATCGCAGTGTTTTATTTTGAAATTTCCTTTTATTTTACCGGCCTGCCTCTTCTGCTTTAGTGTGACTTCCTGCCAGAGTTGACGTGGCTCACTCGCGGCTCATGAAAAATAGAGCTCACAGCGAAACGATGGATGGCTGTGCGGCGCTTCGTGGCTGATGTGACTGAGAGCGTAGGTTAACAAGGACGCCGATTAGAAGCGCTCGTCGTTCCACGGCGCTTTGCGGTGCTTCGGCGTCTGGTATGTTCCGGGCGTTGCACGGTTGCTGCAGATGTGTCGGCTGAACATCCGTGATGCCAATCTCCCGTTCCACCACATCCCAAAGGTGCTCTTTTGGATTGAGATCCGGTGACTGTGGAGGCCTTTTGGGTACAGTGAACTATGCTGGTGAAGGTTCTCAGTCATCCAGGTCATGGTAATCCAGAATGGTTCAGGTGAAGGCAACTGGACTTCTTTGGTTTCTTGAAGATGATTCGCTTCTCATCCGAGGAGCTTTGTCAGTTCTGGTGTAATTGTTGTTTAGTTTCCCCGATGTAAACATCTGGACAGTCCTCACTACACTGGACTGCATAAACGACGCCACTGAGCTTCTGTTTGGGGTGTTTTGTCTTCAGGATGGACCAGTTTGTGTCTGAGGGTTTTGTTGGGTTTAAAGTTTACTGGGATGTTGTGTTTGGAGAAGATTCTTCTAGGTTTTTCTGAGACTCCTGCCACGTATGGGATGATGGTGCCTTTGTGCCTGTTGTCTTTTTCTTTGCTGGTTGCTACTGTGGACGATTTTCCAGACTTCTTTGTAGATTTCACAAAGGCCCAGGGAAACCAAACAAGAGCGTGGCACAACACAGGAGAGCCACCTCTTCAGGTCCAGACTCTGCAGTCCACCTACACCTGAAGGACAAGGGACACATTCTGGACAGAGAAGATAGATGGTTTGAGAGAGGAGTAAAAGAAGCTATCTATGTCAAACGTGGAAAACCCACTTTAAATAGGGGCGGGGCTTAGATTTCACCTTTCCACTACCTATAATGCAGCTTTGAATCTTATTCCTAAGCAGCTTCAGTCTAGGCCACACCTTCCTGCAAGTAATCAACACAACCACTCATCAGGGGATGGAGAGGAGGGGCACTCAGAGTAGTTTCTGCTCATTAAGCAACAACAGACAGTTACAGCTTATAAGCTTGACTCCCATATTCCAGTCTGAATGGACTAAGCTCCTCAGATGAGAAGCAAAACGTCCTCAAAAATCCAAACAAGTCCAGCTGCCTCCATCTGAGCCCTTTGGGTTACCATCACCTGGATGACTGGGAACCTTCAGCAGATTATTTAACACATAAACAATAAAATATCAAGAAACTGTTTGAACGTATGTATAAATCATCCACACGATGAACAAAGATGAGGTCACATGATGCCGATGTCACTCAGCTGTTTGTGTGTGTTCGTAGCACTGGGATACTCTGTACCAACGGTGCCTAATGGGGTGAGTCGGCTGCCCTCTGTGGGTGAGGCCCCATCCCACCCATCCACTCGTCACCCCTCAGTGGCCAGCACCCGCTTACCTTCTGTGGGGGAGGAATCCACGCACCTGCTCTTGGTAGCCGACGAGGCGGTAAGTTCCCCACCCATCAACTGGTCTGACACCCACCTGGTCTGTGTGGTAATGCTGTGTATGTTTGTGTTACAGGTGCACACCTATGTGAACACTACAGGACTCTTGGAGGACCAGCCCAGTCCGCTAACAGTCACCACCCCCCTGGAGAGCCCTGCCTCCCCGCTTGCCATGAGTCCTCCCACACCACCACCACCTCCTAGGAATCATGGGGAGTCAAGTGCCCAGCCAGAGCCCCAGGTGCTGCTGGAGCCTCAGGGGGTGCGCTTCGTGCTTGGGCCCACCCCTGTTCAGAAGCAACAGATGGAGAAAAGGAGGCGGCAGGAGTTGCAAGAGGCTACCGAGCCCCGAGAAACTGATGGCCCTACCCAGATATCTGCAGAGTCTGAGCCTCTGCCCACACACTCCCATGACTCCTCCTTCAACCCGCCTACAGCTCCTCGTCACACCCGCCCACCCCCCCTGACCCCTGACCTGCAGAACGCTAACAACTCTGCACAACGACGCACTGCCCTGCTGGACTATGAGAACCTGCCAGCGCTGCCTCCGGTTTGGGAGGTCAGGAAGCCGAGCAACGAAGAGGAGGAGATTTCCGACGGCAGCCTGAAAACTCCATCGCTCAACGGCTTTAACCACGCCCCCTACAGCTTGCTGCATCACCCCTACTCCCACCCTCTGTCTGCTGCCCTCGAGTCTTCTCACAACTATGTCAACACAGAGAACGTGACCGCGCCACTCAGCGCGCACCGGCCTGACACAGCCCGCCGTCGAGCGGATTGCCCCACCATTTTTAATTTTGAATTCCGCCGACCGCCTCTGCCGGGCCACATGGAGCCGACTAAAACGCTCAACTACATCGAGGTGGAGATGGACAGCAGTGGTGGAAACAAAGGTGCCTCTGATGGCAGCAACCCTCACACCCCCCGCACCCCCACCTCCCCGCTGCCCCCCACCACACCCACGCGGCGCACAGAACCCTATGCGCTAATCGACATCGAGCGCACTGCCGCCATGTCCAGTCTACAGAAGGCACGGCCGCGGGACGACGGCACGTCACGCAAGACGAGACACAACAGCACTGAGCTGCCAAGCAAGAGCGCAGCGTGATGCGCATGGAGCTGTGCACGGACTCCTCAGATAGGAGATGGATCGTCTTGTAGTCTCACCTGTTCAGGTGAACTGGTACTTTATACCTCTGAAGGTGATGATGTAACAGACTGCTTTCCTTATATGGTACACGTCAGTATTACTGAACAAACATTCCAGTTATCTTTTTGTACGAGTCACTGTGCTGCTGTAAGATGACACATGTACAGTAGAGCTGACACAATAAAGTCTGCTTCTATTTGAATCGGCTGCCGAGCGAGCGCCTTGCTTCATCTCTGAGCCACACCGCCATTCGCAACACAAATGCATCTGTCCATTAAATTCAGTAATCGGTGCAGTCTTTTCCAGTGAAGCATCTGCTGCCACCTAGTGGTCAAAGTGGCAGCAGCAGGTTCTCGGGTGGAGAAGCTGGAGGAGCATGTGGTCCTGATATTTATGTGAGACTCCACAGATCTCCAGAAGACGTGGAAAGTGCCAAAGTCAAATATAGAATAGAATAGACTTCATTAATTCCACAGTGGGTAATTTGACTTGGTATGGCGGCACATTCACCTGGAGAAATGAGAACTAGGAACTAGGCTATTATCGTAACCTTCAGCACTCAAACAAATGAATAAAATAGAGTAAAATAGAAAATCAGGGTTTCGTTTTCCCTTCAGCCTCAGCGTGTGTGTGTGTGAGAGAGAGAGACAGACCTTCAAATTAACAAACTTGTTTTTTATTAAAATGTGAAAAAAATTCATTTATGTTTTCTTATCATGCCATACCATGTATCTGACTTTGTTAAAAAAAATCCGTAAAATGAGTTTTGAAGTTAACACCTTCAGTCGAAATAAATGCTCTGCGGGTGATTGGGAACCCATCCAAGATGGCGGCCCGCTACTGCTACGTTGCGTCCACAGACATATCTATGGTTACAGTGGGGCGTTTATTTCACTGGGTTTCTAAGATGCTGCGTGCGCAGCTTTCAAGTGTCACGTGGCCCCACGGAGAAGATGGCGGCTGTAATGGAGAGAAGCTTCGTGGAGTTTTGCGGGTTTGAGCGGGAAACAGAGCGCCGGTTCCGTGAAGTCACAGTGAGTCCAGGTGATTGTGAGTTCTGATTAATGAAGTCCAGTTAGGCATTACTTTTAATGTTCCATTCACGTTAACTGGATCCCGCGCTGATCTAGCCGCGGCTAGCTACGCTGTCCTCTCGCTCTGCGCGTGCTCACATGTCTCTGTGATGTGAAATGTTCAGGGCAGCTGCACCGAACAGGTGAGCTCTAGTGAAACAGTTGTATGGTCAACTCAAAGGTTGCTCACCTGTTACTCATACTGAACAGGGGCGCAACTGCCATCATTCTGAGGGGTATGTAGGTGCATAACAGCCCACCGCAGATCAAAGCTGTGGTGTAACCCAACCTGAGGCAGCTAGGCTGGATTACGGTGTCTTCTTTATGGAGTCAGTAAGTCCTCTTCACGCAGAAAGAAAGAAGACGATCTTTAATAGAGCGCCTCAAGATAAAATCACGAGGATGTGGAAGCTCAACCCTAACCCTGCAGAAGTGTCAAGGACTTTATTTAGCGAAGTGCAAGTCTACACCAGGAGAACATGACGTATACGACACAGGTGAATACCTGTAAGTGAACATTCAGCCAGAGGGATTAACGGTCAGAGATGTGGATTGAGCCAGGTTCATCTGAGATCACCTGATTTTGTTGCAGAGCAGAACAAAAACACGACATGGAGATGACTTGATGCCACAATTCCCAACTCTGTTAGTTCTACAAATACGTGCAAAAATCCACAAGCATCAATCGTTTTGAGACTTTTTGTTAGACGAGTGAGAAATTTTGTTTATAAATAGTTATACATTTTTAAGAGAATAAGGGAAATATGGCATCTTATGAGCAGATTTACATTTATGGATCTAGCCAAGAGAATAAACACGTTCGTTGCAAAAGTATACTTATTGTACTTTTTTATTCGGTCACTACCCAAAGCTTGTGACCATAGGTGAGGGCAGTGTTGGGAACGTTACTTTAAAAAAGTAATTAGTTATAGTTACTGATTACTTTGTCAAAGTAACTCAGTTACTGAGTTACAAGATTATAAAAGTAACTAATTACCAAGAAAAATAACTACTTAGTTACTTTTTCATTAAAGCGTGCAAGAGTTACTACAATAGTGAAATGTAAATGACTAATGATTGGAACATAATAAAATGAATGTCTAAATGTTTTTTATAAACCTGAACGATTTAAATAAATAAGCACTTAACAGGAGGATTACACTTATCTAGACTATTAAAAGGTCACTGTGTGATTTTTAACAAGACCCCAATCAGCTAAAATTTAAAATTGCAAATAGAAACACCTGTAAAGGTTCCCGAGCCTTTAAATGGTCTCTCAGTCTAGTTAAATTACAGAAATAAATGTAATTTTGCACAGCATTTTAATTTTTCCAGCTTCACATAATTGTGTGTTTTTAGCAGCATTTCTGTTGCTGCTAATCTAGTAACGGTTAAATAAATAAATAAAATCCTTTAAAATGACACTAGAAGAGGCACAAGCCTGATGGAGGACTTACATTTACTAACTTGGGTCAGACCCAACCACAGAAGAGCTGAAGCTGGGTGGTAAACACACACAGGTAGTTCTAGTAACACCTGAGCTCCATGCCGTCTGAGACTGATGCATCAGTGTTACAGCGGGACTAAAGACATGATCAGAAACAGGTTACAGCTGGATGATCTAGGAAGGTAGAAGATCAGGACGTCGGAGCGGTGAACAGGTGAGCGGACCTTCGGGACGTCCCGCTGTCACGCTAAGAAGGACACGGCTGCAGACCCGCAGATTCGCTGCCGCGCTGCTTAACGCACGCATTTCCTTATCAGTAACAGAAACGATCGTTTTGTTAAGACGGTAATTAATTAGTTTGCTCGTTACAGAAAGAAATATATATATCTTTTTATTAACGTGGTTATTTTAAACGGCGTTATTCCCATCACTGCTCAGTTGGGTCTACAGCAGGCAGCAACTGAGACAGTGAGAACACTGAGGGTCTCCGCCCACCCGGCTAATCATCATCGTGTTTGTAAGTGCGTTACCGACACCTCTCTTCCTGGCTGCAGCTGAAGTGTGGCGGTCAGAAAGCCTCACACTGCTGCTCAACGTTCGACAAGAACATAGTAACGCACAACCTTCCATCCCCAGTAACGGCGTTGCAACAGTGGGAAAAGTAATTAATTAGATTATTCTGTTACCTAAAAAAGAACGCCATTAGTAATGCCGTTATACTTAAACGGCGTTACTCCCAACACTGGGTGAGGGTAGGAACGTAGATGGACCGGTAAATCGAGAGCTTCGCCTTCTGGCTCAGCTCTCTCTTCACCACGACAGCCCGGTACAACGCCCGCATCACTGCAGACACGCTCCAGTTTTCCCTCACCCGTGAACAAGACCCCGAGATACTTAAACCCCTCCACTTGGGGCAGGACCTCATCCCTGACCCGGAGAAGGCATTCTACCCTTTTCTGACTTTGCACTAGTTTTATATTTATAAATTCTGTGTCCTTTCTGAGCTTACCAACATTAGTTGTTGTATGAAACAGTTTCACATCATTATTAGTCACAATGGCTGTTTGACCAGGCAGCTGGTTAGTTCAGCTTCGAGGTGACTTCATATGTGTTTTTTTTTTTTCTGCAGGTGTGAGCGCTCCAACAGTTGGGATCAAATTTGCTGATAGTTCCGGGGCATTCCATTATGAAGAGAGTGGGAAGCTGCTGTCGGTCACTAGCAACCGATTCATCCTCTGGTGAGCATGTAAAGTTCTGCTGGTCCAGAATCTGAATCCTGCAGGTCTGTGTGTGGGTGTAGGACAGGGGGATTCAATTCCAGTCCTGGAGGTCTGGTATCTAACACGTTCTAGTAGTTTCTCTGATTCACCTGTGCAGCAGCTCATCAGGCTCAGCAGAAGCCTGTTAATCACCCGCTGATTGAAATCAGGTGTGTTGAAGCAGAGTTGAAACTAAAGCGTGCTGGATACCGGACATCCAGGACCAGAATTGAATACCACTGGTATAAGGCAACTCTAATATCTAAAGGGTTCGTGTTTATCTGTAGATCAAGCCTGTTCTAAAACAACACAACTCTCAACGGAGCAGTGGAATTGAAATCCTTAATAAAGATTATTAATTTGAAAAAAATCAACGCATTAATACAGGGTATCCGCGGGTCCTTAAAAAGTCTTAAAAAGTCTTAAATTTGCTTTTCCAAATTTAAGGCCTTAAAAATCCTTAAAAATGACAAATATTCCTTAAATGCAGTTTCCAAAGGTCTTAAATCACCAAAAACCCAATAAACAAAATTCTTTTATTACTATGAAATTTTCGTGAATTTCTAGTTGGTGTTCAGCATTTTTGTGTACGATAATGGCGTAAGCGGAACCGTACACACTCAGCTGGTTGTGAAAGGGGGCTATTTTTAGATGAGCACATTAGCTGGTTAAGCTAGTAGGAGCTTGCACCATGGGGAAGTGCAAGTTTAATGGTAACTGGATGGTTAATGCCACGTTCGCGACGTGGTTAGCACCGGTTCCAGGCAATAGCTGGAAATTATAGCTTAAATTTAATTTTAAAAAATAGCTTAATTTTGGTCAAAGTGGTCTTAAAAAGGGTCTTAAAAAGTCTTAAATGTGGCTCCCTTAAACCTGCAGATACCCTGTAATAAAACATCATGCATTTGAGCACCCTCCCTGGGCTGCCACCTTATCTTGGTGGAAGGGTTTGAGCGTCCCAATGATCCTAGGAGCTAAGCTGTCTGAGGCTTCACGCCTCTGGTAGGGTTACCCATGGCAACAGGTCCTAGGTGAGGGGTCAGTCAAAGAGCAGCCCACCAACCACTTGTGGTGAAAACCTCAAATGAAAACATTTTTCCCTCGCCTGGACGCGGGTCCCCGGGGCCCCCCTCTGGAGCCAGGCCTGGAGGTGGGACACGTCGGCAAGCGCCTGGTGGCTGGGCTTTCAACCATGGAGCCGGCTGGGCACAGCTCGAAGAGGCCGCATGAGTCTCCCTTCCCATGGGCTCACCACTTGTGGGCGGGGCCAAAGGGTTCAGGTGCAATGTGTTGGGTGGTGGCCGAAGGTGGGGACCCTGGCGGTCTGATCCTCGGCTCTTGGTATGTGGAATATCTCCTCTCTGGCGGGGAAGGAGCCGGAGTTGGTGTGTGAGGTTGAGAGGTTCAGACTAGATCTATTTGGACTCACTTTGACACATGGCTCTGGCTCTGGTTCAGTTTTCTTGAGACTAGGGTTGTCACGGTATGAAAATTTAACCTCACGGTTATTGTGACCAAAATTATCACGGTTTTCGGTATTATCGCGGTATTTTTTAAACGGTGTTGCATATGTTCAGAAAGCATTGATAGTCGTGTTCTACACAAACTGAAATAGTTTTGAAAAGGTTTAACAGTGTTTATTAAACCTAAAATAACACAAAGCCTTAGCAAAAGTGCAACTTTTCACAAGTAAAGGAACAAATAGCTTCTTTTTCTGGAACATGTTACAGTAGTCAGTGCAGGTTTAAATTATACAAATCCAAACATTCAAAACATAAACAATATGTAAACAAATCAAAGAAACACCACTTGTTTTCTCATATACTTGTTTTCTTCATCATCAAAATGAAAATCTAAAACTCCAGTCCACACTTGACTTGAAGTCAACCTTAAAAAAAATATGTATTTAAAACAAATAGCCACTTTAAACAAATTACTAAAATAACTACTACACTATGTAATCAAATCCAAACGTTCAAGTATAAATGGCATTGAATAAGTAAACAAATCCATGACAAGGAACTAATTGTATATTTCTCTTCATCATCAACAAATAAGATGCTTCATCCAGCAACAGGGTGTCCGTGACACGGTTTAAATGCTGGCAGAGGACGCTGCGGCTGCAGCATATAGTGACTCGTTGCATTCTCCCTCAGCCAAAAGTCCTCACGTCATGCATTTAAGCTAAAATGCTGATGTTAACTTACCTTGCACTGGCTGTAGAGCCGTGGGTGATGGTCACGCAGATGTGCCATTAGATTCGAAGTGTTGCTGCCTTTTGCAGACACTTGTTTCCTGCACGTTCTGCAAACGGGATAGCCGTCTTCTATTAACTGTCCCTCAGCATTTTTCAGAAATCCAAAATATGCCCATACTTCCGAGGTAGTCTTCTTTGAGGGCTGATGGATGTCCTGGGCGCTGCCGTCTCCTCCTTCGGCCATTATTTCAGCTTCAAAGTTTTGGTGCCGTTGCAAACTAAAAAGTGCGTGTGCGCACCGCGGGAACTTCAGCTGAAGCGACGGTGTCTGGTAAGGGTCACCGCGCCGAAACCGCGGCCACGGTAAACCCACTGAGATAATTTAGTTTTTAAAAAACTGGACGGTTATTTTTATTGTCAACTTTTTTACCGGGGTTTACCGCTATACCGGTTACCGTGACAACCCTACCACAGACGATTATTTTAGTAGTCGACTAATCGTGTCGTTCATAAAAGTTCAGCTTATTGCACCAGAAAGCTTATCTTTGTAACCTGTTAACACAAATGCTACAGTCAGGTGGAGGTAGGCACCTAAAACCAAACATGACTTGTGTTCACAAGAGGCATGGTGACGAGGGTGAAGAGCTTCATCTTCCAATCATAACTCAGGAGATAGCAGGACACACCAAGGTACGCCTCTGTAGCACGGCTGGTCCACACGTCAGCAGTCAGGGTCCATCGACAGCTCTGACGGTCTGCTTGCAGTAAAGATAAAAGATATATTAAAGTTATTTTATTTACCAGATTCATAATTCTGTTACTTCACATAAACTAGGTTAAGATTAAACACAAAGAAAATGTTTTATGCTTTAAATATATTAGTTTCAGTCTCCAACCTTTTTATTTGATGCTGACACTGCTGTGGTGTACTTGTTCTGTTTCCTGCAGGTCTACGTCAATGGACACGGTCCAGCTGGTGGAGGAGTCTTTGGATTGTAACTTGCTGAACAATGCTGTGAGACTGAAGTTCAGCCCATGCACTGTTCTGCCTGGAGGAGTCAGCATCCAGGAAACACGGAACAATGTCATCATCCTGATTAGCACCAATAAGAGTGTCCACAGGCTGGTGCTGCCTCATCCAGCGTGCATGTACCGCAGTGTGAGTCTAAAGATTTGTGTTGCAGGTGTATGTGGCAGTTTGCAGCCAGCTGCTGATCTGCATTCTGGCTGGTCTCCTGTACTGAGACTGACTCAGTTCTAAAAAGTCAAATCAGTTAAGTTTATTTATACGTTGTTGTCTCAAGGCACGTCACAAAGTAAGCATTCTATTTGAGTTCAGTTAATTATGCCAATTATTATAATTTCCCATGTAAGGAAACATGCTGGTGGAGGTTCTGAGTCACCCAGGTCATGGTAATCCAAAGGGTTTAAATGAAGGCAACTAGACTTCTTTGGTTTCTGGGCGTTTTGCTTTTCATTTGAGGAGCTTTGTCAGTTCTGACTGGAATTGGCGAAGCTGAAGAGTCGCGCTACTAAATCAGACGTCTGTTTTTTTTAATGAGCACTTGTATGCCGTGAGGCAAAAGGGGGTCCAACCCAGTACTAGCAAGGTGTACCCAATAAAGTGACCGTTGAGTGTATTTAGATATGTGATTTAGACTAGGCTTAGCTATGTTAATAAAAAGCTAAAATGTTAATGAATGACTTCACACAGTAAACATTACAGCTCAGTTCATTAAGCCAATCAGTAAAAAGTTTCCTATATAAGGAACCCACCAGGTTGCATCGAGTCACTGACTAGCTAAGGGAGAGCTAGCTAAGTAGCTATGGCTATCTATGGCGGAGCCGGGCCTCCAAATCCAACACCCTAGTCTCCAAAGCTAAACAAATGCTACATTTATTACATTACCATATACCATGATCACCAAAGGAGGCAGTAACTAAACATCTGACACACAGAGCAAGAGATGGGTGACAGAGATGGAGACAGGAGTAGGCATAACCATGCTAAGGCTAAGCTAACCAGACGAGCAAACCCTTTAAACACCAAATAAAATGGCACGCGAAACACAAAGCGTTCCCTCGAAGTTTGGTGCAGTAACAGAAAATGTGTGTTAGCGTGCATATGTGCTACAAATACTCATACAAGTTTCAGTACAGAGAAATCAGATCAACGTAGGTGAGCTAGCTAATCCACTACGCTACACCACAAACATTGAGTAGCTTCACAGAGTGCATCACTAAAAACTGGAAGTGATGCAAAATGCCTTACCGCAGACAGGAAGTCCAGTTCCAGCTGATGCAGGTCAGACATGGTTTCTGTTGCAAGTCTTTCTTGATGCCATGTTATTTTTTTTTCTAATGACAGGAACTGGCTACTGAGCAGCACATGCAGTCCATTTTCACCGATCTGATGAAACTAGATCTGCAGGACCCAGCTCATCATGCTGTCATCCCCGGCTGTGCAGGACACACCGCCAGTGCCGGTGTTGCAGCGGCATGGCTCAGTTTCCATGGTGATGCTCACTTTGCTCTGGCTTCTCCTGCTGGAGGCATTACCATTGTGACTTTACCACCTCAAGACTCCCAGGGTGAGTTGCATGATTAGTAGCCTGGCCTGCCAAACTCCTCCTCTGTTTAATCCTGCACAGAGAAAGGGTCTGGAAACTCTCCTATTCAAATAACCCCACCCCCTGAGAGTTCTGACCAAGCCAATCAGCGCTGAGCAGCGTACGTCACACACCATAACGCCGAGTTTGTCGAACATGGCGACTGAGGCGGAGTTCGCTGCGGCTCGTTCCTCTGGTCTAAATGACTTGAACATGTCTTTAAAACAACAAGAAGTAGAAGTGCTAAAAGCCTTTCTTCTAAAGAAAGATGTTTGCGCTGTCGTCAGACGCCGTTTTTGACTACAGCAAAAAAAACTACAGCATCGCAGACGTCACACACAGTGACGCTCAGTTTCTCATAAACAACGAAGACAGCGGCGGAGTTCGTTGCGACTCTTTTCTCTGTTCTAAATGACTTGAATGTCTTTAAAACCACAACAAGTAGAAGTGCTAAAAGCTTTTCTGTTAAAACAATAAAAGATGTGTGCGTCGTTGCCAGACTTAATTTTTTACTACAGCTAAAAAAAACTACAGCGTCGCGCGGTACAGTCGGCTTTCCATCTTTTTTCTGATTGGTTATTATTTAGCTCCATGCTTTCGTTCTTTTTAAACACAGAAACAGTTTTGTTTACCTGTTTTGTAGCTACAGTTTCGCCGACGGCTGCCGGCTTCTTCAGGCTGACGCTGATGGCGAAACTGTAGCTACAAAACAGGTAAACAAAACTGTTTCTGTGTTTAAAAAGAACGAAAGCATGGATTTAGAAAGACACAGCAAGAACACACCTAGGATATTATTTAGCTGCCTAGTCCCGCCCCTCATGTGCCGCTCTGCCTGTGAGCTACCAGACTCTTTCTCTGTGCAGAATTAACCAGAGGATGAGTCTGGCAGGCCAGGCTACATGATTTTTCCACAGGTAGTAGAGCTGAGAATATGCATGTGTCTCCAGGTGGCGTGTCAGTTCTGGACCTGAAGCAGACCTCTGTGATGAAAAGGATCTCTGGCTGGATGCCGACTGCCATTCTGGGGGATCAGAGTCCAGCGGACTTGGTCATGAGTCTAGCGGTTCGGGTGCTTGAGGAGGACTCGCTGATCTTTGCTCTGGGTCAGGACCACAGGCTAAGGATGTGGTCTCTCATGGTGCGTTTCTGTCTTTTCAGTCAGTTTCTCCTGCATAAGAACCATCAAGAGCCTCATTTCGAAAACTCTCCGTATAATCCTGAGCAAAACTCTACTTAAAGAGCCTGCATCATATTATTTTATACTCTCCAGATCAACGATGGGCACAAAATATGATAAAATATTACTCTTGGCATTTTTAATGTCATTTATTATTAAATATGTTGTGTACCTTAGCTATTACCTCAACCTGGAAATAAGCGCTTTTCAAACAAAAGTGACTCCGAAGTGCTTTACAGAATTAAAATGACCCCAAATTCCCATAAAAGTTTAAAAGCATTAACAGTCATACACACACACACGCACCTAATAACACCAGGAACAATTATATTTGGCTAAGTTCAAATGAGACAAGTAAGATAAGGCAAGGAAACGCCATCAGAGGAGCCATCTGCCCCAGCAGCATCAGTTTGACCACAGCAACCAAAGCAAGGCACCCAGAGGAGGGAGGGCATAGACCCACTTCTCTGTCGGTGCGGAGACACACAACACCATTACGCGTTGGCGTAAGGGCTCTCCGACGGGCTCACACAAGGTGACGGCGACATGCGCAAAATTTTTAAACATCCGTTGAAAGTGACGGAGAATGCAAGCTAGTGATTGGTCAGGACGCCGCTTCCTGTATATTCATCACCAGCACCGCTGGAGCTCCATTAAAAAGTAAGCAGATGTTTAGCGGCAGACCCAAAACAGATTGAAGAACGCATCGCGGAAAAAGTCCGAAAATATTTCCATTTATTCACCCGTGAGTGAAGGAGTAAAAAATATGGAGCAAACGCGGACAGAAACGACGGGAAATGTGAGTTTAGAGGTGGTGACGGCATGAAGAGCTGGAGAATGGAGGACAGATTTGTCCGTGTTATAAGTCTCTGAAACGTACAAACACATTAGTAAATACACTATCAGGGACCAGATACAAGTGTTATGGTAGCAGGGTACCACAGACCAGCGCTACGCCCTCTGCTGTCCTGGCGGGGAATTGCTTTGCAACGCTCCGCTGCCCGAGCAGAAGTTGGAATGTGAAAACCTTTCCGACACTCAGAGTTAGTCTCTCCGTCTCTCTCACGGAGAAGTTTACAGTTCCTGACAAAAGTCTTGTCGCTTGTGTACAAATTAGGGATGCAACGATACCACTTTTTTCCAAACCGATACAATGCCGATACTTGGATCTGAGTACTCGCCGATGCCGATTACCAATACCGATACTTCTACCATACAAAAAAAGGCAATGATTTGGAATACAGATTTAATTTTCTTCTCTGCTTTAAACAGGAAAAGACTGTGAGGTCGATAAAAAGTAAAATACATGAATGGAAATCATCACAACCAATCAGGCAGGAGATACAGAATCCCACCGTCCAAAACAGCAATCCATAAGAAATCATTCATTCCATCAGCAATCAAAGCCCTCAACAGACAGAACTTCAATAACCCACAAATGATTTTATGTGTTTCAGGCATATAGTTGCCTCTTTGGTTTTATGGCTTTTAAGCTTATATCTGTTTTTAGTTTTTTATGATTTTTATTGCATTTACTGTTCAATGATAGTGTGAATGATGAGGTGGATGACGATGAGCTGTAGAAAGACAAATGGTGTCGGACAATAAAGTGTTTCTATTCTGTTCTATTCACAAGCCAGCACTAAACAAAAGACAATTGAAAAACCGTGTGGCAAGTCCCACAGCCTGCTAAATGGATGGACGCTGGAAAAGTGGCAGAAGGCGGATTTTTCAGATGAATCTTCTGTTGAATTACACCACAGTTGCCGCAAATATTGCAGGAGACCTACTGGAACCCGCTTGGAGCCGAGATATACCCAGAAAACCGTGAAGTTTGGTGGAGGCAAAATCATGGTCTGGGGTTACATCCAGTATGGGGTGAGGGATCTGCAGAGTGGAAGGCAACATCAATAGTCTAAAATACCAAGAAATCTTAGCTACCCCTTATATTCCCAACCATAAAAAAGGCCAAATTCTGCAGCAGGTGCTCCATCGTGTTCTTCCATCTTCACATCAAAGTTCCTTATGGCGAAGAAGATCAAAATGCTCCAGGATTGGCCAGCCCAGTCACCAGACATGAGCATATGTGGGGTAGGATGAAAGAGGAAGCATGGAAGACGAAACCAACGAAGATTGATGAACTCTAGGAGGCATGCAAGACGACTTCAGCTTTAAATCTTACAAATCAGTGCCAAACCGCATGGATGCTGTCCTTCAAGCTCATGGAAGTCATACAAGATATAAAATTTGGATCTCACAGCACCACTACTTCATTTGCTGATATATTTTTGGATTTGCTGTAAAGTTGACCGTTTTTCTGGATAGGCGACAACACTTTAGTCTGGCCAGATTTTGACCTTTCTGTCTTGATTAAATGATGCATCTTTTTTCAGCGAAACAATTTTTTCAGTACATTTAACAATATTTGGGAGGGCTTTAGCTTTTCATATGAGCTGTTTCTAACACCAATAGATCGATTAAAAGTCGGGTTAATAGCAGGAGGTTCTACAACACACACAAGCCACGAGACTTTTGTCAGGAACTGTAAATCAGGCTTAAGTCCTAGGGAAACTCCAAAAACAAAGTTGTTGGCTGAAGTTGAAAACCAAAAATGAGGAAACCAAGGCCAAAAAAACCCCAAAACCAAAAGAAATGATCACGTCAATAACTAGAACTATAGCATTTATGCTTACTTCGTGTACTAACCTCACTAAAATCAGCACATTGAATAAATCACTTAAAAAACAATAAATACGTTTATTTAGCACTGACATAATAACAACACGCTATCAATTAAAACTCAAAATAACTGGATAACCGACATCGAGGTTAGCGAAACACTCAATCAGAGCTCAGGACCCTCCCGTAGTGATGACCCGTGGGCTTTTCCAGTCCCTCTGTGTTTGCCCTCTCCCCCTCCCTCCTGTTGAAACCCACACCTCTGCGCTCCGGTGTTACGTCAGTATTCTGGTCGGTTTCGTTGTTGAAACGCGTTTCTCCGTCGCCCAAGCGGTAAAAACGCGCATGCTCATTACAATCTCGCTCCCGCGGTGCACTCTTGTTCTGGTTTAATAACAGCCACAGATCTAAGTTGTATTTATTTATGAAAACTTTGTAGATTCTAGTCGCACTAATGAGCTCCATGAGCCAGCTCTGGTGTTACAGTAGAGTTAAGGTGAGGAGCAGCTCCTGTCAGAGACGGTGGGCTGAACCAGGACCCTGCTGAGGAAATTCACAGTGGGCCAATCTGTGTTCAGTTTTTAGTCGCCTTAAATTGTGACATAGCTGATGTTCTCCACCTAATTCAGGATCCAAGATCCCTAATCAATATCGGTGATAAATTATGGTTCTCCTAACGCTAACAGTGTTTTTACTTGATATCAGGTAAATATTCTGGTTTGTCTGATGGTTTTACTTTCTGCAGTTGGTTCTGAGTTTTGAACACCAAGACCAAGTTGCACCTGGTTCTGCTGTTTTTCTCTTCAGGATCAGGCTTGTCTGCTGGAAACTGACATGTTGGAGTTCATGCCTGCATGCAAAGGTGTGAGACGTCTGCTGGCTCAGGGAAACTGGCTCCGCCTGGCCTACTCGTCCAGAACCGGCCTCTGCCTGTGTGTTTATCTAGCCGTCCCTCAGCGAGGACAGTTCATTGTCCTTCAGCTGGTCGGGACGGATAACAACCGCTACAGCTTTGAGCACATCTCCTCTCTGTTCAGCACACAGGTAAGACATGGCTCAGAGCCAGCTGACCAACAGATCAAAGACCTGTACGTCTGGGATAATGATGGGTGGGTAGTGATACGGCCATTATGTTAAATTTAACCATAAAGCAAAGAGGTGTTCTCATTCATTCATTCATTCATTCATTCATTTGCAGTAACACTAGAGCCCTTTTCAATCCAGTCTTTCCATTGTAAACACATTTATTATCCTAAACCAGTGTTTCTCAACCCTGGTCCTGCATGTTATCTATGTTGCCGTATCCAACAGCATTGTTTCTCTGCTGCCACACAGCTGACTTAAACGAATGAGTGATTAGCAGGCGTCTGCAGCACCTGATGTCATCCTACGGAGGCAGTGCAGCTATGTGAACCAGGTGTGCTGTAGCAGAGACATGGAAAACATGCAGGACAGGGCGGCGTTGAGGACCAGGGTTGAGAAACACTTTCCTAAATAATGCAAAATTGTAAAGGGAATGAAAAAAAATCCAACTACTCAGTCACAAAAATTGAACTGTGGAGTTTTCAGCAGGCCCAAAAATTCAACCTGAACCCATAATGACCTGAAGCAGGAAGAGGGATGAAGGGTCCAACACACCTGTATGCAGGGGCTAGACATCCTTAGATCACCAAGATCTGTGTGTTCTCTGTGGTAAAGGGGAAAAAAAGCTGTGGTCCTCTTTTTGGTGTGTGAGGGTTTGTTGTGTTGACTGACCCAGACTTCTCTAAACAGGAGGTTCTGGTGGACTTTGCTCTGACCTCCTCTGACATCTGGGCTCTGTGGATGGACCAGTCCAACAACACTGTGGTCAAATACATCAACTTTGAGCAGTAAGTGTCTCCCTTGAAGATGGTTTTCAGACAAAAGTTCTGATTCAAACTCAGTCGGTTTGTCTTACAGCAACACAGCGGGCCAGTGGAACCAGATCTTTGTTCAGCCTCCACCAGAAGAAGAAGTCCTTGTGGGACTAGACCTGGATCCACGGGTAGGACTGCTCAGATTTTGCCAGTAGAAGATAACAAAGTGTTTGTTTTTGTAAGGAGCCATATCATGCTATTTGAAACCTTCGATAGCATCGGTAGGCACAACATATGATAAAATACTACTGTTGGCACTGTTCAGAGGTAATTTGATCAGTAATAGGAAATATTTTCATCAGCTTGAATTTATACTTGGAAATGAAACTGTCTGTTTCAGTGAAGCTCCGCCCATGCCTGCTCTAACAAAACACTTCCAACAGCGTCTTACGCAGGTCAGCTGTTGTTTTGGCCTTGGTTGTCCGACGGTCCTTTAATCTTGTTTTGCGACGTCCTGATGCCAGTATGACTCTGTGTTGGCAGTAATTTATGTAGCCAGCTGAAGCAGATTTCATTTTTTTATGTTTTAGTTTTATTGATTATTTTTTGTACAATATTTAGTGTCTAAAGATCTCAGAATTTGGTCGTTTCCAAGCAGGATTTTAGTTGTTTTACTCTGCTCACCTCACATGGACTCACACTGGCTACATAAAGAAAGTAAAAAACAGATGAATCCTTACATTTGAAACAGTTTACCAATAAAGTGTTAAAAACATCAGTGCAGCTAAAAAAGAAGAAAAAAAAGTTACTGCCAAGACCGGGAGTCCAGTCGGTGTGAAACAGCATACCAGTCAGTTTCTCTAACCAGTGGACTACCAAGTCTGTTACAAAACAATAGCTCGCATGTCCTGAGCTGGCCATTACGCGTCTTTGTAGACAGGAGGACTCGTGGTTTAGCGGCGGTGTCCCCAATGCAGAAGAAATTAGTCAGAATATCCACTCTGGTACCGGTGGAGGTTTAAGGCAGTCATCCGTGACATGAAGTCACATTCTCAACTGCAGCATGAAGTCAACCTCTCTATTCCTGCAACTCTGAGAAAGTGGGCGTGACCTACTTCCACAGGAGGTGGGTTTCAGAGCTGAGACTGGCTTCGGGGGGAGGAACAGTTCCTGACACACTTGAGCTACTTTTGTCCGTGTGCAGGCAGTAACTTTTATTTGAAAAAAATTGAAGCTGAGGTAGGAAAATGCAAGAATGCTGCCAAAAAAATGGTTTGGGATATTGCTGATGAGGAAATGACAATATCACATGGTAAAAAGCTCCAAAAAGACAGTTTTGCATGATGTGGAACCTTTAAAGCTGAGATTTACTGAGAAACATATAATAATTTTACAGCAGTGGCTGAGAAGTTCACTGCCCGCATCGTAACTGGAGGCTAGCAGATCAGAGTCCCGCTCAGCTTGTTGCAGTCTTTGTGTCCTTGGGCAAGACACTCCACTTCACCCTCTTTGCCTGATGATGGTGGTTGGAGGTACTGGTGGCACCGGTGCTTGGCAGTCTTGCTTCTGTCGGTGTGTCCCAGGGCAGCTGTGGCTACATTTTAGCTCATCACCACCTTGTGTGTGTGTGTGTGTGAGAAGACGTTTTAACAAAACAATGCCGTCAATTTGCTGCAACGCTGTAGCGACATCAGGGAGCTTCAGGTCGTTTATAAGTGGTCAGACTGTGGCGGTAATGTGGCGCAATCATGTTCTTTTTATAAAAGATTAGGTGATGGCGGCATAGAGGGAGTATGGGGACGGTCTCTGTGATGCTGCAGACTTCGGTTTATCTTGGACATAACTTGATTTTTATTGCGATTGAAGCCGCTCCTAAAGGCGTCTGTCCCCATCCATCCCTGTGCAGTCACTGATGATCTGAGTTTAAGCTCTAACAGATGCTCAAGGAGTGCTGCAGCGCTCCAGTTTGCCGTCTCGGCTAATTTTGTTCAAAAAGCAAACCATTGTGTCCGTGGTTTCTTTCATTTTCAATATATTTGCCCACTGGAGCTTGGCATTAACTCCCCACTGAAAACTGAGGCAGCTTAAGAGCAGAAAAGCAGCAGGTCCTGACGGGGTCAGCCGCGGACTGCTCACAGATTGTGCTGACCAGCTTTGTGATGTGGTCACACACATGTTCAACCTGAGTCTTCAGCTGGAGCAGGTCCCCATCCTGTGGAAGACCTCATGTGTGGTTTCAGTTCCCCAAACATCACATCCCAGGACACCAGACCACTACAGACCTGTCGCCTTGACCTCCCATCTGATGAAGACTGTGGAGAGACTCATCCTCACCCACCTACGTTCAATGGTGACCCCAAAAATAGACCCACTGCAATTTGCATTAAAACCAAACATGGGATGGAGGACGTGCTCATCTACCTGCAGCACCGGGCTCTGACTCACCTCAAGATGCAAAAAAGCACTGTGAGAGTCATGTTCTTCGACTTCTCAAGAGCCTCCAACACCATCCAGCGGTATCTATTGCAGCAGAAGATGAGGGGTGCGGTAATGGACGATTATCCGACTGCATGGACCATCAACTACCTTACCAACAGGCCACAATACGTGAGGCTGCTCAACTGTACATCTGAGGTGGTTGTGTGCAGTACTGGAGCTCCACAGGGTGTGGTGCTCTCACCCTTTCTCTTCACCTTCTATACCAGCCCAGTGGCCTAGTGGTAGAGTGTCCACCCGGGGACTGGGAGGTCAGGGTTCGATTCCTGGTCGGGTCATACCAAAGACTTTAAATATGGGACCCAAAGCCTCCCTGCTTGACACTCATGCTTAAGGGGTTGGATTGGGGGGTTAAACCACCAAATAGTTCAGTTCACGAGCGCGGACGTGTCTGCAGCTCACTGGGGATGGGTCACATGCGGAGATGAATTTTACCAGTGTGTGAAGATGACTATGAGACTTTAACGCCTCAGACTTCACCTACAACACCAGCAACTTTCACCTCCAGAAGTTCTCTGATGACTCGGCCGTTGTCGGCTGTGTGTCTGAGGGGAATGACCTGGGGTACAGGTCAGACATCATGGACTTTGTGGACTGGTGTGAGTGTAACCACCTTCGCTTGAACACCATTAAAACAAAGGAAATGGAGATTAACTTCCAGAGAACCACTCCTCCTCACTCACCAGTAAACATCCAGGGAGCAGACATGGAGGTGGTGGATACCTTTAAGTACCTGGGTGTTCAACCTCAACAGCAAACTGAACTGGTCCAACAGCACAGATGCTCTGTGTAAGAAGGGCCAAAGCTGCCTCCACCTTCTGAGGAGGCTGAGATCCTTTGGAGTTAATTCCCAGCTGCTAAACTCCTTTTATCACTCTGTGGTTGGCTTTGTTATACACTCTGCTGTGGTCTGTTGGGGTGCAGGCAGCTCTGACCGAGACGGGGAGAGACTGAACAAGCTAGTTCACAAAGCTATCTCGGTTCTCAGCTGCCATCTGGATTCAATTGAGGAGATGTGTGAAAGGAGGAAGCTGGGGAAGATGACCTCCGTCTTAAATCCCCTCCCACCCACTGCATCCCACTGTACAGACCACGGACAGCTCCTTCACAGGCAAACTGAGACATCCCAGATGTAAAACAGAACACTACCGTAGGTCATTCTTCCCCTCTGCAGTAAGAGTGTAGAACACCTCAGTTTAAGCTGTACATAGTGTGTGTGTGTGTGTGTGTGTGTGTGTGTGTGTGTGTGTGTGTGTGTGTGTGTGTGTGTGTGTGTGTGTGTGTGTGTGTGTGTGTGTGTGTGTGTGTGTGTGTGTGTGTGTGTCTTGCAGTATGCTGCAGTGTTGGAACTAGGGCTGGGCAATAAATCGAAAATGTATCGTTATCGAAATTTCTGACTCTTGTCGTGAAAAATTTTCCCATAAATAAATTTATTAAATTTATTAAATCCCAATAAATATGATAAAAAATAAAAGGTGTGTAGGTTGGCAATGTTCATGTTCCTTTAAGAAGCTTGACCACCTTAAGTCACGTAAAAATGTGACTCAGCGTAATGCACGTGACCGCTTCATCCAGTGGAAAACTTTTGTTTCTGCACATACCTGTAGATATCGTCCAATTATCGTTATCAAGATGAAATCCTCAATATATCGTGATATTGATTTTAGGCCATATTGCCCAGCCCTAGTTGGAACTCAAGTTTTTTCTTTTTAATTTGTGGTTTTTAGTGGTTGAAGGTTACAATACTAGACTACTGCCTATGTGTATATACATGTACCTTGTTATTATTTTTCTTCAAATTATTCTCTTAAGTGTTGGTGTTGCTGTAGCAAGCAGGTTTCCCCGGTGAGGGATCAATAAAGTCTATTCTATTCAACTCTCTTCAAGAAACCAGAGAAGTCCAGCTGCCTTCATTTGAACCCCTTTGGATTACTTGTACTCCTGTCCTTTTCTGACCCCCTCTCCTCAGGCTAACTTCTGGACGCGGGGCTGTTGCTGATAAAGTTTCTAGAGTTTTCCAATTCATGGTCCTGATGCTTCATGGTTCTTGTTTGTTTTTGTAGGAGACCTACCTGGATGTTTTGTTCTCTCCTCTGCGTTTTACAGCCTCAGCCATCGTCAAAGCCTTGCAGGTGAGTTCACTTGCCTCTTGTTGCATTCATTAGCTGTGTAATGGTGGCTTTAATCTTCTGTGGTTCCTTCAGATCTATCGTCGTGGTTCTGAGAGAGTCCTTGACCTATCGTGGGACAATCTGAAAAAACTGGTGACGCAGGCTGTGGAGAGTGAGGTAATTATTAACTATTCAACAGGTGGTGGTGCCATCAGGTGACGCACCTGTGGGGCGCTGTTTTTCTCGGTTGGTCTTTCAAGGAATCAATTTTCCAAGAAAGAAAGGGAATTTATGGCACACCTGCATGAGACAGGGTGTTGATTACAATCTGCCAGAATGACTCACCACCTTCAGATTTCTCCAACATCGTTAAAAATGATCAAACACGGAACATGTCGGCGTGCACAGGCCAGAGCGCTGAAGCTCGGCGCATTGTTGTTATGAAGCTAGGGCACATGCAGAGGACACACGCGCGCAAAATATACTTGTCAATTACATTTATTGGGCCCACTTACTTTTTCTTAGGCTCACCCACAAATGAGTTTCTGGCTACGCTAATGGTGACATATGACAGACTTCTCTGAGCTCCGCAGCCATTACACTTTTCATCTCGCGCACCCCCTAGCGGCAGCTCGCGCACCACACCTAGGGAATCCCTGTCTTAGCTCATTACTCATCACTTCCAACAACCAGCACCATTTATGTTCCAGTTACTTAATCTCTATGGTTACTCCCAAAATTTGCTACTCCTTTGGCCGCTCCTCATTCCACCCATTCTACAGCTTGTAAGCTTGACTCTCCCATATTCCAGTCAGATTTGACAAAGCTTCTCTGATGAGAAGCGAAATGTCTTCAAGAAACCAAAGAAGTCCAGTTGCCTTCATTTGAACCGTTTGGATTACCATGACCTGGATGACTGGGAACCATCTCCAGCTTATTTAATTGTGTTTCTTCTGTACAGCAAACTTATTGATGAATCTAGTCTCCTCGTTCTGTTCTCACAGGGAAATTTTTTTGATGCGTCTGACGCGTGGATAGACTAACCGAAAACCAGTCAGAATACCATTGCAGTAACTGGATTTGAGCGCAACGAATATTTTAAAAAGATAAACCAAGGAAGGTCTAAATTGCATTGGGCCCCTTCTCCCTTTTCTCTTCTTTTTTGTACTCCGAACATTAGCGCTAAACTAAAGGCTAATTAGCTTTCTCTGCTAAAATGTTAGCTTAACTAGAAGTTGGTTTGTCGGTGATGACACTTATGATGAAAGTTAAACTGATTGGATGAACAGATTTCCCGGCATGCTTATTTTTTGTAATTGTTGAAAATAAAATAAATTGATTATGAATAATTCTTACTGGGTTAGGGTTGGCAAATAGCAAATGAAAGATGATCAGTTAGACAAGTATAAGACAAAGAGTTAATCGAAACTAGAAAACTTTCTACTTAGATGGAAAATCAAAATAAATACATTTAAAAATAAATAACAACCAATGAAATTGTCGTCTAGCTTTTAAGGGCAACCACGAAAGAAGTTCATACACATAACAATGGTGAGTATTAAAAGGACATCTTAAAGCTAAACGACATAAGCTATTGTAATTAACATCAAGCAAGCGAAGGCTAGTTACTGAGGAGTTCTGATATATCTGCATAGTCAGTAGGGGTGTAACGGTTCACGGGGGAGTGTTGAACCAGTTCGGCCTGTTCTGTTCGGTCCACTTGCATACCGTTCAGCTTTTCATTTTTCCCGTTAATTAATGAATTTTTATTTGTGTGATTTAAGAGCAACAGATGAAAGTTCCAAGGCGAGTTTTCGCGTGGACGCTGTATTGAGTGACGCATGTTGACAGATCGAGAATAGGTTTAAGAAGTTTGTTTTGTGCTAGCCAGTGCAGCACTTTGTTGAAATTAAACTGAATAGTTTCCTGTATTTCTGTCTTACTTGGCTTAGAACAATATAAGACTGTATCATCTGCATACAGATGAACACAACAGGAGTTACAACACATTGGCAAATCACTAATAAAAATTGTGTTCTCCCACTGAAGAACCTTGAGGGACACCTCTAAAGACCCCTCGCGTGTTAGATTCAGGCCCTGTCCACACGTAGCCGGGGATCTGCCAAAACGTAGATATTTTTCTACGTTTTGGCCTGTCATCCACACGAAAACCGAGTTTTTTCACACGAAAACGGATCTTTTTAAAAACTCCGGCCAAAGTGAAGATCTGCGTTTTCTCCGTTTTGGGTGTCTGTGTGTGGACAGACAAAACCAAAGTTTTAAGGTCCGCAACGTCCCTTTCCGCGACAAAAAATGCTGACATCACGTGTGCGACCTGTGTTTACACTAGCCGACAGCATGGATGCCCTCAGAGCTGCGCTCGCTTCATCAATGGTCCAAGCGCTTTCTGCTTGTTTGTTTTTGCAAGTGGAATTACTGCTCCTTGCGGAAGACCACAGACGAAGGACGAGGTTAAGAACGGGGGAAGTACTGCCGCCTACAGGTCTGGCATGTCCTTAACAACATATTTATCCGGGTACGTGTGGACAGAGTTTGTTTTTAAAACGCGGTGGTGTGGATGCAAGTTTTTGGAGGGGCGGATATTCGTTTTCAAAAAACCCGGCTACGTGTGGACTAGGCCTCAGACTCATTAAAAGAAACCAATTGAGAACAATAATGATAACATGAATTAGACCACAATAAAGACATATATAGTTGTGGTTCAGTACATGGAAAAATGACAAGATTTGTGTGTGTCACAAATCTTGTCCTAAATCAACAAGAAGTGAGCATCATGGGTGTCAATTTATGTAGTCTGATTGTGTGAAGAGCGAACAAACCGGCCTTCTGTACAGGACAGATGAATGATGGGGACATGGCCTAAAGTCTGGCGATTGTGTGCGATTTTTTGCCTTCGCACAGGATTGTTCGTGACAACTCCAGAGAGGTGGCACACTGTACACCACATGATTTTGGTGAGGCAGACTGCATGATGTCACTCTCCAGCAGGACACGCTGGGTCATGAGCGCACCTCCTGAAGCATACGTCAATAAGCAGACCGCTAACCAAAACAAAGCCGGAAAGATAAAAACACAGTTTTAGTGTCGTTTCACGACCCAACTCATCTTCCTCAAAGAGGACGCTTCATTTTTAAAACCCTCGCTTTGGCGTCACACTCCGGCTGCGTGCCTCCTTTTCCCGTCTTCCAGCTAAACAGCTGACCTGTCAGCTGGTCGTTCATCCTTCTCCTCCTTCATACACAGGAGCTAAACTACAGAGAAGTAACAATCAGTCACGGATCGCTGCAATATCTAAACCTCTGCAGTAAAACGCTACTGAACCACCCTTACCGGTTGAACATGTGAGATTTCCACCAACAGCAAAGGGATCTCATGTTTTTGTGTATATTTTTTATGTTCGTGAGCTCATCTCCTCTCAGCTCTCACAGAATCACGGTTAGCACAATTTATCTGATGGTCTAAAAAAAGTAGTTTAAATATTTTAGTATAACTCTGGTTTAACTTGGGCTGTTAACAGAAATAAAAACTGGTGTTTAGTTTATAATCTGCATTTTAAATATAAATTAAACCAAAGCTCAGAGAGGCGGAGTCTGCAGCATCCCTAAAATGTGTTTTCATTGGTCGGTTGCAGACAGGAATCGTAGGTTTTCAAGCATGCTTGTAGACTGTCGGAGGCTGATTTGGGACCTGTCACTGTATGTTCACAGCATGTTGCTCATATATGCAAATCACTCTGACGTTGACCGTTTTTTGTCACGATTCTGCTCAAGATGAGGGATTTGGCAAAGATGGCCAAAAATCGCACAGTGTGAGCCGGGTTAATGCCATGTCCCAGATCAAATAAATTATCCAGCAAACGTCTTAATTTTATATTAGAAAGTCTTTAAAAGTCCTAAATTCAATAAAATTTTGAGATCCCTGCTAGGATTTGCTTTATGATGATAAACTGATGTTAAATTCAGCTTAAAGAGAAACTGGGAAGAAGCTTCATTTAATTTTAAGTTACAGGAGATCTTGTTTCCTAACCCTCGGACCATTATAACTGAGGACCCCTGCCCTAAACAGTAGAAAGCATAAAACTCTGAACTAGGGCTGGGCGATATGACGATTTTAGACCGTTTTACGATCTACACATCTGATGGTCTGTCATTTTTGAGAGACCGTTTTATCACGATTCACAGCTCTGCTGTTGAAATTCTGCCTCTGAATGAAAAGGGAACTTACCCCAGGCGAATGACACGCCTTTGTTTGACCCTTAACCAATCAGAGTGAGTCATAGTAATATATTAGTGCCCCACTTGTTTTCACCTGTGTGTGAACAAACATGGCTTCGGCCGCGGCTGAGCGACGACGAGGTTTTCGTTCCAAAGAGGAACGCAGGGTTTCCTTAGCGCGCGGCGCTAACAACTTAGCGATGTGACATGTCTCGGAGAAAGCAAAAACACGTTGGACGCTTCTTCTGAAGCAGGAAAATAACACCGCTTCTTAAGCAGAGCACGACGTAACCTCGGCTCGTCCACCCTCTGCCGAGCCGGACTGAGCTCGGTCACTGGGTCGTTGGAGCTGCCCCGTGACTGCCTGATGGAAAACCAGCGGGTTTCATCAGACTCGTAGTTTCTTGTTTTTGCTGGGGACCTCTGTATTTTACCGCTCCCTCCTGCAGTCTTCCCCCATTAACATTTAAAATGATTCTGTAAATCCATGTATCAATAGAAACAATCTCTGCCTCTGCCAGCTGCAGTAAAAGTAGTCTCCAAATAATAAGAGGTGCATTCATCTGTGTATCTCCTTTGATCCGCATTAGTGATATTTTCAGCACCAGAACAGTGAAGCAAAGAAAGATTCCTGAGTTTGTTAGTAATTTTATTTATTAGGTGCATCTAACCTGTTCTATTTTTCTCTGAAATGAGATCAAATCAGTGCTTCTATGGGTTGTCTCCACTCTGCACTGGAAAATTTTACTTTATTTAGAGACTTGTTGCAGAAAATATTCAGAATGCGCAGTTTTTTGCTACCACAAGCGATCTCTGGTCCAGCCGCACATCAGAGCCGTATTTGAGCTTAACTATCCACTACATGAGCAACTGGGAGCTACATAGTATTTTGAACAAGTTAAAGTTTGCACAATACGTTTGCAATTGACATGTTTGCACTTTAAATATGTTTACGATTTTAATTTATGTTAAGTTACTTGAAAAACGAGAAAAACTGATTTTTGTAATTGTTTCTCTCAGGGCTTTTATCATCTCTGGTGTGAGTTTAAAATATAAGTGTGTTAGCACTGTGCTGATTATCCCTAATACGAATAAATGTTTATTTATTCAGTGTTTCTCTTCTTTAATACGCAATTGAAGTTATGCTATTCATGGATAAAAAATCGTGATAAAATCGAAATCGTGATAAAATATTGGAAAAATCGTGATATTCTATTTTTGCCATATCGCCCAGCCCTACTCTGAACTGAAAAGCTGAAAATGTTTTTACAATTTAGGAGCAAAAACAACTTCATGCATGTTAATATAGCTCAAAATGTAGTTGAATAGTGGAGTGACCAAAACTGAACACCAAACATTGGAAATGTCTGACCTTCAAACCGCTTTAAAATCTGGAACTTGATCAGAAAATATTCATTAAATGGACTTTAAAGAAGTTTTAACAACATATACATGTACAGAAATGTAAAATGTCTTCCTCAGACATTCTCGTGCAACGCCCTGCTCCTGTAGAACGATCCCTGGCATTTTTACTGTGATTGTGTCTATCCCTGTAAAGTCACAGAAAAAGAGCGTGTTCAGGTAGAACAGCCTGCATCCCCGGTGCCTTCCAGGCGCAGCATAATGCGAGATGACGTCATGCGTGTTTACACTCCGGCATAGTCTGTAGCGTTTGCTATCTGTAGCATAGCGGCAGAGCGAGAGCAGAGTTGCCGAGTTAGCGACTTTTTCGCTGTTCATGGCGACAAGCCTAGCAACACTTCAGAGGACCCCTTGCTAGTTTTTGCAGAACCTTTAGATATTCACTGCAGATTAGCAACAAAGAAACAGTTTGCATCCAAACCGTTCTTCAGGAGCAAGGAAAGAGAATAATAATGTGTGCATGTGTGTGATCACATGAACCATTCTCGGCTGGGCTAATGACAAAGCTACAGCAGAGCTGGGAACCGCCGACTTACGCCTGCTGCTGCTGCAGATGATGCCAAATGAGTGGAAATCGCTTAAAATTTGAAGCAGTTGAAAAGGTTCAAAAACGTACGGAAGCAGATTATAGACAAATAATAAAGAGAAGCATAATCACTGTAGTTGGAATGCTCTATCACCATTCAAACACAAAAAATCAAAGCTGCTTCAGCTGGTTACACCTCTTTAGCGAAATGGAAGATTGTTTACATATGAAAATTATATATCTGGAGATAAAGGATAATGTGCTGATTTGTTCTCAATTTTTCAATAAATATAGAGTTTTGTCTGCAACTTCATCCCAGTTTTTCATTTAAGCCCAGCGTGAATTTAAAGTGTATCTTTAATGTTCTTTAACTCTCAGGTCGAAAGTTACTTTGGTTATCCTTCGAGGTTTTCAGATAACCAGCAGGTGCTTAAAACTACTAAATCAGGGGAAGTGTGCAGGCTTCCCTAAAAAATGCACTGTTTTGGAGTCACGTGACCCGATACATACCTCAAGGAAAACTCGGAGGAAGACGTGCTTGACTCTGGTTATTTTTAGTTGCTGAGGTAACACAGACTAAACTAGTTTAACTATGTTTGTGTATGTTGGGGTTGTCTGGACATCGTTTTTCATCGATTTCCTCAAGAGAATTAAAAAGAGGCGCATAGACATCAGATCATATAAACGTAGAGGCGACATGAGCCGGGGTTTTCTATCACCGCTGCTGTAACTGCTGGCCGCCATGTTGGATGGGTCACCAGTCGCCCCCTGTGCATTCATTGGGCTAGATAGTCAATAGCAATCCTACATAATCTGTTTTCAATAGTACGCCGGATTTTGTCCTGTTACAATACAAGACCTTCTTTCATGTGGGATACCCCGGATGTAGATTGTGATGGTGTTGGAGAGTTCATTCACCTGTCCTCTCCTGGTGTCTCAGCTGCAGGCCAGCATCACAGAGTTCGAGTTTTCTCAGGAGGAGTACCGTCAGCTGCAGGTGGAGTTCTGGTCCCGGTTCTATTCCTGCTGTCTGCAGTACCAGGAGGTGGAGTCCACCCCTCTGGGGCTGACTGTCAATCCCCACACGGGTCTGGCCTGCGTGCTTCGTAAGGTGCGTGAAGGGGCGAAGCCTCACACTCAAACACAAGCTTCAGTTCCACCGGGGTTTTAAAGTGTACCTGACTTGGTGTGGGTCTCTCTCTCTCTCTCTCTCTCTCTCTCTCTCTCTCTCTCTCTCTCTCTCTCTCTCTCTCTCTCTCTCTCTCTCTCTCTCTCTCTCTCTCTCTCTCTCTCTCTCTCTCTCTCTCTCTCTCTCTCTCTCTCTCTCTCTCTCACTCTCTCACTCTCTCACACACTCACACACTCACACACTCACTCTCACACTCACTCTCACACTCACTCTCTCACACACTCACACACACTCACACACTCACACACACTCACACACTCACACACACTCACACACACTCACACACACTCACACACACACACACACTCACACACACACACACTCACACACACACACACTCACACACAAACATAACTACACACAAATTTTTTATTGTGTATCTAAAATACATTTTGAGGTATTACACCCCACCACAAGACTTTCACCAAAAAAAGACATGAAAAAAGGTCAGAGGTGAAAAAGATTAGTGTTCAACTACTCAAGTGGGGGTCCAGGGACAGAAGAAGTTTAAACATTTTATATTTAAAACCGTCAGGCTGGTGCACTTTGAGTTATACATGTTCACAGCATTATAATGATATGTTTGAGTTAACAATGGGATTTTGTCCTTAATGAATCCATTTCAACTCTGCCCACAACTAGCTGGGAAATCCACTGATGCACCCATGCTGCTCTGGTCATTAGTTACCAAAATAACTAACCAGCTGGGCAGAACTGCCTGTTGAGCGTGTGAACGTGCAGAACTTGCCAAACTGTGTGATTCTCACGACTATGTAAGGAAGTAGCTGCTGTTATTTATTTGTTGTTGTTTATAATAAAATACATCTGTGGGGTTTCAGGCCAAAGGCAGAGTTTTATGCCTCAGAACAACCTACTTTAGATTGTCGTGTGTTCTTTACACCAATCACAATGTTCTGTTCCAATGTTCAGACATCCAAACCTTAAAAATTAAATCATATTTTCATCAGTCTGTGAACAGCTTAATGCCTGGAACACACCAGAAGCTTTCGGCGTGAGCTCTTACCTCGGCTTTCCACGGGAGCCGTCAGCAGCACGTTACTGCAGCAGCACGTCATAGCTGCTGATAGGAACCGCTGTGGTCAACAGAACCTTTTCCACCGGAGCAGTCAGCAGCGCGAGTCGGCCGCGTCTCAGGAGCAGCATGTCGCGGCCTTTACGCGCCGGTTCTATTTTCTACGCGCGACGCCTCTGAAACGGGTCAAGTTCGACATTTTTGGGGAAGGAAAGACCGGAAATCGGACGCGGAAATGGAGCAAAGCTCCCGAGATTTTCAGAATAAAGAAACGTACTGCCTTCCGGTTGCTTTACTTTTAAAAGAAGTTACTAACTGCGGCCCCGTGAGAAGTTATCACCTAGCTAGCGGTCTCCTTTGTTTTTCAGGTCCGTATTGGATTATAAAACGGACAGAACATAAAATACAAACCTTTTGGAGCCATGTTGTAGTTTTCTCCTGCTTGTTGTTGTGTTTACTGACGAAGTCACTCGTGTGACTTCGTGCTCGGTCGGTGACAGCTGCTCCCCTGCTGCTTCGCGTCTCGTGGGAAGGGCCAAGCAGCAGCTTACGCGAGCAAGACGTGCTGCTGCAGTAACGTGCTGCTGACGGCTCCCGTGGAAACCCGGGGTTAGTTTTCATGAGTTGCGTCAATTCTGGCAGGAGGTCAAACCAAAGCAGAAGAGGCAGGCCGGTAAATTTAACAAAATAAAAGAAAATGTTCTAAATTAAACACTACGATTGATAAATAAGATAATTTTTTGTGTATCTAAACAGACTAGAGAGATGAAAATGAACAAACACACTCACTCCTGCGGAGAAACGGCGTTTCCATATTTTTAAATGTAGTTTTTACAGCAAAAGATGGATTTAATAAACGTGAATACAAACAAATACGTTTAATCGAAAAGTAAGTAAACTACAGTGTTGTACAGAACCTCAAACCTTTATTTACTTACCCATTTAGAAAGGAACTGGTCTACAAAACAGCAGCAGGATCAGTTTCTGATACCAGCAAGTGGGGCAAACTGGTTACACACACACACACACACACACACACACACACACACACACACACACACACACACACACACACACACACACACACACACACACACACACACCACACACACACACACACAGCAAGGGGGTGGGGGGGTTGGAAAACAGTTGGGGTGAGCAGAAGCGCTTGTTGAAAACTCTCGCCTGACGTGAATGGAGGAGGAGCGGACGGCGCTCAAAAGTCGTGAGCAATCCACTTTGCGGCGCTTGGCAGCGGGGGTGTTCCAGGCGTTGTGTTTGATGTTATCCAGCTTAAGCAGCTCGTTTCTAACAGAGCTGAGCTGTGGGAGAAACTGTTGAGGCTTATTCCATCTTTTCTATCACCCGTGAGTTTGGTGTATTTATTAATTTACTGTTAATTATATATAACGGGTCACTAAAGTCATTTGGGAATATAAAGTATTTCTATTGGAACTAAAGCTAGTCAGCAGCAGCTCACATGTTTCTTCCATACCGCCAGGAGAAATCTTCTCATCAAGCAGCTCTTAGGTGATCAACAGAGTCACGACCAGAACAAAAACAAAACGACTAAAATCAACGTAGAATTGGAGGGGCGCCTAATCACTCAGGTGCATCTCTGTTAACGATAGAATTTGCAGATGCACAAAAGGACAGGTACTCACCTGTTATAAAACACAGGAAATCCTCATTAAAATGAAGTTTTTTGCATCATTGCTTTGCATCACATACACTGCATGCCCACTTTTTGCACCATTGTGTACAAACAAACAAAGTATTTTTAGCTGCAGAACTGTGGGAGTTTAAGCTTGGCTGCCAGTGCAGCTAAACGACAGGTTATTTAAGTTGATGCTGCTGCAGTAACCAGCATTTCTATGGGAAAAGGCTGCTGCCCAGACGCCACTCAGCTGATTATTTAGTATCAGCCGAACAGGCTTCGGTTTAGGACAACACACTGTAAAGCCTTTTCCACATCTGGGTTGGTATGGTTGGGGCTGGGTGGCATTGGTTCGGGTGCAGATCAACGTGGCCAACCTACACACAAATTTTCTTTTTTGTATCATGGAATATCTTCTCATGGGAAAAAGTCAGAAATTTCGATATGGAAACTTTTTCGATATATCATCCAGCCCTAGTAAGCACCATCACTGGCGCCGTTTATGCAGTCCAGTGTAGTGAGGACTGTCCAGATCTTTACATCGAGGAAACTAAACAATTACACAAGAGCATGGCACAACACAGGAGAGCCACCTCTTCAGGTCAAAACACTGCAGTCCACCTACACCTGAAGGACAACGGACACACCTTTGGAGATGACAAAGTCCACATTTTGGACAGAGAAGATGGACGGTTTGAGAGAGAGGAATTAAAGAAGCTATCTATGTCAAACGAACAAAACCCACTTTAAATAGGGGAGGGGCTAATACAGCTCTGGATCTTATTCCAGAACAGTTTCAGTCTAGATCACACCTTCCTGCATCTAATTAATACGACTTTCACACAATAGAGGCCAACGACCCATCAAGGTGTAGGGAGGAGTTAAAATCACATGTAGTTTCTGCTCGTTAAGCAACAACAGACAGCCACAACTTATAAGCTCAACTCTCCCATATTCCAGCCAGAATTGACAAAGCTCCTCAGATGAGAAGCAAAACCAAAAAAGTCCATTTGTCTTCACTTTAAACCCCTTTGGATTACCATGACCTGATTACCATGACTGAGAACCTTCAACAGCATCTGAACCACATTATTTTATTAATTTGCTCCCTGTTCTCTTACTGATACTGTTGTTCGCATCCTCATAACACTCCGTCCTCTGCTGCTGCCGCTGTGAGTTGTGGTTCTCATGGCTACTCTTGTTCCTCTCTGCTTTCTCCTCTCCCCACTGGGCTACAGCAGATGTTTACTCCACAGCATTCAGAATGTTAATGAATCGCGCGTGGGGGAAGCCCCTGCCAGTCGGAGGTGGTAGGGGTGGATTTAATCTGGCCAATCAGTCCGTAGTGTCGCCTCGGTCCAAGTCGGACCTCCGAGGAAGAGATCTGAAAAAAGAGCCACCTCACAACGGAATACACACATTATCTAGTTGTGAAGCCAAATAAGCTACCCAGCCCAGGCCATACTGACCCAGATGTGAAAGCGGTTCTTCACCTCTAGGAAAACAAAACAAAGGTTCAGGTCCATGTATGAAATGGTCCATGATGATGGGACCAAGAGGTCCTGATCACTATTGCTGACAGCTTCTCCAGCTGATCCAATCTGTAATGGTTTTGTTCGTGTGTCACAGGGCTTTGTGTCCTTCCTGCTGCCGTGTTTTGCCGTGGACCACCTGTACCTGTCGTATGATGAGTACCTGATCTCTGAAGAGGAGACGCCCATTACAGATGGTATGGACACTTCCCACCATGACAAAAAGAGCTCAGTATTCTGTGGGTGGGTCAGTCAGTGCACTTTTACAACGTGCAACGCCTGATTTATACTTTGCCATCTACTTGGGTATGGAGACGTCCAACGATATTATGCGCTGCTCAGGCAGCGGAGTGTTGCAAAGCAATTCCTCGCCAGGACAGCAGAGGGCGTAGCGCTGGTCTTTGGTATCCTGCCACCATAACACTCGTGTATCCGGTCCCCGATAGTGTATTTACTAATGTGTTTGTACGTTTCAGAGACTTTATAACACGGACAAATCTGTCCTCCATTCTCCTCCAGCTGTTCATGCTGTCGCCACCTCTAGACCCACGTTTCTCGTCGTTTCCGTCCACGTTTGCTCCATATTTTGTACTCCTTCACTCACGGGTGAATAAATGTAAATATTTTCGGACATTTTCCGCGATGCGTTCTGCAATCTGTTCTGGGTCTGACGCTAAATATCTGCTTACGTTTTAATGGAGCTCCAGCGGTGCTGGTGATGAATATACAGGAAGTGGCGTCCTGACCAATCACAAGCTTGCATTTTCCGTCACTTTCAACAGATGTTTAAAATTTTGGGCATGTCTCCGTCACCTTCTGTAGGCCCGTCGGAGAGCCCTTATGCCGACGCATAATGGCGTTGTGTGTCTCCTCACCGACGCAGACAGAAAAGTATAGATCAGGCTAAAACATCCGTCTGTCAAGACGGAGAACGCAAGCTTGAGATTGGTCAGGACGCCGCTGTCGTCTACAGCGCCGTCCTTGCGCCCTCAAAAACAAAGAGAATCGAGGATATCTAGCGGCAGACACGGAGCAGCTTGAAGAATACCTCGTGGAAAAACTCTAAAATATTAACGTTTTATTCCCCCGTGACTGGAGGAGTGAAAAGATGCGCAGCAAGCATTTTATTCGTGGACGGAAATGACGGGAAACGTGGGTTTAGCGGTGGTGAGCGTATGAGGAGGTGAAGGAGAATGAGGGACAAATTTGTCTGTGTTAAAAAGTCTCTTGAATACAGACAAACACAATATAAACACACCATCTTGGACCGGGTACATGACAGGATGCCACAGAACAGCGCTACGCCCTCTGGTGTCTTGGAGGGGGATTGCTTTGCAACACTCCCCAGGAGACGGAGAAGTCTGAGGACAAAACTTCTCCGTTCGTGCATCTGTGTCCCTCGTGGAGCTGATGGAGATGTATAAACTAGGCATAAGGGTCATGTGCTTGCAGAGATTCAGTCTATGTCCTTTATTACATCTAGGGATGTCCCGATCAGGTTTTTTTGCCCTAGAGTCTGGGTCATTTGATTTTGAGAATCAGCCGATACCGAGTCCCGATCCGATACTTTTGATGCATAAAAAAAGAAAATAAGAAAAGGAAGAAACTGTTCCAGAATGTCCCTTATTTTTTAGTCAATTACCTTTTTATTTTAATTTTTAACAACAGATCACGTCTGTGAGGTACCTTGGACAATCAAGTAATAAATAACATAAATTCTTCACTTTTGGACTTTATTGCAAATATAAAAAGTCTAATATAAAAACAGATAGCACTTCAACTTAAAATACCTGGCAGGGGTCTATTTTGCCTCGGCCCCCAAAATGCTTAGATACGCCCCTGGGCATGGGACGGAGTTTTGAAGATGATCTGAATTGTAGCAACTATATAAAAACTACATGCTGATAAATGATTGCTTTATACAGGTACAAACATGTAGTGGGATAAATCTACCTACATTTTATTTTTTTAAGAACTTTGTTTTGTTTTCTTTGTTTTTATTTTCCTATCTTCCTGTCCCGTCTGTCTCTGATCTTCCTGCATCTCCCAGTCCTCCAGAAAAACTCCTGCCTGCTTCCTTCTTTTTCACCTCACAAGTCACTTTTTAACTAGCAGATCAAAATGATCTATTGACCGTAAAAAAAGCGGAGTGTGCGCCGCGCTGCCCGGCTGCGCCAGTGACGAGCGAGCGCGTCCACACGTCATGCTCAAATACAGACAGAACTTACCAGAGAGAAAATGAACGGACACGAATGACTGTGTTAATTGTATATTTTTGGTGACGCCACTTAGAAACTTAGAAAATGTTACTGTGGCCGTGTGCAGAACGCAGCTGGAGTTCATGAATAATCAGCGGTCTGCCTGCTGCTCTGAGTCCATGTAAATAATATAATAAAGGTAGAAACTGGATCTCTTTTGTGCTCCTTCTGGGTGTGGAAGTTAAGGGCATCAGGGGAGCCTGACAACCTGTAAGGAGAACCAAGTTGCTCTCCTGTAATTTGAACCCAGTATCCGAGTCTGGATCGGGAAGTAAAGACGGAGTCCCTGATCAGTCTGAAACCACGTGATCGGGGCCGATTTCCGATCATGTGATCGGATCGGGACATCCCTAATTACATCGTCCGATAGTTTCATCTCAGTCTGTCTGAGTCTAGAGTGCTGAGAGCCAGTGTCTGATCTGGAAAAGGCTTTCTGACAATATTCACTCATCCTTCAGAACTTTTTTCTGTTTGTTCTGTCATCCCAGTAGGATAATGTACACCTATACAAATGTACAATGTCTACTTTTCTACAGTGTCCAACAATTTGTATTAAAAAGCACAATAAAGAGAACTTTCTTTGTCATGAAAGAAGAAAATACCTGCAGTACCTTTCCTCTCTCCCGCAGAGGTTCTGCTCGTGTGTGTGTGTGTGTGTGTTTATGTGTGTGTGTGTGTGTGTGTGTGAGAGAGTGAGTGTGAGAGAGAGAGAGAGAGAGAGGGAGAGATCCAGCAGCCGATAACCGTTGTAGACGTTCAGGCAGGAAGATGTCCATCAGTTCATGAGTCCCCTGCAGCTCCACAGGGAACGGCTGGTCCAGTTTTACCGCTTAAGTTGTCATCGGCACCGCGCTAGGGTTTCCAATGTCTGGGAGTGACGCCATCGGGAGGGAATTTCCGTCCTCTTGTACATTTGCGGCTCCGCGGTTGAGTCCGGTTCTTGGTCTTGGGTTGAGATGTACGTCCCCACTCAAAGATCTTCAGCAGGCATCCCGTTTTGTTTGCTTTGAGACAGTGACCTCGTTCTTGTGGAGTGGCTTGGTTGGCTTTTTTCCAGATGTTGGAAAAAATGACGGTAGCATGTGTGCTACCATCTTGATACTCATTCTTAAGCCTAGTTGATGCTCCTGCGGAGACACACACACATTGACAGACGTTTTGCCTATAGACTTCTCCGTCACCTGGGGAGTGTTGCAGAGAAATTCCTGGCCGGGTCAACAGAGGGCATAGTACTTTTCGAGGTATCATGTATTATGTATCTGCTCTGGTATTTTTGTATTTCAGATATTTTAACACACACACGTCATTCTCCACCTCTGCATGCGATCGCCAGCTCTAAACCCACGTTTCCCATCATTTCCATTCATCCTTCTACTCCTCCAGTCACGGGGGAATAAAACATTCATATTCTTAGACTTTTCCACGAGGTATTCTTCAAGCTGCTTCGTGTCTACCATTAGATATCGTCGGCTCTGTAGTTTTGGTGGATTTCAGGGAAGCAGCATCCTGGCCAATCATAAGCTTGCGTTCTCCGTCTCCTTCGATGTACCGACGCAGAAGCACAAATTGGGCTTCATACTGTTTCTACATGTTCTGTTATAGTTGTGGTGTGCCTCCTGTCATCCTCAGACCCTGACATGGCCAGAGACGTCCTTCAATTGGTTCAGAGTCTGCGGCTCATCAGTGACGCAGTTTCTGAGGAGATGACCTATGAGATGGAGAACGCGCTGGAATATCTTCAAATCCCAGAGAGAGCTGCTGAGCTTGTCCTGGAGAAAATGCTGTGCAACGACAGGTAGGTCAACTGACACCCTGCATCTGTCCTCCACCTGTCCCTCATCAGCAGCAGAACTAAATAAATGCATTATTTATTCTGGCAAAGCTCCGTTGACGGTTCTCGTTGTGGGGCGGGTTGTCTTTCAAACCATCCCCGCGTGCTACTGGACAATGAACAAGTGATGTAACGTCCAGCAGTGGTCAGTTTAGCTACTGTTTGACCATTCAACATCTGGTCAAAAAGGAGGCATGAGACTGCACGTGTTCCCTTTAAATCAGCCTGCCTTCCTCACACCGGCTGGAGCTCAGAGCCTGCAGCTCTGACAGAGATAGCGAAATCATAACAAGCTGATTTATTCAACTCCTTCTGAGTTATTCCTGAGACGCAAACTAGTTCCAACTGTTGTTACCTGGAGATGATTCTGGCCTGACCTGTTCGTACTGCAAGTTAATCTACGGACTTCGGTACCTGGGGGGCCTCCGACCCCCCCGACATCTCGTATCCGAAAAGGGCGTCTCTACTTGGGTATGTAAAACACAGTGAGATTGTGTCTGATGTGGTTTTTGAGAACAATCAACTCATAGCTTAACGCAAACCAAATTCTTTTACATCCAGGATTCAGCTCTCCTAGATCCGGAAGTTCTGACTAACATCTCATTCACACATAGGTTTCATACATCACATCTAGTTCCATCCACCACTGTAAATGCTTAGTTAACTTGTCATGTTTTAATTGTTTGAAAATAAATTCTTACTTTTATAAACCTGACTGTTTTCTGAATCAAAACGAAGTGTGTACAATCCCCTAATAAATAAAGAATCCTAGAATCTTCTGATTAAAGCACAATAAAGACCAGACAGGGTGATATTCTATATTTAGACAGAGTATCCCAGCTTACTGGTCATAAGTAGAGGTAATATATATTGAGCTCTTAAAGTACTCAATTTACCAAACCCTACAGTGACATACTGCAACAGATGTCGTCAACGAGGCTCTTGAAGAAGGCAAAAATGCATCCTTTTTGTAAATTAAGGACTTCTACATACATCTGTCTGCTCCTGATTCTAATCAGTCCAAGTCCTAATAGTCCAAAATCGATGTAAAAGTCGTTTAAAAGGAGCTGTTGCCATCTTGTTCCACACCATCACACCATCCTGCCCACCAGACAAATGGAGTGCCTTGATTAGCCCACAAAGCGGATAGAGCCCTGTGACTTACCCACCACTGTGGACAAATCACAGCACTCTATTGGTTTGAAACCCCTATAGAGAGCAGTGATTGGCTAGCCAGAATGCTGCAGAGGTTCCAGTGGAGCGTTCCTACACTGAACTAGTTTCCTTGGCTAATCTGAGAAGTGCCGCGGCTGGTTTGAGTCGTCCCCATAGACTGATGGATTCCAACGCCGCTGATGCTTCCAGTGTGAAGTAGGGGTCACCCGTGGTCTGTGGATTCTTGTTGCATGGACCCACCCAGGAATAAGACGTTACGTGGAAACACTTGAACAAGTCCTACAGGTCACACATGACTGTGATCATGTGATCGGTGTGCCTAAAGTTGAGCACATTTCCATGGAACCGGGTTGGTTTGGGTTTTGGGTGGTTTGGACTCATTTCTCTTGAGTGTTGGAAACATAAGTGTAGAACATCTGTGGCCTTGCTTCCTGCAGTGAGAACATCATCGTGGACATTCAGAACAAACTGCAGGATGTCCGGAATCCCACTGCGGCCATGATGGTTCTGATAAGGGAGATGGACCTGGAGACGGACTCGGAGTTTGGTGGAGATGGACTGGTGGCTCCAGGTAGTAGACATGCTCACTCTCTCTCCATAACACACACACGCGCACACACACACACACACACACACACACACACACACACACACACACACACACACACACACACACACACACATTATGATGGCTGTATTCCCTGCTCTTTGTCTTGCAGGACTGAGTGTACGGATGAGCCTGTCTCAGCTGTACAGCAGCAGCTGTGCTGTTTCTCTTGTCTGCCAGGCTGTGTGCCACTTGGCCATGACCCGAGCTCGGTTCTGCAGAGATCTGCTCATCCTGCAGAAACTTTACCTGCGATTTGGAGACAACGTGAGCTTACACGACTGTGCTGTTTCTGGGCAACCCAGACATATGTCAGGGTGAACTAATTCTGTGTGTGTGTGTGTGTGTAGGTGTTTCTGGGTGGAGGGGGGCAGCTTCTGCAGCTCCAACAGGATCTGATCCCTCGAACCTCCCACCTCCTCTCCTCTTATCACCTCCTCAAACACATCAGTCAGACTCTCACCTCCTTCGTTCCTGTGGACACCATGTGAGTACAGGTGGATCGGCACGTCCATGTAAGGTTCTGGTCTGAGTCAGCAGCTTCACTTGTGTTTCAGAGACGTGAACCTGCAACACCTCACTGCGTTGGAGCTATCTGACACGCCAACTATGACCCCAGCTAGATCAGGTCAGATATTACCCACTCACCCAATGGGTTGGGCATTTATTCAATTTCAGTGTTTCCGATTCCAATTTTCTTGTTTCTGCTCGATTTTCGTTTCCGACCCTTTCAAGAGGCAGGGTCCAAAAGGTGGACATGTTTTAAGTGAGCCGGTTTTTAACGTTTTAAGAGGTTAAAAACAGACTTGCAGCACAATCCGTGTTTGTTTCTGAGCCTCCTGCTCACAGCCCAAAGTTTAGAGCTGAAGGAGCCTCCCAGATGAGAAGTAAAATGTCTTAACCAGAGAAGTCCAGCGGTTTTCAGTGAACAGTGATGCTGCAGACGGGGTTTCTGCTGGCTACAAAAGTCCAACAGCTGATCAGCTCTCAAAGACCTTGATCACAATTTACAAATGACAATTTTTCCACGGAGATTGCACAATTTTTATCGATGGCCGAAGCCACACTTTAGAACGTCTCCTCGCATTTTACTTGGCTGCACGGTATTGAAAACACTTCCAGCAGATTCTCCGTCGTTGGTATTCGGTGGCATCTACGACGATGATACAGTAGTAAAGCGCTCGCCCCGTAATCAAAAGGTTGCAGGTTCGAGACCCGCTCAGTCTGCCACTGCTGTTGTGTCCTTGGGCAAGACACTTAACCCCCTTGCCTGCTGCTGGTGGTCGGAGGGACCGGTGACACCCTTGCTCAGCAGCCTCACCTCTGTCAGGGCGCCCCAGGGCAGCTGTGGCTACATCGTAGCTCATCCCCACCAGTGTGTGAATGACTGAATGAATGTGTTGTAAAGCACCTTGGGGGGTTCCAGGACTCTAGAAGGCACTATATCAAATACAGGCCAATTACCATCTACTTCCGGTTAGCTGATCGGGAATCAAAGCTAGTAATCGAAATTTTAAAAATTGAGAAATTCCGGTAAAAGCGGATTCCAATCGATGCTCAATGCCCAACCCTACTCACCCACACACACATCTGTCTTAGGCTCTGGTTCCTGTGATCATGAACTCTGTGATGTTTCAGTGTGGACCCCTCAGACGGTGGTAGAGCTGTTCTATCAGACAGTAGGACGGAGGATCATCATGTCGCAGGTGTTTTCTCAGCAGCACGGCGACTCTCCGCTCATCTGGACTCATCTGATCTCCAATGTGGTCCAGCTGCTCGCTCAGCTGCTGTATCCTTCATCTAGACTCAGTCAGGTTACCAGTCACATGACCAGCCATCTGGTAACCTGCAGACAATGAAAACGTTCCAAGAAACATATAATTTAATTTAGTTTTCAAGGTCATTCCTGCTTTCTCTTAGCCTGGCAAGCCAGACTAAATAAATGTATTATTTAGTCTGGCCACGCTCCATGGACGGCTCTCGGTTGTGGGGCGGGTTCTACCGTTGTCTTTCAAATGATCTCCGCATGCTACTGGACAATGAATGTGACATACTCTTGTTTCACTCTGTTGCATCATCCCACCCACCAGGCATATAGAGTGCCCTGATTGGCCCACAAAGCGGATAAAGCTCTGTGATTTGTTCACTAAGCAGATAGAGCACTATGATTGGTCCACCATTATGGACCAATCACAGCTCTTTATGTGTTTGAAACCCCTCTAGAGAGCTGTGATTGGCTAGCCAGAGTCCTGGTAGGAGCTGCGGAGGTTCCAATGGAGCATGCCTAGACCACACTTTGCAAAGCAAGAACTTGGTCTAGTTCACTAGGCTAGCTTTCTCTACCAACAGTGTAGTAGTTAAAGCACGGTGACACATCCAGATGATTTCAACCCGGTAATCAACACATTCGTTTAAACTAGATCTGCAGCTACTGATTAACTTAATAATGGAATCATTGGAGTCAAGTCAAGTCAAGTTTATTTATATAGAGCCAAATCATGACAAGAGTCGTCTCAAGGCACTTCACATAATAAACATTCCAATTCACAGTTCATTAAGCCAATCAGAAATAATGTTCCTATATAAGGAACCCAGCAAATTGCATCAAGTCACTGACTAGTGTCAGTGACTATACAGCAATCCTCATACTAAGCAAGCATGCAGCGACAGTGGAGAGGAAAACTCCCTTTTAACAGGAAGAAACCTCCAGAGAATCCTGGCTCAGTATAAGCAGCCATCCTCTACGACTCACTGGGGATAGCCTTTATATTGGAGAAGCCTTTATATTTCATTTGCTTTGATAAATGGTACAAATGTAACAAAGTACAGGGTGGGCCATTTAAATGGTGACTACCTTCAAGAGGTAGTCACCTGAAATGGTTTTCCACCAGTCTTGAAGGAGTTTCCAGAGGAGTTTAACGCTTGTTGACCCCTTTGTAAATGATGGTCATAAAAATAAAGAAAACACATTGAATAAGAAGGTGTGTCTGAACTTTTGGCCTGCACTGTATGTGAAGTAAAGATCTAGCCCCACCCACCACTGATTTCGCTGTGCATCTTTTGCCCCGCCCACATGCTCAGAGATGCGCTTATGACATCACTGATATCTTTGCACCAATTTTGGAGACCCCATATGCTCAGTCACGCCTACATCGTAAAGATGTGTGTAGTATTAATTCGTCCAGGCCGATGCTGGTGTTGAAGCGCCATAAGCTGAAGAAATGTAGTTTACCAACAAACAATGGTGATTATTTTACTAACAAAGTAAGTGGTAAATATCCATCAAGTACAATTTCATCACAAGTGTGATTTGTTTTTCCTTCCTGCAATAAAGGCAAAACTGAAAATTTAAAACATTATGGGGTTCTTTTAAAAACTGACTTGCAACAAAACACAGAAATAAAAAGAAGAAAAATCACTTGTTGGATTTTAGCGGCTAAATAATACTCAGTCTCAGCATAGCCGTCGATACTCAGTTTCTTCATTTAAACCCTAGACCACTAACCTCGTCTTAGGTCCACAGCTGATGCCTGAAGCACCTGAGATGCTGAGATTCTGGGACATGGAAGTCGTACTGTTGTGTACCGCTAGCTTAGGGCTATGCTAGTTTAGGGCTACACTAGCTTAGGGCTATGCTAGCTTAGTGCTAAGATAGCAATCTTGTCCATCAGCTTTAGTTAGAAATGTTCCCACTTTTTCTCTAGGTGTCGTCATCCCTTTTCAAAATCAGAATCAGGTTTATCGCCGTGTAGGTGAGACTCATCTAGTAGGAATTTATTTCGGTGGCAAGGTGCAAACATGCATACAAGTCAGGCCGTATATAGATTAGTATACATCAGAAATAATCAACATAGGAAACATAGCAAGATAAATAATCATTGATTTTAGTGGTCACCTTTCTCACGCCCCCCGAGTTACCAGGTATGACTGTGCATGTGCTTCAAGGTCAGAGCAGTGGAGAAAGGTACAGCCACAGATGTGAGAGAAAAATACAGCTTCCAAAAAGAACAACTTTGGTTCTTAAAGGGGCATTATGGAAGTTTGACAGCCAAAACATGTATAGAAATAATACATTTTGCGCATGCTCAGCTGTCTAGGCAAGTTCTCGTTATGAAGGACGGGTACCGAAACGAGGCACCGTTTCAAATGACGTGAATCGGTGCTCGGTCGGTACCTTAAAAAGTACCGAATTCGGTACCCATCCCTACAGTAGTGACAAAGCTTGCTACATTTCCGAGGACCCTTGGCTACTTTCTGTAGAACTTTCTTCAAGATATTTCCTGCAAATCAGCAACAAAATAGCCATTTTCGCTCCAAACCATTCTTTGGTTTGACGTTGTTTCAGCTGTCATCAAGGATATAAATGTTACAGATACAAAAGACGTCACTGGTGCTTTAGCTCACCTAGTAAGACGTCGGACTCTCTTGCAGAAGACCTGGTTTCGATTCTGGGTGTGAACATAGTTTATGTAGTTTCTTTTTTTACATTAATGGTATTTTTTTTTTACAATAAGATGCCCACATTTTTATTTGAGACTCGCCGAACGGCATTGAATTCACGGATAAAAAAGATGTGGGTTCAACTTTCATTTTGGAACAATTTTTCAAGCAAGGGAAGGGAATGATCTGAGCATGCAGGAGGACTGACCCATCATAAACCTTTGTCAGCTGTGCTGAAGAGAAAGGTACAGAACCAAATTATTTCATTAATTAGCTGCGTGTTCTCCTGTCCTCTGTCCTCCGGGCCACACACACACACACACACAAGGGACTGTCTCAGCTATTATTTTGGTTAAGGAGTGTGCACGTACAGCATGCGCGCCTCGTGCACGAGCCTACTATTGAAGTTGCCGTTACGCTTTTGGCCTGAGGGGGCAATCACGAGCATAAAAATTCAAAACTCCGTAAAGTCCCTTTAAGTTCTTCAGTGACAACTTTTGGTAGTTGTAACTAATCAACACATCTACACAGCACTACCTAACTCTTTTGCCACTCTGGCCCCTCATGTCCCCAACAATTTTGGTGGGTGGGAACTCGACAGGTGAGGCGGAGGGGGGTTCTAGGGTAATTTTCCTGATTGTGACATCACAAACGAGGACTCAGTGAAACAATTTGTTTTAGGCTGATCATTCTCGAAACCAAACACTGAAAACTGTTTTATTCCCCTGTGGAGTGTTTTTTAGAGGCAGCAGAGACCCACATAGGTCAGATTCAGATTTCATGTCCCTTTAAAGGCTAATGTTGACCACAATACCTGTGGACAGGTGAGAAAGTTTGCTGAGTTAGGGATCAGTACTACCAGGCCTCACACTCAGCTGATGAAACTATGTCCTCATAACTCACAGGTTCATCTGAAAGCTGTTAAGTTTCTTCAGCTCTGTGTGTTTGTCTTAACCGATGTTTCCCAGTTGGCCCAGTAACCCTGGTTTCCAGTTTCTGGAGTGCCTGGTGGCTAATTGTCAGTTCACACAGCTGCAGGTGAGTCTTTTCTTACTAGTGTGGACTTCTAACCCAACAGAACCAGATGTAGTGGAGCAGGTGACCAAACAGCTGGGCATCTGTCCTCTTGTCATCCACATGTCTGTTTAAACCTTCATGTAAGTAGCTTGAGAGCGAGTGTCTCACCTGTGCAGGAGTACATGCGGCTGATTGGCCCGTGGTGTCAGGTGAACATCGGCTCGTGTCGTTTTGTGCTGGGTCAGTGCCACCTAGCTAACGGGGAAGGCCAGAAGGTAAGTAAACGTTCTTCTGTACACCTTACCTGTAGCAAGCTCACAGGACTCACTGTGACATCATTTCCTGTTTGCACCAGGCTCTACAGTGTTTTCAGGAAGCGGCATCAGAGGTGGAGCGGGAGGCGTTTCTGATGAAGCTGACGAGCTGTGGGGATGAAGAGGCTGCTTCCAGCCCCAGATTACAGTACTACAACAAGGTAAGGCAGCAGTAGTGGTGTGACATCACCAATGTAAGTAAGTAAACTTCATTTATATAGCACTTAATGTTAGGTAATTTTATCTCCCATCCAGGATTACCTTAGGGAAAGTTCAACACGCAGGGGTTATAATAATCAGCTGATCAAAACCATATACCAATAATCGACCAACAAAACAATTTAGACTTTGCAAAGTGGAGAATGAAATGCACACCACACAGAGGTCCGATACTTCACTCTCATCAAAGTCCTCCAAGAGTATTTATTAAGCAGACACACGGAAAGATACAACGCACACACATTTACACACACATTTGAGGTTCTCACAGACTCAGGCGAGAAGGCACACCAGGTGCAATTTCTAAAACAGAGCTGTCTGGACTTCTCAAGGGAGTTCTACTGATAAGGGGGACCAGCCCCAGCACCAAGTCTGGTACCGAGAGCGAGGTCAGTCCTCCCAGTTAGAGCTTACAAAAGCCTGTCTGTTCCCAGAGAAATAGAAATAGATGAACCTTCGTTTAAAACCCCCAGAGATCAAACCATTGAAGACATTATTAACAGTAATATCAGTTTTTATCCAACACTTATCACAGACATAGAATCACAAAGTGCTTCACTTAGATCAAAATAAAACAGTCATAAAATCATAATGATCTCAAAACAGAAATGGATAAACATCAGAAAAAAAGTCATAAAATTATTAAATTTCATAAACAGATAAGATTTTACAAATTTAAGATTAAAAGAATAAAATTAAAGATTAATGTAAAAGCTGCTTTAAATGAAAGGGTTTTAATAGTGTCGAGACTGTCAATGCTACGTGAGGATAAAGGAAGATCCTTCCAAAGTCGGGGTGCAACAGTCTGGAAAGAGCGATCACCTGGACTTTATATCTGGTCTTTGGAACTTCTAGAAGGTTTTGGTGTGTGGACCTGAAAGCTCGGTTTGGAGCATAAGGCTTTAACAGTTCAGTAATATAGGGAGGAGCTTGACCATGTAGAGCATTGAAAGTTATAATCAGGATTCTAAAATGAACTCTAAAGTTAACGGGTAACCAGTGCAGAGACATTAAAATAGGAGTGATGTGTGCTCTTCGGTTTGCTCCAGTTAGGAGCCTCGCTGCAGAGTTCTGGACCAACTGAAGGCGGTCAAGGGCTTTTTTGTTAAAACATGAAGAGTGTGTTACAGAACTCTAAACGGGAGGAGATAAAGGCATCGATAACTGTTTCAAGTTCATGTTTTGACACCATCCTTGGTCAAAAACACCCAAATTCCTCAAGCTCGTCTTGACGACAGAGGATAAATGACCAAGTTTTAGACTAATCAGGGGAACCATGCTCTAAGGGGCAATGATCAGATATTCGGTCTTTTCAGAGTTTAACTGGAGGAAGTTATCTTCTAGCCCAGGGGTGTCAAAGATGCGGCCCGCGGGCCGGATCCGGCCCGCAAGCAGTTTAAATCCGGCCCGCGAGATGGTTGTGTAAACTATATTTTCATACTTTACAATGTAGAGTGAAAATAAACTTATCTTTGTGAGCAAGTTTCCTCTGTAATGAGTATAAATAAAACAAAGCTGCGCTCAAGGCTCACACAAGAACTTGAATCACATCCTGAAGTTGGCCGCCACTCAGGATGTGACTTCTGATATTGATGTGCTGGTGAAAGCTAAAAGATGTAAAGTAAAATGAGTCAAATATACTTTAAGTGGTGCTTGAAACTGATCTAGCCATGTGATCTGTAAGCTCTTTGAATCACTAAGGAATGGTTTTTTTATTTATTGATTTTTTTAGTATTTTCAAATTTTCAAGTACACTTCAGGTGTTGTACTTGTACTATTTTGGATACACTGTCCTCAGGCTCCAGCCTTGCTTTATATTGATTGTATTAAAACAAAAAAAACAATCTGAAGTTTTTTTTTATTTACCGGTCCGGCCCACTTGGGACTAGATTTCCCTCAATGTGGCCCCTGAGCTAAAATGAGTTTGACACCCCTGTTCTAGCCAGCTGGTGATCGCTGATAGACACTCTAGTAATTCACAGTTTATAAAACTCAGAATCCTTAAAGGAGCAGTACAGCTGAATATCATCTGCATATAGGTGATAAAAGACATTATGAAAAGGATCATTTATTTGTCCAAGAGGGTGTATGTACAGTAGAAACAACAGTGGACCCAAAACAGAGCCTTGGGGTACCCCACAGAACAGATGGGTAGAATCTGACATGATTTGGTTTATGCAGACAATGTAACTTCTGTTAGAAAGGTACGATCAAACTCAATCTGTTGAGTCTACAATACTCTTTGTGTAGACACCCCCAGCAGATCCAGACTGTCAGAAGTCGGGGTAGACATCTACCTCAAGGTATCCGGGGCCCGTACATTAGCTCCGATACGACTCGTCTAGTCTTGAGATATATCCAGGTCAAAACAGTATGCTGGAATGCTTGCTTGCGTCCAAGGTTGATGTTTGGCTACTGAAAGAGCCGATTGGGCTGTGTCAGCTTGCAGCGTGCAAAGAGGCTTTGACTGGAGGTCAAAGGAGATGGTTTCAAAAGAGGCTTCTTTCCCAATTTGGCCAAGTCGGGAGTCAGCTGGAAACTGAATTAATCAGGAAGTAATTCTTGTTTTAATGAACTCATTGTTTATAATTTTAGGCAAATCGGGATTCGACTTGTTTGAGGATTTTACCAAACATCCCTTCTTTAGATACAAAGGTGTTTAACACTTTGTGAATGAGAATGTTTTAAAACACTTATGTGAGGTGAATATTACATTAATGAGTATCTTATTGTAATGTGTATGAGTGTAGATAATGAATAACTTGTTAAATCAAACTCATACTGATCTGGTGTAGATAAGATCTGAAATGGATCATTATAGGACCAATATTCATTTTAAATTAGTTGATTTAAGCACAGATTATTCAAACATTTGATCTAAACATCTTATTCATTCAACACATATGATTATTTAGACTTTAAAGCTGTAAAGTTATTTATAATTCCCTTTGGTACATTAAACAGTCGAACCTTGAGTAAACTGGCATTAGAGGGGCGTGAGGTGAAACAATATGGTTTATGGTGTCAAGCAGGACTTTAGAGTTATTTTGTTTAAGGCAATCAGCTGAGCAAAGTAAGTGGCCCAGAGATTATTTCACTGTCTCGTTCAGAGATGTTATCCATTCTTTAAAGTGCAGCCTGTGACTTTCTAATCTAGTTAACGTCCAACTTCTCTGCGGCATGTCCTTCAGAGTCTGTTAATGTTTTGATTAATCCAAGGACTTTTCCTCTTGCTAGAAAAGGTGATCTGCTTAATGTGTGTGACTGCCCTGCTTACCTGTGTAACATCACTGTGTGCAGGTGTTGCGGCTGCTGGAGGACATGGGTCTACCTGAGTTTGTCATCCAGCTCGCCTCTCTGGCCTTATCAGAAGCAGCTGGTGATGCCCACAGTCAGGTAGGGGACGGTGGCCTGTTGTACTGTTTTGTTCCTGTTAGTGCAGATCAGTAAGTGTGTGTGTGTGTGTGTGTGTGTGTGTGTGTGTGTGTGTGTGTGTGTGTGTGTGTGTGTGTGTGTGTGTGTGTGTGTTTTTTTTCAGGCAGCTCTGTGGACCAAGATATTCAAGCATCACCTGGATCTGGGTCACAACAGTGAAGCTTACGAAGCTCTGACCCAAAACCCAGACAGCAGCATGTACGTGCGCACGCACGCATGCACACACACACACACACACACACACGTGATTTAGCATTAGAACTGAGAAGGAAAGGGGGGTATCTTTTGTGCAGCTGAGTCTCATTACAGCTGCTCCTGCTCCTGCCAGGTTATGGTTCGTCTGACGTAGGACTGGACAAAATATAGATATTTTTTAAAATATTGATGTAATTTCAAACAAGAAACAAGTGGACTTTATATTGATATAACCAATCCAGTAGCTATGCTAGCCACTAGCTTGCTCCGTCTAAGCGGTCATTACATGTACTCACAAGTCTGCTAAATCAGAAAACTTCTGGGTCAATGTTCTGCCTCAAACGTTGCATTTGGCTTCCTGGTTTTTAATTACTTGGGAAGTCCGTTCAGGTTTCAGCGAGCCTTTTCATCGTGGCTGCCAAAGGAGCTCTGATTATACTGCTTTTGGAAAGACCAGCCAAAGCCCTCCCCCGTGTAATCATGAAACGGCTACGGAGAGCCGGAGTGACTAAATGACCTCAAACATGTTCTAACGGTTAGAATAGGCAATGTTGGGGTTAACGTTTTATTTTGAAGGTGAGTTCAGTGGGCGGGAGAGGTTGTTCCGGTTTTTGCCGCTTTGCTATGCTAGGAAATGCTCCGTTACGAGCAATTCTGTTGAAAAAGTTAAGAGTTTGTAAGGCATGTGTTGCTGCCGACAGTAGATCGAAAATAATACCCAGAAGGGCAACCAGAGAGTCTGAGTTACACTATGATCGCTGATATGAGCTGTTAGATTCCTGCCATGTTTGACACTGAGACATAAAGGGCTTCCACATTAGCATCAGCTCTACTCTGCCTGGACCAGGTACAGAGTGTTCTTGAATTTTCCCGCGTGCGACGGGTAGTTTTTTAGCCCTCTTCCCAAGTCAGTCTGCTATGGGCTGAACTAGTTGATCACACCCCCTGCTCACTGATTGGCCAGTTCAAATTCATGACTCCTATTGAAGGGACCCTCCCAATTGGTGGGTAGAATCAGCCAGTAGGGTCTTTCCGCATCCACATTTCTACATTATCAGCAGAGGGCAACACCGTCCGCTGCTGCCCGCTGATAAACGGAAACGGTAGTCCACTAGGTAGGTTATTCATAGAACGGCCATGTTCACCATTTAGGGGAAAATAAAGTTGGCAGTCATCAGCAAACAAATGCTACGGAAGATATCCCCCAGCAGAAGAATGTAAATCAGAAACAGCTGCGGTCCTAGCACAGAACCCTGGAGAACACCCCAGGGAAGATGTGAAGAGGCAGACGAGAAACCACTCATTCTGATGTCGTTTTGTTTTCAAGGGATGATCTAAACCACTCCAGGGCCAAACCTGAAACACCCATTTATTGTCCAAGACAGTCGATTAGCACATCATGATCCACTGTGTCTAAAGCAGCGGACAAAATGTCGTTCATGACTCTCACCAGTGCTGTCTCGGCACCATGCAGCACTTTGAAGCCTGATTGAAAAGTTTCCAACAGCTCATTTTCATTTAAGGAGTCAATTAATCAAATGTATACACATTTCTCCAGTAATATGCTCAAGAAAAGGAGCTTGGAAAGTAAGTCTAAATTTAACTGGATGTGAGGCACTTAACCCAGGGTTTTTCAGAAGAGAATAATTCATATTCTTCTTAAAGTCATCAGGGACAGATCCAGAAGATGAACTCAGGTTAATAGTCTGAGCTATTACTGGAGCAACGGCCAATAAAAGCAGCTGTGGCTACAATGCAGCTCATCACCACCAGTGTCCATGGATGAATGTTAAGCACCTAGGAGCGTTCTAGGACTCTCGCATTCTGCTTTAGCTACAGAGAAATGTGTTTCAGCTTAGGACATTTTCCATCTGTGCACCAAGACCAACCGACCAGTGGGAGCTGCCTGGTCTGACTCGACAGCAACATCCTAATCTTGGTGTGGGGATGTCTCCAAGAAGACCCCAAATTCTCCAGCTGCAAACGGACAGATTCTCACACATCTGATCTGTAAATATTCAGACTGATCCTCCGGTGATGTTTCAGCTGAATGCTTGTTTGTGTTCCAGGCAGCTGGATTGTCTTCGCCAGCTGGTGGTGGTTCTGTGTGAACGCTCTCAGCTGCAGGATTTAGTCCAGTTTCCCTACGTCCACCTGCATGATGAGGTGAGCCCTGACTGAAAATCTTTTATTTCCTGCAGTTGTTCATCGTATGGCATCTTTACCTTTACCATGATATCTTTACCATTACCATAGTATATTTACCTTTACATTACATTACCATGACCATGGTATCTTTACCTTTACCATTACATTACTGTGGTATATTTACCATTACCATGGTACCTTTTCCTTTCCCATGGTATCTTTACCATTACCATAATATCTTTACCTTTACCGTGGCATCTTTACCTTACATTACCATTATCATGGTATCTTTACCATTACCACAGTACCTTTACCTTTACCATGGTACCTTTAACATTACCGTTACCATGGTATATTTATGTATCGAAATTGTCCGAACACACTTGTAACCTATGCATGTTATTGTTTGTCTGTAAATGGGTCCATGTGGAAGTTCTGACTGGTCGGTATAAAGGCTCCACCTCTGAGGCAGGTCTGGAGCTGATCACCACTGGGCCTGATGGGGAGCTGGGGCGTAGTGCTTGGGTGGATATCTTTAACCCTAACGGTTTCATTAGATCGATAGGCAGATTGATTGGTGCTGCATCTGCAGTGATGCGGGCGTTGTACCGGCCTGTCGTGGTGAAGAGAGAGCTGAGTCAGAAGGCAAAGCTCTCGATTTACCGGTGGATCTACGTTCCTACCCTCACCTATGGTCATGAGCTTTGGGTAGTGACCGATAGAACGAGTTCGCGGATACAAGCGGCCGAAATGAGTTTTCTCCAAAGAGTGGCTGGGCTCTCCCTTAGAGATAGGGTGAGAAGCTCGGTCATTCGGGAGGGGCTCGGAGTAGACCTGCTGCTCCTCCAGATCGAGAGGAGCCAGTTGAGGTGGCTCGGGCATCTGGTTAGGATGTCTCCTGGACACCTCCCTGGTGAGGTTTTCTGGGCACGTCCAACTGGGAGGAGACCTAAAGTAGACCCAGGACACGGTGGAGGGACTATGTCTCAAACCGGACCAGGGAACACCTTGGGATTCCCCCGGAGGAGCTGGCCCAAGTGGCTGGGGAGAGGGAAGTCTGGGCCTCTCGCCTTAGGCTGCTGCCCCCGCGACCCGACTCCGGATAATCGGATGAAAATGGATGGCTGGATGGGTTTCATTCATCCACAGTCTGGCAAAGCCTGAACAGATTTTCTTCTCTGCAGTTGTTTTGTTGCATGTGTTTATTTCTAAAAATGTAATATTTACCTTCTCACGGGACCTTCAGGTAGTCAGCATCATCGAGTCCCGTGCTCGTAGTTTGGATCTGCTGACCCACAATTACTACGAGCTTCTGTACGCCTTCCACATTACCCGACACAACTACAGGAAAGGTGCCAAAGCAAACATGCAAATTCCACCTAATTATACGTGTGTGCGACTGCATAGTGTGTGTATCCGTGTTCACTCAGCGGGGACCGTCATGTTTGAGTTTGGGATGCGTCTGGGCCGGGAGATTCGTACGCAGCTTGGCCTTCAGAAACAGGTGAACTGTTACCTGGCTGCTCTTAACTGTCTCCGCCTCATCAGGAGTGAGTACGCCTGGATTGTTCAGCCAGCATCAGGGAGCACGGTATGCTACACACACACACACACACACACACACACACACACACACACACACACACACACACACAGCTGTGTTGATAACGATGTGTTGATCTGCTGCAGTATGAGCGACCTGGAGCGTCTCCAAAGAGGAATTCTGATGGAGAGTTTTCTGCTCCACCAGGTGAGATGCTGCTGGTGTGAGGTAAAGGCGCGACATGGGCAGCCCCAATCTCTCTCCCTGTCGTCTCTCTGATATCATCCTGCCTCACCTTTCAGTAAATGATTACAGCTGGTGTAGTTCGTTAACAACACCAGCTCAGTGGCCTAATGGTGGAGTGCCCACCCTGAGTCTGGGAGATCAGGGTTCTAATCCCGATCAGGTCATACCAAAGACTTTAAAAATGGGACCCAATGCCTCCCTGCTCAGCATTAATGGGTTGGGTTGGGGGTTAAACCACCAAATGGTTCCCGAGCACAGCCACAGCTGCAGCTCACCGCTCCCCCAGGTGATGGACCAAATGCAGAGAACAAATTTAGCACACACATCAGTGTGTGTGACAAGTAATGCGTTTTTAACTTAGACTTTTGTTTTTAATGAATACTGATGTAACAATCAGAAAAGTAATATATTTTACTGCCAAAGGAGTAACGGATGATGATACTTTTATGTGTACTTTGTTGTATCTTCAGAATTATTATTATTCTTTGGACCCTATCACCACCTCTAGATATGATCTGTCCTCCAAACACACCCACACCACCCCGCTTCTCCTCCAGCTTCACTGGCTGCCAGTCAACTTCAGGGTTCATTTCAAGATCCTGGTTCTGGTCTATAGGGCCTTACATGGACAAGCACCATCTTACATTGGTGATCTTCTCAGTCCCTACACCTCCAGCAGGTCCCTGAGGTCCAGTGACCAAAGCCTACTGGTTGTGTAGCACCAGGTTAAAGGTCAAAGGTGACAGATCATCTGCTGCTGTGGCCCCCAGACTCTGGAACTCTCCTTGTTCTGCTCTTTCTACCAATTCTGCCTTTCTTGGGATCTACTGATTACCTCTGTCTTCTCTTTCTTTTAACTCACATTTTTATCACAAAATAAAATTTTATCATGTTTATGATATTTTAATTCATTTAAAATATTTTTGAATTTTGTTCTCATGATGCACCGTGCGATTTTTATCTTGAGAGGCGCTACAAAAACGATTGTTTTCTTTTTTTCGCTACTGTGTGTCTCCAGCTGCAGGTAGACATCGGGTGGACATTCTGGAGCTGAATGATCTGGAGAGGGAGTACTTTCTGTCTCGGGCCCGCCTCTCTCTTGCACAGCACCACCCACCATCTGCAGCTATTGCAGGTAGTTATGCACCTTGTGTAGGTCGTGTGTATTTGCACACATCACTGAAACCTTGTTCACACAGAGTTTTAGCCTGACCAGCTGGGAACTCTTGTATTCAAATAACCCCGCCCCCTGAGAATTCTAACTGAGCCAATCAGCGCTGAGCAGCGTACGTCACACACCATGTTTCTCATTTTCTCAAACATGGCGTCTGAAGCAGAGTTAGGTGCAGGTCTTCCCTCTGTTCTAAATGACTTGAACGCGTCTTTAAAACCAAAACAATTAGAAGCGCTAAAAGCTTTTCTTCTAAAGAAAGATGTTAATGCCATCGCCAGATGCCATTTTTGACTACAGCTTACAAAAACTACAGCATCACTCAGCATTCGGTGTGAAACAAGCTTAAAGGTCTAATATCATGCAAAATTCATTTGTGGAGGCATCATCATAAATATACTGGACATCTCCTTTCCATAGGCTCCAATATCACGTTTTTGAGGCCAAATGGGAGGTGGCCACCGCCGCCATTTTGACCGTGTCACAGGTTCCGTCAAGCCCAGACAATTCCAAAAAAAGGGAAGAGAGGTGGAGCTGAGGGTGGGGCTGTAAGGCTGGGATCAACTGATGACACCCGGTCGAACTAGCTACAAGCTAACCCAAAGCTAACACAGAGGTGGGAGCTAAGCTAACGGAGGTAGCAACCTAGCTACAACCGGAGTTAACTGTGCACAACACCAGAGCTTCTGAGTCAGAGATACGCCGGGCTGACCGCTGGGTAAAACCGGGTGGAACACAGAGGTCTCCGAGAGCTCCACAAGCCGGCAGCCGCACAGCAGACAAGCGCCGCTGCGATCTGAGATGCGCAGAGCTGTCGCTGGGGAGAACCGAATGGAAAGGTTTCCATCCCAGAGCTCCACAAGCCGACAGCCCGCGCATCAAACCGAAGCCGCGATCAGAGATGCGCCGAGCTGCGGGGAGGGGATAAGGGTGGAAAACATCGGTCTCCCGAGAGCTCCACAAGCCGATAGTCGGAACCCAGCTCCACCAACATGTTATATTTCAACCCATTTTCTAAAGTGCAGCATTATGTTAAATGCACTGGGTTTTACCCTATTACATTTAAATGTCATGGTTAAACAGTACATGTTAAAATCTAAGCTCAGCTCGGCAGTGACCTAAAATACATAAATATAATTTTACTTACCGAAAAAAAGGAAGTGGAGACTCCTTTGACGCTCTATTAGTGCAATTAATGCCACAGCAAGTCATTTTGTCCAACAATTGCACAAAAAATATCCAAACAATAATACACAAACACAGAGACTCAAAATGCCGGAGCAGTTTCTAAGCCAGACCGAGGCTCTACTGAGGCCTTTCCACGGAGCTAGCTCTGTGGTCACGTGGGTCTGATGCTCATTAATTATACAGAATTTTAGGCTTTTAATACACTTAAACAGAAGAGTGAGAAAAAAATTCACCCCCCTCAGAGTTGTCATGAGTGTAAACTAGATCATTTAAACCAAAAACATGTTTTGGTACCAGGCTGTAAACATGTTTATTTCTGCTGTGAAATTGGTATTTTTAACATGGGAGTCAATGAGGATTTGCTCGCTTCTGACACCAGCCCCCAGTGGATGAGGGTGGAACTGCAATTTATTTCACTTCCGGGTTTGACTCAATTTTAGAGCCGCATTGTGGGGGCTTGGTCAGAGGCATCTGAGGAGAGAGGGTAAATAACCTTCGGTGGAATAGCTCCTTCATCACGTTACAGCACATTGAATTACCTCTGTGGATGAAATGTGCTATATAAATAAAGCAGCCTTGCCTTACTATGGATTTCACATTTCTGCTCAGAAAGGACTTCACGATCCGTACTGATGTCCACAGACATTTATTTTCTTCACACAAATCAGAACATTGTGGTACATCGTGAAAACTAAAAGAAGACAAATATCATAATTATACCTCTTAATCATCAATAATAAATACAACATTCAAAAACAATATTTACCATGTGCTTCTGTTTGCAGGCAGTGTGTCTGCACCAGAACTGGTCCTCCTCCTGGCCCAGACCGGACTCTTCGACTCAGCCCTTTCTCTCAGCCAAATCTTCAAACTGGATCTGAGTCCAATCTTCGATGCTTTAACCTTCAAGTGAGCCCAGGAGGTTCCTCACTTACTCTTCCCCTTCCATTTTGTTTCACTTCCTGTTTGCTTAACCCTACTCTTTATCTCAGGTGTATCCAGCTGCAGTCTGGGGGGGAGGAGTCTCAGAATGAAGCTTGGAGCTGGTTGGCTGCTAATCAGCTGTCAGTTGTTACCACCAAAGAGTCCAGGTGTGTTGCTTAGCCAGTAGTCATGTTATTGATCATATTCATTAATTAGTCAGAGCCCATTTGTGTTAACCTTCCCTGACTTTCTGTGCTCAGTGCCACTGATGAGGCATGGCGACTGCTAGCCTCTTACCTGGACAGGTATCCATCTACCAATGGACAGTATCATCGCCATGTCATTCACAAGCTGCTGCAGCATGGTGTCCCCTTGCCTGATTGGCTGCTGCAGTCATACAAGGTGAGAGGAGGCAGGGCCGTACAAAGTGGTGATAATATATATAAATCATATCAAACACCAGACCATTTTTATCATTTTTACATTAAATACATTTCATCATCATCACTAAGAGGAAAGTTTGATGTCATGGTGAATCAGTCATCATTAATTCATCCTTAAAACCCAGATGTGGACTTCTGTAGAGCCCTTTTCAGATAGACATTCTGGAAAATTGGCAGACAATTCAATCCGGTTTTTAACCGGAACTGTGTTTTCAGACACACCACTTTTGTACCGGAACTTGTTCTTTCGGCTGCCTTCACACAGCAGGGTAAAGTTCCAGATGTCTGGGGTGGGGTAGAATCGGACTTATGTTAAGAAGAAGAAGAAGAAGAAAATATCATTTCTATAGCGCCTCTCTAGATAAAAAATCATGAGGCGCTTAAGCATAATTCTGCGCACACGAAGACGCATAAGAGACCTGGATGATGAAGCTTAATGGTTAAAGGAATCACTGAAGCGGTGTGAAGCGCTCCGTCGCGCGTCTAGACGGTACCGTAGGAGGCGAGCTGCCGTGGTTCGCCGCATTCTACAGCAGCGAGCTACCTAGGTGCGCACAGCGTCCCCTGTTCCCCTCCTCCCCCTCCCCTTGTCCGGAACACTACCTCACCAGTCTGAAGCAGCCACCCTGTCCGTAACAAGTCCGGACCTGTTACTAGGGGCTTCGTCCGGTTTAATTACAGAAAACGTTATCCGGATGTTTGAATTCAGACACAAAGGTCTTATGGACAGAGTCCGGAACATTTCCGTTTTTCATGGCCTGTCTGAAGGGGGCTTTGGTCTCCTAAAGGTTTTGTGTTAGGTGGGGGGTGGGTGGTCGTTCTTTGCTCACTTGGGGTCCATGCTAGACAGTCAACACTAAACAGCCATGCACGTGTACTTCTGGTTGTCAGCGCATGGACGCACCATCTCTGCTTCGCCTCCTCCTGAACTTTGACCTGCTGGAAGCAGCAGGGGAACTTGTGGTGGAGTACGTGGAGGCCGTCCTTGGCCGAGGACATCAATACTTTGGGATAGAGGTAGGGAGACCCCAAGAGTCTGTTTATTAGTGTTGTTGATTAATGCTTGTTAAACATGTTGTTGTTGCGTATCAGAGGCCGCTGTCGGCCACTTCTCCTCCCACCTGGCTGCCGTACACGACTATCGATCTACTGTTGCATGCTCTGAGCGAGATGCCAACACACACCAGAGTGAGTCATTTCCTGTTTACATTACAACCAGTTCAGTGGCCAAGTGGTATGTTGTCCGCTCTGAGACTGGGAGATTGTGGGTTCAAATCCAGTCAGGCTGTACCAAAGACTTTACAAATAGAACTCAACGCCACTGCTTTTTGTGTTTTAGCTTCTCAACAACATTCGGGACAAGCTGGATGAGTATCACAACGTTGTGCGTCAGATGACCGAACGTCGTCTTGCAACTCAAAGACACACTGCCGTGTAGGCGGAGCTTCATGTTTTAGTTTTTCTACCTGTTGTTTCTCACCTGTAAATCCTTTGAATAAAAGTTTTTTTTCTATGTTTTTCAAGTGTTATTACTAACAAACACATACGCAACTGCCATCCCTTCCATACACCAGCAGATCCGATTGTTGCCACGGAAACATCAAAACACCACATGGAAGACCATGATGACAGGCAATAAGCCTCAGGGATGATTTCTGTCAAATTCCAGACTTTGTGTTGAAACCAATGACAAATTGGTCTTAGGTGAAGGGTGAGACAAAAACTGATAAGGAAAAAAAAAAAAAAAAAGAATCCGAGTACCCGGCCCAGAGGGTTACCGGGGTCCTACCCTGGAGCCAGGCCTTTGGGCAAGCGCCTGGTGGTCGGGGTTTTGCCCATGGCACCTGGCTGAGCCCAGCCCAAACTGGAGACGTGGGCTCATCCAACTGTGGAACCCACCACCTGCAGGCGGAACATGAAGGGTCCGATGCATTGTGGATCGGGTGGCAGACCGAGGCGAGAGCTTTGGCGGTCTGATCCCTGGACCAGAAAACTGGCATTTGGGGCATAGAACATAACCTCTCTGGTGGGAAAGGAGCTGGTACTTTTTGAAGAGTTTAAGCGGTACCATCTAGATATAGTCAGATTGTGATTGGGAGGAACGGCCCGCCCACTCTGAACCAGAAGGGTGTTTTGTTATTGGACTTCTGTGCAAGTCGCAGTTTGGCCATAACAAACACCATGTTCAAGCAAGGATGCTGGTCTGTATACTTGGTACCAGGGCAGCCTAGGTCGCAAGTCAGTGATTGACTTTGTAGTTGTATCATCTGACCTGCGGCCGTATGCTTTGGACACTCGGGTGAAGAGACGTGCAGAGCTGTCAACTGATCACCACCTGGTGGTGAGTTGGATCAGATGGCAGGGGAGGATGCCACGTAGACCTGACGGACCCAAACGTATAGTGAGGGTTTGCTGGTAACGCCCCTAGCAGAAGAACAGGTCAAAATGGTTTTCAATTCCCACCTCCGGCAGAGCTTTGACTGCATCTCTAAAACAGTAGGTGACATTGAGTCTGAATGGGCCTTGTTCCACTCTGCGATTGTTGAGGCGGCTGTTGTTAGCTATGTTCGCAAAGTGGCTGGTGCCAGTAGTGACGGCAACCCCCATACACGCTGTTGGACGCCACAGGTTAGAGGAGCCATCAGGCTGAAGAAGGTGACCCACAGGGCATGTCAGGTCAGTGGGTGTCAAGAAGCAACAGGTACCGGATGGCCAAGTGGGTTGCAGCAGTGGCAGTTGCTAAGGCAAAAGCTTGGGTGTGGGAGGAGTTTGGAAAGGCTATGGAAAAAGACTATCAGTCGGCCCCAAAGAGGTTCTGGCAAACTGTCGGCGTCTCCGGAGAGAAAGGCAGAAACTCGCTCACACTGTTTACAGTGGGGACGGGGAGCTGCTGACGTCAACTGGGACTATAGTCGGAAGGTGGAAGGAATACTTTAAGGAGCTCCTCAATCCCATCGACGCGCATTCCGAAGACGAACCAGAGCTGGGAGACCTGGGAACGAACCGTACGATCTCTGGGACAGAGGTTGCTGGGGTAGTCAAACAACTACACAGCAGCGGAGCCCCGAGTGTGGACGAGATTCGTCCTGGGTGTCTCAAGGCTTGCTGTAGGGCTGTTGTGGTTGATAAGATTCTGCAACATTGCGTGGTGAACTTTATCCATTTATTCATGCATTTATCTCCTCTTGTAACACACTTAACATGTTTAAAAGGCTTGCATCATGCTATGCTACACCTCCCAGACGAAAGGTAGGTACAATATATGATCAAATATAATCATAGACACTATTGAGATGTCGTTATTTATGAAATAAGTTGTTTTTGTTAGCCATTACTTCAACCAAGAAATAACACCTGGATTTGATGAAACGATGCTGTCCCATGCAGTCCTATATGTGTAACACACACACACAGCAGCAGCATTTTAGAATAATTTGAATTACTAATTTACATTAAACTGCTTTTGCAGTCATTTAATCTCATTCTTGAGTAAAATAGAGAAACTGGCTAAATCATCACATGTCTGTGGCATCAGAAAACAACTACTGAGTTCACACACACACACACACACAGGGATGGAGCACAATGGTTACACCTGATTCCGCTCCAGTGTCAAGATGTTTTAACTCAGAGGCTGCATGCAGGTCTTCTGTTTAATGGGCTAAGCGCAGGGAATCTGCTTGTTAGGAGCGCTAAACATTATTTTGCTGCTGCCGTGCAGAGCGGTTGGGGAAACACATTTCAAACATGGAACCGAGTCCAGCAACCGAACCAAGCACAATACCAAACCTTAAGCCAAACTCATGTTAATCATGTGCAATATTGAAGGAGACTTCTTTAAAGAGGCGAGGAGGCACCACATCATCTGGAGAGCCACTTGACTTGTAACTTGTAAAGTACTGACTTGGTTACACCTCTGACTTGCACCATACCAAACTGACACCAGAGAACATGGTTAGGATCAGTAATTAAAGACTGAGTGGCCCAAATAAACTAATTATATTGATAGTTTTTATTTACTTGTGATTCTCATTTGTTTCCTTAATTAAAAATGGACCAGTTCATAATTGTGTTGGAAAAATAGTTTAAACGTTACCCTTTTCACTTTATAAAGAAATCTGAGGAGCCAGCTGACTTCAAATTAACCATTTATTGGAATAGCAATTTCAAAAGTAGGAGTCCATGATGCGTTTCATGCTCATGAACCTCGTGTGGCCCATGCCCATGTTCATGAAGCTCCGGTACTCTCCAGGCCTCATGTACATCATCTTTCCTCTGTAGTGGGGCTGCTCATACATCAGCCAGTGGCCGTCCATCACGTGACACGACATGCAGTTGGACATGCGGTAACGGTCCATGATGTTGTCACAGTCATCCATCATCTCATGCATCTGGCCTCCAAAGTTCTCTCTCTCATAAATCCTCATCCTGTAAGAGCCACGGTGCTGGAACACACCGGTTAAGACAAATCAGTAAACACCATGATGAACTGTGTTCTCTTTAGCTGCTTATCAGGAAATCTAAAACACTGACGCACTCAGACTGCTGACACAACCTGCCCTGTCAGTTAACTGAGTGGTTACCATGGAGACGTGTGCTGTAATGTGACTGAGTGGTTACCATGGGGATCATACGGCAGGACCTAATGCAGTCGCTCATTCCCATCGTGCTCATGTAGTCGGCGTACTCTCCCCTCCTCATGAAGTACTGGTTACCCGTGAAGTTGGTGCGGTCGTAAACCACAAAGCAGCCTCTCTCCACCCTGCAGGAATGGCACCTGCTCATGTAGGAGGACATGTCGGCACAATCGCTGCTGCACTCATAGGAGCGTCCCTGGAAGTTTCTGTCCTCGTAGAAGATGATCTAGTGACCAAAAGAGAAAGCTTCCATCAGGGGAAAATATCAAACTTTAAAGTCATCAGCTGTTTATGGCAGCACGAATGTTAGCTCTGGAGCTTTGACCACTGCATGATGTGTGTTGTATCTTACCCTGCTCATCATGTTCATGCTGCTGGAGGTCATGATGCTTATTGAGTTGTTCAGCTGCTGTTGCTGCTGTGCTTGTCCTCTGTGAGTGTGTTACCTGTGGAACTGCTGCTGCTCTTTATAGCACCTGAGCAGCTGAAGGCTTTTGTTTAAATAGCCTGAGCCAGCAGTGCATCATAAAGCAACGCTCAACGTTCGGCATTTCTCTTAGAAACAACAGACAAAGAACCACAGATAGTGGCGGAGTGTCTCCTTCAGTCCTCTGTTCAGTAACGACGTGAAACTTTCTGGAACAAATCCTGAAGATAACACATTTATGAATGAATGAAATCTTTATTTCGAACATAATAAAAATAATAAAGTCATTGTAGACATTATAAATAAAATCACACTGATAACCACACAAAAACTGTAATGATCATATTCTGTTCTAAAAGGAGGAAGCTGGTGCTTATTGAATCCTGCCCCCCGACACGTAAAACATAATACAGTCAACAAATGTGCGAAATAAAAAAAATTGTAACAATAAAAAAAATTATATATATGTATTTATGTATATATATATATATACATATGTGTATATGTGTGTGTATATACATATATATAAATATATGTATATATATATATATATATATATGTGTGTGTATATATATATATGTGTGTATGTATACATATGTGTATATATATATAGTGTGTGTGTGTATGTATATATATATATATATATATATATATATATATATATATATATATGTGTGTGTGTGTGTGTGTGTGTGTGTGTGTGTGTAAATATATATGTGTGTGTGTATATATATATATATGTGTGTGTGTGTGTGTGTGTATGTATATATTTGTGTATATATGTATATGTGTGTGTATATATATATATATATATATATATATATATATATATATATATATGTGTATATATATATATATATATATATATGTGTGTGTGTGTGTGTGTGTGCGCTCTGTCTTCTCGATCCCCAGTGAGTCGTGGAGGATGGCTGCTTATACTGAGCCAGGATCCTCTGGAGGTTTCTTCCTGTCAAAAGGGAGTTTTCCTCTCCACTGTCGCTGCATGCTTGCTTAGTATGAGGATTGCTGTAAAGACTCTGACACTAGTCAGTGACTTGATGTGACCTGGTGGGTTCCTTATATAGGAAACTTTTTACTGATTGGCTTGATGACCTGACCTGTATTGGAATGTTTACTGTGTGAAGGTCCTTGAGACGACTCTGGTCGTGGTTTGGCGCTTTATAAGTAAACTTGAATTGATTTGAATCACAAAAACAAGCCATTAAGACAGTTATAAATGTTGCACATTGAAAGCATTTGAATAATCTGTTCATAGAATTACAAATTTTAAAGTTAAAAGAATTATTATAATTTAGGACTGCAATAATCATGCATAAAGTTAAAGAGAGCAAAAAATCACTTCCTGATAAAATGGTCAATGTCAGTTCATAGAAAGACAAAGGGAATATTATCTGAGGGGAATTTAATATGGAACAGCATTATGCTCTAAGCAAAGTATGTGTATTTCAATCTATGGTGGTATAAATTATGGAAAAGTGTTGAAGGAAAAAGCAAACAATGTATCAGTATACCACAATTCAAAAATCACACAAAGAATTGATCACTTCCAGAATCAGTCAAGAGGACGAGTGACTTGTGCTGTGACGCTATTATAATTTGTGTTTTATAATCTCATGAAAAGGGTTTGTGTTGCATCGACAAGTTGTTTTCTGATAATATTACCAAGATTGCAGTGTGACACATTTATTTAGGGATAGGTAAAATAAGATTTGCTTCTTAGTGTCACGACGTGCCGGTGAGTGGAGCGGAGGTGAGGATCCAAATGCTGGGGAGGAAGCAGGCAGGCAGAAAACTTAAAGGGTTGTAATGATATACGCACGCAGGACATGGAAACAATGAACCAACAAGAGACACAGGACTGAAGGGGTGTATATACAAGAGGGCTGGGAGCTTGGGTGATTGGAAAACGAGAGGCAGGTGGGAGCAATTAACAGAGACACAGGACTAAACCAAAAGGGGAGAAGGACAGGGTGTGACACTTAGTATCACTTTCAAATTAATTTAGTTTGTTGTGCTACTTAGAAATTACTTCTGTCTTATACACGAATGAAATGTAGTTATTACTAGTATTATCTATTAAAAATGTATATATATCTTTTACCTTTGTGTTCTTTTTTTCTCTAAATCTTTGTGGATTCAATGTATTACCATACCATACCATACCGTACCATACCAACTTTATTTATGAAGCACATTTAAAAACGGCATGGCAGCCGACCAAAGTGCTGTACAGAATAAAAAGTAAAAACACAACATAAAAACAATACACGATCAACAATAAAATACACAACAAGGCAGATAATGATGGTCAATAAAAAGACACATAGTAAAATAATAAAGTCGGGGATTTAAAAATGCCTGGTCGTAAAAGTGAGGCTTAAGTAGCGACTTGAACCTCACTGACAGAGGAAGAGCATTCCAGAGTGTCGGAGCAGCGTAGCCAAAAGCACGCTGCCCCCGCGTTCTGTATTTCATTGTTGGAACGTGAAGCAGCAGGCAATCAGCAGATCTCAACGCCCGGTTTGGCACATAACGAGTCACAAGATCAGACGGGTAATCCGGAGTCAGACCGTTCAGGGCCTTAAAAACAAAAGTCAGGATTTTAAACTTGACTCTGAAGTTTACGGGTAGCAGGTGGAGCTGCGCCAGTACAGGTGTGATACGGTTTCTTCTAGGGGTGTTTGTTAAAGACCTGGCTGCCGCGTTTTGTACGACCTGAAGCCTGTTAAGAGCGGAGGCAGGTAAACCAATTAAAATGGAATTTGCGTAATCCAGTCGGGAGATGATGAAAGCATGAATTACGGATTCCAGGTGTGCTCGTTTCAGGATCGGTTTTAAGCGAACTAGTCTGCGCAGCTGATAAAAACATGATCTGACCACTGTGTTAAGCTGAGGGCCCATGGAAAAGTGTGTATCCTGTTTCATCCCCAGGTTGGTAACACACTGCTTGAGGTCAAATGGGTGAGTGTCCAAATCGGAAGAAAAGTGTGTGGTTTTGTTAGGGGTCATCAGGAGTGCCTCCGACTTAGAATCATTCAGCTTAAGGAAATTGTTGGTAAGCCAAACCCTCACTTTTGCCAAACATTGGTCCAGAAGAGAGAGGGAGCCTGGTTTGTTCAAAGCCAGGTAGGTATTATTTAGTTTTGTTAATCTCACCTCTGGCTCTTACATTTTCATCGAGCATAAACGATGTTTTAACTTACGAGTCACGACTAATTGAACTACCTGGTATTATGTAACTGAAATGTTCTATTTTAATTACTGTTCCTTTATTTAGTTTGGTGAAAGGAAAAAGTTGTTTGGATGTCAGATCTTTTATAGGACTCAGTGCAAGAGGTAGAATGACAAACAACTAAAGAAAGCAATATCATTACCGTAATGTTTAAAATCGTGTGTTAAATTCATTTGACCAAAAGCTAAAAGATTTGAGGCTTAATTCTCTGCCCACTGGTATGTCGTACGGTTACGTAGTTCGTTTATACAAAGCTGGAACATCAATTTGAGAAAAGATAAGTAGTTTATTTCCGTTTTATCCTATTTGTGCATTATGAGTATTTATGAGCATAATGTAGTTGTTTAGGAAGTGGAAGGAAGATCTCACTGTGATTTCTAACATACATGCCAGTTTAAATATGAGCTTCACACTTTTGTTTTTGTTTAACGATTTGACGTGTATGAGACACGTTTGCCTGCATTTGTTTGTTTTGTTTGTTTGTTTACACCTGTGTGCCCAAACCTTGAGAAACGAGAACAAATCAAATGGAATATTCTAAGTTAATTAATCAATTCCAATTCAAGATCCTGAAACAAATAGTTTAAAACGTCTAATTGATCCAGATGTTTTGCAAAATAACAAAATGATGAAGCTTCCGGACTGGAAAAGTAAAGGAATCCTATACCTGGAACACATATGAAGGATTGGACTTCATCCCATTTAACAGAATAGCCTCCAGTTTGGGATAGATAAGAATAGCATTTTAGAATATCACCAAATTAAATCTGTAGTTAAAATTTTAAGCTTAATAAAGTAGAATTACAAACACCACCAAGGGTATTAGACTTCTATAATCTCTAACCCCCCAAACTACTGTCTAAAGTTTATAAGACACTGTCCAAAATAGACGATAGAATAGCAATCCCTATTGAAAAATGAGAGGTGGATCTATCAATCAGCTTTGACCAGAACTTCTGGTCCCAAACTTGTTTAAAAACTTTTAAAATGATCAGACACCCCAATTTACAACTAATACAGTACAAAATTCTACACAGAGTACACTATACAGGTCATCGGATGTTCAGGATGGGGTTTGTGTCGTCTGACACCTGTACACACTGCACAAACAACATTCCTGACAATTACATCCACACACTGTGGTCCTGTCCACCTGTCCAGGAATTTTGGGGTAGAATATGTGAAGACCTGTCAAAGTGTCTGAAAGTTCATATCCCAACTTCCCCCTCTTTGTTTACTGGGAAACCTGGGCGATGCCCAGATTGAGACACCTTTGGTTTACGTGTTCTGATGCCACATGCATCGCTAAGAAAACTATCCTCATGAATTGGAAAAACAGAGATACTCTTTGCATTAACCAGTTTGTTAGATCATATTATACTTGAGACAGCCTCTGCTTTCACTTCAAGTCAATCTCTCTGGGCTCCTTTGATCGGTTCCATCACATAGCGATGATAGGGGGTCATTGATGTTGTCCTGCGGGATGATCTGGGTGATCGGGCAGAGGATCTGAGTTTGGAGTATCCGGACGTTCCCTGGAGGTGGGTTCAGTGTGGGTGACTGGGGCTGGGGGGTTGCTGCCCCCCTCTGGAGGGGCTTGGGTTGCCTCAGGGGGTGGGCTACTGGCTGTTGTGAGTGGGGCCCCTTGTGGGGTCTTGGCGATGGCCATGGGATACTGCCTGGCGGCTGCATCACCCCTGAGTGGGGGCGCAAAAACAAAAGTCTGTGGAGGCCAGCTGAGTCCTAGAATTTATCTCATTATTATGATAGCTAAGTCATAATTATTTGATCCTAAGTCATAATTATGAGATAATAAAGTTTATTTTTTTTATCTGAGTGGCAGGAATGGGCTTCCACACAAAGGTGAAGTTTTGGGAGAAGCAATATAAAAGTTTGAAGGCACCATTTGTTGCCGTTTTGGTGGATGAGACGACAGCTCTAGTCCGGTGTGATGCGACAGACAGGTGGAAAGAGAGGATGGATTTCACCTTTCAGTGAGTGTTAATTTTATTTACACATATATAAACCAAAGCTATTTATCATTAGCTGTGGTGGTGCTGCAGCTGCTGTAATGCAGATGTTAGAAACTGTCATAATGAGGTGTATTTTATTCTCTCTGTACACAAAATGTTAATCAGAATCTTTAAATATTAACCCTAACCCAAAATTCCACAAGTAAGCTCTAAACCAGGGGTGCCCAGTCCTGGTCCTGGAGGGCCGGTGTCCAGCAGATTTAGTGGTTTTTCTGCTCCGACAGACTTGATTCAGGGGTTGAAACACCTGTGCAGCAGCTCATCAGGCTCTGCAGAAGCCTGTTAATTAGCTGCTGATTGAAATCAGGTGTGCTGAAGCAGAATTCAAACTAAAACATGCAGGATACCGGCCCTCCAGGACCAGGATTGGGCACCCCTGCTCAGCGTGAGATAAACAAGTCTTAATGACCACGTTAGAGGTGGACATTTGAAATCCGATCAGTCAATCATGATGTTGGGTTCAGGTGTGAAATGCCAGATCTTGTTGTATTGTCGTGTGTTTATATGTTGGTGGCGTGTTGAAACATCATATTGGGTCAGGAAATGCACAGCAAATGTACCTGCCTTTACTTCTAGCTGCTAAAATAAAACAACACAAAACAAACAATGTTGTTGTTCTGCCTTTTATTTGACTAGAGGATTAGCCCTGGAAGAGCTAGCAGCAAATGAAGATAGCTGAGGTAACAGGTGACGGGTGAGCCCCCAGCACAGATCATCCACCATACCGGTATCTAGTTGGTATGTGTGGGTGGCTGACACATCCTCATGCCAGTTCTGTGGATAACAGAATTCTTTACTACAGCAAACAGTTCTTTATTGTTCCTGTGTTCAATAGTAGGAGTCCATGATGCGTCTCATGCTCATGAACCTCGTGTGGCCCATGCCCATGTTCATGAAGCTCCGGTACTCTCCAGGCCTCATGTACATCATCTTTCCTCTGTAGTGGGGCTGCTCATACATCAGCCAGTGGCCGTCCATCACGTGACACGACATGCAGTTGGACATGCGGTAACGGTCCATGATGTCGTCACAGTCATCCATCATCTCATGCATCTGGCCTCCAAAGTTCTCTCTCTCATAAATCCTCATCCTGTAAGAGCCACGGTGCTGGAACACACCGGTTATGACAAATCAGTAAACGCCATGATGAGCTCTGTTCTCTTTAGCTGCTTATCAGGAAATCTAAAACACTGACGCACTCAGACTGCTGACACAACCTGCCCTGTCAGTTAACTGAGTGGTTACCATGGAGACGTGTGCTGTAATGTGACTGAGTGGTTACCATGGGGATCATGCGGCAGGACCTAATGCAGTCGCTCATTCCCATCGTGCTCATGTAGTCGGCGTACTCTCCCCTCCTCATGAAGTACTGGTTACCCGTGAAGTTGGTGCGGTCGTAAACCACAAAGCAGCCTCTCTCCACCCTGCAGGAATGGCACCTGCTCATGTAGGAGGACATGTCGGCACAATCGCTGCTGCACTCATAGGAGCGTCCCTGGAAGTTTCTGTCCTCGTAGAAGATGATCTAGAAAGATAGAAGTTTTGTGATTTGGGCCTAACCCCATGTAATTTTTGATGGTAATCGGGAGATGGCCAGTTTTCTGATTGTTATGCTATGCTATGCTATGCTATGCTATGCTAAATAACAGCTGGAGTCCTATGACTGGTGTAACAAAGTTAATAAACAAACCGTGAAATGGCCGGTAAATGGTACAAGGCATATATCTGAGATAGTGTCCTCTAGGCTTCTACATACATTCACCCATGCACTCAAACTATAACATCGTGGTGATGAGCTACGATGTAGCCACAGCTGCCCTGGGCGCACTGACAGAGGTGAGGCTGCCGAGCACTGGCGCCATCGGCCCCTCTGACCACCACCTGCAGGCAAGGTGGGTTAAGTGTCTTGCCCAAGGACACAACAACTGCAATCGATGGGGCTCAAGTCTGCAACCCTTAGGTTACGTGACGGGTACTTAACTCCTCTGCCACCATCACCCCAAACCTAAAAAGTTATTCAGAATGTCTTAAGAGTTTTTATCTCTTTTAGATGTTAAATGCTGATGCTGGTTAGGGCTTTCAGTCTTTCAGGTCAGGGTAACCCTGGTCTGGTTCAGTAAAGGCAGCTGGACTTCTGTCAACCCTAACCCATTAATAATAACACAAAACCAGTTCAGCGTGTTGTGTAAAAACTGCTATTTGTATTTATATGAGAGGCGTGCATGCTGACCCTTTTTTTGATCTATGGAAGCCCAGTAGGTGATTTAATCGATTACATTCATTCAGCACCCGGCCCTAGTTTATATTTTTGTGCCAAAATACCAAATAAAAAAATGTAAGCTTCATGTTCAAAATTGTCGCAAAAGCCCTTTTCACTTCAAAATTAACTATAAAGTTTGACCCTTGACCCCTCACCTTGGCCCTAAACTGACTCAGATTATTGGTTATTGAACAACTGAGCAAGTGAAACATCAGATAAAGTAAAGCAAGCTATCAGAAAAATAAATAAAAGAAAAACGTAAATGTAAAAAAACGGGAAAAACAACGGCTATTTAAAACGCATTCAAGGGCAGTGGGAGATTTAAATTCCCCTCACATTTCCTATTCAGCAACATCTGGATTAATCCGGTTTGATCTCTAACTTAAAATACAGCAGTAACAAAAACATCAATCATTATGTTAATTTAGTTAGATTAAACCACAATCTTACTTTGAAGATGCTTCCATTAAAATAAGTAGGTATGATAAAATGTAACAGAATATGAACGAGTCCGCCAGGTGTTCTCAAAGGGACAGGTATAACCTGCCAGGTGTAGCTGGGACTTACCCTGCTGGTCATGTTCATGTTAGTGGCAGACATGTCGCTGTGTCTCTGAGCTGGTAAAGGCTTACTGCAGTCCTACCTGTGTGCGCTTGCAGCTTTTATACACCTGAGAGTCGTTGAAAGCTGAGTCGGCGCTGACTCAGCACGTGTTTCTGTTGCACACAAAGCCTCTTTGAAAGGGTTAACAATGATGATGCAAAGCTTTCAGCAGCTGTTTCCACCAACACTGTCATTTTGGTAACCAGTTCACCTGTCCCCACCTCCAAGCTCTCGTTCTAGCCTACAAAATAGCAAACAGTGTAGAGCTTATTGATTTCTACATAAATGCTAGAAAGTCCATTCTATCCGTCACCAGATACGTCCATAAACAAACCTCTCTCCTCATTCTACTCGATAAGAACAGAAGAAGATAGAAGCTGGAACCACTGAAACACGGGCACAACCCCCATCCCAGGATATTTTACAAGGCAACGTCCCATTCCTCCGTAAATTAGATTGTGACCTTTTCCTTCCGTACTTTGTCGACAGCCACATCTCCTTTATAGAAGCTCTGGAAACGTTCTGGGAGGGAGAAAAATGACGGGGAGATACGATGGGTCGGTCCTCTTGGCTGTTGTGTCTCCATATAAAATCAGCCTTTTCAAGACCGCCTCTCTTTGACAGTGAGTGATGTCACCACCACCAAAAAGCGTCCATGGACCCTTATAGCATTACCAGAGAAAGTACGCTGTAAAAGACCAAGAGAGTGGCTGTGTGGTGGAAAAAGCCGTGTTAAATGACCAAAGACAACGCTCAGTGACACCACAAACTGTTGTTTGCCTTGTATATGCAAATTTCAGCCATGTTTTTTGGTGTTGAAGGTATAGACAGGATTCGTACAGGTGCTTGAAATCCTTGAAAATGCTTGAGTTTCAATAACATGTTTTCAAGCTATGGAAAGTGCTTGATTTTTGTATAAAATCCTTGAAAGTGCTTGATAATCAAATTTCTATGTAGGATAAATCAAGATAGTTTATTGAAAAAACTAAATTAGTTATTTTAGTTGACGTTTAGCAATCATTTAGCCTTTAAATAAACACGGCTGCTGTTACTCTGTGCAGGTCAGCTCCTTCTGTAACACCGGTGTGTAAGCAGCAGACTCCACATAGAGGCCAGCAGCATCCTCTGGCTTTGCTGTAACAGAGTGGTATCAGACATCAGATATCAGGGAGGACCCCCCCCCCCCCCCCCCGCCGCTTCAGGTGTATGACGTCATCAACGACTAGTCAAAGTCGACTCAATTTTCATTACTTGACAGTCAACTTTTAAAAAAATTAAGTCATGCAGCCCCTAGCCTAAAGCGCCAATGCAGAAAAGTTGAGCGCTTGTGGAAGAAAACCCATCTCCACGTCTATCTGCTGCATCTAAAGGACCTTCTGACATCCTTTAACTTTGCAGTCAGAGACGTGAAGGTTGCCTATTTTTCCAACCTGGTGTCCCAGAGCAAAGGGAACCCCAAGGTGCTGTTTAACACCATCAGCAGTATCGTCTCTCCTGCCTCTCCTACAGCCTCCATCCACTCTGTTGCAGACTGTGAGAACTTTCTGTCTTTCTTTGTGGACAAAGTCAATAAGGTCAGATCTAGCATCTCTCCTTCAGCCTTATCTCTGCCTCTCCTGACTCTAACCAGGCCCATCATCCTAGATAGCTTTGCTCCGGTTTCTTTGCCTGAGTTAACCAAACTAGTTAACTCTATGAAGACCTCTGCATGCCCCCTCGACATCTTACCCTCATCTTTGTTTAAAAGTGCTTTTCAGTCCATCGGTCCCAGCGTGCTCTCTATAATTAATGCTTCTCTGGTTTCTGGTCAGGTCCCTGCTTACTTTAAGAACGCTGTAATCCACCCGCTTCTTAAAAAACTGAGTCTTGACCCCTCTCTCTCCATAGCAGCTTCAGACCCATCTCTAAACTTCCGTTCATCTCCAAGATCTTGGAAAAGGTTGTGGCTAAACAACTCACAGCTGCTCTTGATGAACATAACATCTATGATAGCTTCCAGTCAGGTTTTCGTAGAGCTCATTCTACTGAAACAGCTCTTCTTAGGGTCTCTAATGACCTTCTGACTCACAGTGATGCAGGGGACTGTTCTGTTCTGGTCCTGCTGGACCTGACTGCAGCCTTTGACACTGTTGACCATCACCTGCTATAGGAGAGGCTGAGAGACTGGGTAGGCCTATCAGGATCTGCTCTGGAGTGGTTCTCCTCTTATCTCTCTGAGTGTTACTTTTCTGTGGCTGTCTCCAAGTTTAGGTCCTCCACCACCTCTCTTACCCATGGTGTCCCACAAGGTTCTGTGCTGGGGCCTCTGCTCTTCCTCCGCTCCCTCTTCAGCACAGCCTGAGCTCCTTCAAAGGAATCTCCTACCATATTTATGCAGATGACATCCAACTATACATCTCCTTTAAGCCCCATGAGATGTCTAAGCTGCAGATGTTACACACCTGCTTAGACTCTATCAAAACCTGGATGGTGGGAACTTTCTTCAGCTGAATGAAGATACGACTGAGATCCTCATCTGTGCCCCAGACAAGCTGGTTCCCAAAGTCAGAGACTCTCTTGGTCAGCTTGCTTCCCACACCAAACCTTCCATCAGGAATCTTGGTGTGACCTTTGACCCAGCTCTCACCCTAGATTCTCATGTCAGTTCTCTTGTTCGCTCTTCCTTCTTCCATCTCAGGAACATTGCTAAGCTGAGTCCCATTCTGTCTCGCTCTGAACTTGAGACAGTTCTCCACACCTTCATCTCCTCACGCTTAGACTACTGTAACTCTCTTTTCACGTGTCTGAGCAGAACCTCCCTGAACCGTCTACAGGTGGTTCAGAATGCCTGTGCTCGGCTTCTGACCAAGTCCTCCAAACACACCCACATCACCCCGCTTCTCCTCCAGCTTCACTGGTTGCCAGTCAACTTCAGGGTTCATTTCAAGATCCTGGTTCTGGTCTA